CCCCCCCCCCCCCCCCCCCCTGTTTACAATGTCGCAATATTTGAACTTGGCAGTAAGTACCCGATATTTCACCATTTTGCCCTCCTCCTTTTTTGACACTAGATTTGTCTAGTCTGTTTCTTTTTGTTTTTTTTATACTAACATGTTGTTTCTTCTTGTTCTATAGCAATTCAGCAATGTCACCGAACGATTCAGTATTGAGAGGCTCAAGTCTGAGTTTGCTTCAGTCCACCAAACTGTTTCCAAATTGCGTTCACCACAGGAATTTTTTGACTTTCGCCGCATTTCTAAACCAAGCAACTTTGGTGAAATCCAACAAAGAGTTAGTTATAATTTAGGATATTTCTCAGCCAACTATATTACTATTGTGATGATTTTGAGTGTTTATGCTTTGGTTACTAATTTGCTATTATTGTTTGTTTTGGCTTTTGTTATTTTGGGAGTATATGGTATTAACAAGTTGGGCGGTGAAGATTTGGTGACTCCATTTGGTAGAGTAAACACTTCACAGTTGTATACTGGATTATTGATTGTTGCTGTACCCTTGGGATTCTTGGCCAGTCCCATTTCAACTTTGATGTGGTTAATTGGACTGAGTATTGTTGGGATTGGTGGTCATGCTGCGTTTATGGAGAAGCCAATCGAGACGGTTTTTGAAGAGGAAGTGTAAGAAGTGAGATTTCATAGAGAGGTTGTGATTGCCTATAACATGGCTATATCGATATTAAACTATATTCAATTTGAAAGTTATACTATTTTCAACACACCCAAAAGTAATATGAATTGTATTAGTGATATAAAAAATAGACTCGCCATAATATCGAACAACACTATTGAGCAACACTATTGAGCAACACTATCGAGCAACACTATCGAGCAGAGCGAGATAGTGTTGTAACAAGCTACAAGCTGTTGCTTCACTATCGAGTAAAGCGAGATTACTGCTCCACTATCTCGCTCTGCTCGATAGTGTCGATAGTGTCGTTGAATCTAAAGAGGACATCAGTATGGCCTCCAACTCGCCACATTTCTCTAATAAGGTTAAAAAATATGTGGCTGATAGTGTCGGTGGCAGCTGGTGTGCTCAAGCTGGTGTGCCACACTATCGAGCACAGCGAGATAGTGGCGATGATGTTGGTGGCAGCTGGTGTGCTCCACTATCTCGCTCTGCTCGATAGTGTCGATGATGTCGGTTACAGCTGGTGCGCTTCACATCTCGCTGTGCTCGATAGTGTCGATGATGTTGGTGGCAGCTGGTGTGCTCCACTATCTCGCTCTGCTCGATAGTGTCGATGATGTCGGTTACAGCTGGTGCGCTTCACATCTCGCTGTGCTCGATAGTGTCGATGATGTTGGTGGCAGCTGGTGTGCTCCACTATCTCGCTCTGCTCGATAGTGTCGATGATGTCGGTTACAGCTGGTGCGCTTCACATCTCGCTGTGCTCGATAGTGTCGATGATGTTGGTGGCAGCTGGTGTGCTCCACTATCTCGCTCTGCTCGATAGTGTCGCCTTGAAGATTACTACATCAAATGTAAGAAATGCTTGATCTTTATTAAAAAAAATTTATACAACTGAGCAGAGCTCTCTTAGCAACGACAACCGATAAATTTTAAAACAAGATGAAAAAAAGGGGGGATTAGATACTCAGCTTAGTTCCTCTAAAATGGAGATTACATTTCCAACTTAGTTCTTCTCGAATCGAGATTAGATACCCAACTTTGTTCTTTTCAAAAAAAGATTAGATACCCAACTTAGTTCTTCTCCAGTGTCTTCTCTTGGCATTGTATCTGATTTTGTTATCAGTTCTAAGACGGATCCACTGAGGTAATGGTCTGTTTTGTTTTTGAGCTTTAGCCAATTTTTGCTTTGTCCTGAATGATTTTTGAGACTAAAAGTGATGTTAGTATTAGAATATCGACACTATTGACACTATCGACACTATCGACACTATCGAGCAGAGCGAGATAGTGGAGCACCATTTTGTAGACACTATCGAGCGACACTATCGACACTATCGAGCAGCACTAACTAACAACAGTTGCTAGCTTGTTACAACACTTTCTCGCTTTGCTCATTAGTGTTTCTCGCTTTGCTCGATAATGGAACACACTGATTGTCGCTGATACAGTGTTGAAAATGAGTTACATGGGGTAAATGTAACTCTCCCTCATGCAAACACATGTCCTCCCTCTTTTTCCCTTCTCCTCTCATAGTGGAGCAGCAATGACTAGTAACAGTGTGACACTGTCGAGTGACAATATCTCGCTTCGCTCGCTCGAGTGACAATATCTCGCTTCGCTCGCTCGAGTGACAATATCTCGCTTCGCTCGCTCGAGTGACAATATCTCGCTTCGCTCGCTCGAGTGACAATATCTCGCTTCGCTCGCTCGAGTGACAATATCTCGCTTCGCTCGCTCGGGTAACAATATCTCGCTTCGCTCGCTTGCTAGTGTCTGCTTCTTCTATCCCTCTTGCCCTCTCACACACGGCCTCAAATACATACAGGCATTGTTAATGATTCAATAAATTATACTCTTCACTAAGGAGAGAAAATTTTCAAACCTTGGGAAAAAAATGAAAAATTCCAAAACGTTTTTTTCTTCTGGCGAAAAAAAAAAGGAAAAAGCACGTGACCAATGAAGAGCCAAAAAGAGGTTTTTTTTTTTTTTTCTTTCTTTTCTTTTCTCTTTGTATGAAGGAGACTGAAAAATTTGAAAAAAAAAAAAAGAGAGGGAGAGAGAGAGAGAGAGAGAGGAGAAGAGAGAGCTTGTTAGAGGAATCTTTTTTTTTTTTCACATTTTACTTTGACCTAGTTAACTAGTAATAAACACCAGTATATACATTAAACATGACTAGAACTTCAGTCTTAGCAGATGCTTTAAATGCCATTAATAATGCCGAAAAAACCGGTAAGAGACAAGTGCTTCTTAGACCATCATCAAAAGTTATTATCAGATTTTTGACTGTTATGCAGAAACACGGTTATATTGGAGAGTTTGAATATATCGATGACCACAGATCAGGTAAGATTGTTGTTCAGTTAAATGGTAGATTGAACAAATGTGGTGTTATCTCACCAAGATTCAACGTCAAGATTGGAGATATCGAAAGATGGACTGATAACTTATTACCAGCTAGACAATTCGGTTACGTTATCTTAACTACTTCGGCTGGTATCATGGATCACGAAGAAGCCAGAAGAAAGCATGTTTCGGGTAAGATTTTAGGTTTTGTTTATTAAAAGAAGGGAGACGAAAGAAGTAAGGGCCATAATATACATTTGTAATAATAACCACATCATTATCCATCACTACAAATCATGGTAAACTAATTGGATTACTGCTATTCAATTTTGTCCATATATTAGATTATCATAACTCTCTCCTCCTCTGTCATTTAGCCCTCTGTCATTTAGCCCTCTGCCCTATATCTCTGCCCTATATCTCTGTCCTTTACTGCAAGATAAAAGTATCGTATCTGTTATGTCTGTAAAGTTTCGCGCAAAGTAGGTCATAGCCCTATACACTATATATATCTCGTGACACACCTTTTTTCCCGGTTTCATTTTGTTCCAATTTTTTTTTTCAGTGCGCTCCACTGCGAATCTCTCAGAGCCCTTTGAAAAAAAGTGAGTGAAATTTTAATCTATACTAGTGGAGACTCCCATTCATTAGATACTAGGAATACTCAAATAAACGCCAAATATGTCAGCTGGTATGTTTTTACCATAAGATATGAGAGAATGAATGAATGAATCTATATGATAAGTCACAGAAAATCGCTCTTTGGGGACCTGAAATAGGAAGGAATAGAGACCAAACGGAAACATCTTTCTTGATAGTTGAAATTTAAATGATCAGTAGTGACTTACGGGTTTGTCTGCCAGAATGGGTCTTTTATCGAGTCTGTGGGTTTTAAATTTCAGACAGATAAACTTACTTGGACTAGACCCTTATTCTGAAAGCAGCCAACACACGGGAGGGCTAATAAAGATGCGGGCGCTATGCTTGTTTGTGGGAACTATGCTTGTTTGTGGGGGATGCGGGAGCTATGCTTGTTTGCGAGGAGGAAGGAGACCCATTCATTTCAAATCATCTCAGTTATTCTCAATTTCTACTTTTATTTCTATACTAACCCATATATTTAGATCGTTCCCAAGTTTTTGGTGTTGCAAGAATCTTTGCCTCATTCAACGATACATTTGTACATGTCACTGATTTATCAGGAAAAGAAACCATTGCCAGAGTTACTGGTGGTATGAAAGTCAAGGCTGACAGAGACGAATCTTCTCCATACGCTGCGATGTTGGCTGCACAAGATGTTGCTGCTAAATGTAAAGAAGTTGGTATCACTGCCGTTCACATCAAATTAAGAGCTACTGGAGGTACCAAGACCAAAACTCCAGGTCCAGGTGGTCAGTCTGCTTTGAGAGCCTTGGCAAGATCAGGTTTAAGAATTGGAAGAATCGAAGATGTTACACCAGTTCCATCTGATTCTACTAGAAGAAAAGGTGGTAGAAGAGGTAGAAGATTATAGTTTGTGTATGCACAACAAACTCATACATCAACCACACTCACACACACACACTCACCCACACATACATCTACCCATCTACCTACCTACTCCTTCCCACTCACAATTACGTGTAATCCACAATTATTTTTCATCATTACAAAAATGTATTTTAGTATAATTTCAAACAAGAGGGACAAAGTTTACCGTGTAATGCTATAAATATACACCAAAAAATAGTAAAGTAAGTATATCTGTATTGAAACTCTCATTGGATCTACTACGGATCTTTCATGGCTTTGCTCTAAAACTATCATGGGCTTTAGGAACTTGTTCTTGATCATTTCATCTCTCATCTTTTTTATTCTCATTTTGCTTTTGTAGTACAACTATTTTTTTCATTGAAACTATTTATGAATAGACTGCAATGTACTATCTTGTTGAAGCTGAAAAGATTGTTGTCGCTAAGAAGCAGAAATATTGAACGGCTGCTTAATACTTATACATCTAGAAGTACTATTCATGTAGCAATTAACCTATTATTTCCTGGTTTGGGAGATCCAATTTATAACGATCAATACAAGAGAATTGATCATTTGATTAGTTTGAAATTGAAACTGAAACCAAAAACTCGAGAGTATGAGCAAATTGCCTTGATTAAAGAAAGGAAAGCAAACGTTTCAAGTGCCGACGCAAAAGAAGAAGTCGAAGTGGAAGCAAAAGTGGAGGCGGAAGGTCAATTTCTGAAAATAGTTGAAAAAAATAGTTGTGTTTTGGACCAGCTCAATGCCATATTATCCATTTCCAACACTGACGAACTCATTGTGAAGAATGTACTATTTTCTTCTGGAATGGAGTACGAAAAAGAAGATGAGTTTTACAATGAGTTGCTTGAGTTTGATAAGTTGAATAAGCGAACGAGATTCAATCCAATTATACTATGCGGTAATATAGAGGAACTTCAAATGCAAGGAACTGAGCACGAATTTATCAAAATAAAGCACAACTCTAAAGCAGTTGCTTCACTTTTGAAAAAATTGGCATATATTGGTGAAGCTGCGTTGAACCACTACTGGGGTATACACGGACTTGGTACACCAAAGGTACTAAAATACTCATCCATTTTTCATGCTTCGGGGCTACTCTTGGCTTTTACTCCTAAAGTTAGGATGTTTGTTCAAAAAAGTATACAAAATGAAGCTCATTATAAGAATATCATTCTTCAATATTTAGGAGCAACGGTTTTAATCAATGGGAAATTGTCAAAACACTTTGTAACAAGTTTGGCAAACTTTGCTCAAGGCAAATCATCATCTTCGAAGCGAACTCCAAAGACTATACATGAATTCAAAAAGCTTTTGAAGCAGACAGAAGTGCCAATAGTCGATACGTCATTGCTTGCACGGTTTGCCACTTTAAGCATAGACAAAAATATAAAAAGATACAATATTCTCCATGGCTTGAAGTCAAGTATTTCGTTGTCAGATGTCCGAGACACGATAACCACGTTAAACACGCGGGATTATATGGCCTCATATGGAAAACTTTTGCTACAGGACTATCAAAACTATGGGTTGCCGGTATTACAAGTTGTGCATGAAGATTTAGAGATGGAGGTTTCCTTTGCTGATAAGATATGTTTAACAAACACAATTAAATTCGCTGACTTTGATTTACCCGTTGTCAAGAACAGAAGCCCAGAAGAATATTCACCTTACAAGATCAGCCTACCGTTGGTGAATAATAATTTGATCAACAAAATTTTGCTATTGAATAAATATTATCTTCACCATCAGTTTAGTCGTAGATGCAAACACAAGGGCCGTGGGGTAAAAGCAATTATTCGAAGTTTTGAACTTTTTGGAAACTTGTCATTTGTTTATTTTATGCAAATGGCCAAAGAGGAGTATTTGGTCAACTTCAAGAATTGCCACATGCGAGTGAAACACATCAAGGCCATTTTTTGGTTTTTCATGAGCCCTGCATTCAAAATGTTTGTGGTTAAGAGTGCAGGTCTTTTAACACATATAGTAGATACAAGAAGTCTTTTTCCAAAGGACACCACAAAGAGTACTCTTCAAGCTTTACAAGAAATATCCGTTGCACAGTTTAATCAGTTATTTGGCTGTTTATCTGAAGAGCAAAAGCAAATGTGGTGCCGTCACTTGTTCGGGAGGTTTGTTGAAGTGGCATCCCAGCTCGATCAGCACTTAATAGAGGACTTTTTTATTGAGCTAACTGAACAATTGTTGGAAAGGAACAAAATTTTTGATTATGCTATTGATAAAGCACCAAGCTTGAACATTCAAAGACAGCTTAGTCAGGTGAATTGCGAAGAGATTTCAAAAGAACGCGAGTCGCAATACTATAGACTAGCTTTGTCGTTGTTGACTTATTTAAACGTTGAGCAACAAATCACTTTACCGATTGCCAAACTATTGTCTAATAAAAATCATCTTTTGAGTATTTTACTTGTCAAACTCGGATACCAAAATATTGTAAAGATTGGTTATTTGGCAAGTAAAGAGTCTTGCCAAGAGCTTGGTAGAGCTATTTTAAGGGAAGTCTCGAATTACCAAGGCGACTTGGAGAAATCGTTAATAACTTCTTATATCAGCGCCACATTGGAGTTCAGATTGGGAAGGTTGTTTACTGGAAACTTTTGGGAATATGATTTCACTGGGGATGCGAGTCCTCCTCAAGTCAATTTTGACTCAACAATTAAAAGACTATTACTAGTAAATAACCAAATTGCTGATAAATTTTTTACAAGAATAGGAATGACCAGCATTTTACCTGTGGGCGAGGTATTGAAGAATCATGGCGTATTTGGTCATGAAATTTACACTTTTCATTTGAATCGAATATTGACAAACTCGCGACTAACTGGTTCGGTGAGGGAAACAGTTTTTGAATTGTTTTATGACCGGAGATTCAAAAGGAAAATTAACAAGGTAACCGGTATGAACATGCCAACAATAGTACATTCAAAGTATAAACATGTTTATCAAGATTTGATAAGGAGTGAACGTTGCAGACTAATAGAGGGCTCCATAATCGATGACATTAATTTTAACCAATTTTTAACTATCCAGTATTACAGCGATCAAGAAAAATTACAGCATTGGTTGGAGGTGCTAGTAGGGCAGTTGGTCACAAAGCTTGAAGCTTGTGTCGATGATTATGATAGGGACGCAGTAATATACAAATTCAAACAATCCATTGGAGCTGAATGACAATAAAAAAAAAAAAAAGAAGCTAGTTGTATAGAAAAGACTTTTTCACTGGAAAGGTAGTTGCCTAAAGACTTTCTTACCAATAAGTGAGTGATGTATAGAACTATTGGTACAAGGGAAAGAAGAAAAAGACCCATCAACCCCTCCCTTCGCTCTATCTTTTCAGTGGGGAGCAAGGTAACGGTAACTTATTCCGTATACCGTTTGAACAAGTCACCATCAGCACAACCTAGAATTAAAAGGTAGTTCTCCTGGTGAATGCCTTTCCCTCCCTCTTTCTCCCCCCCTCTTCTATTAAAAGAAGATATGGGAATTTTTTACCTAATTTGGTGTACATGTTCCAGTACTGCATATCAACACTGATTGCAAAAAAAAAGAAAATGTACTAAAGAGTTTTTTATAATGGGATAGTTTAATCACTTATCAACACCACTTGAGATAAGGTATGAGGAAATATTATGGGTGTATTTTTATTTTTACTTGATTTGATTGTTGGATCCTTGTTGGATCCTTCTTTCTATCTGAGCCTATATATATAAGCATCTTTCGTTGTTGTTGTTGTTGTTTTTTTTTTGTAGTTTAGTTTAGTTTTCTCTTTACTCTATAGAGAAACATCTTGGATAGAATATAAGATTTTACAATGATTCAATTGTTGGTATTTGTTAGTGGTTTAGTTTTGGTCTTGTTTTTATCCTTCAACCAGGGCATTGTTATTATCAAAAAGTATTTTGTCGGTAACAAGAGTCCAATAAGAGATAAAGAAAGAACGCTTTCATCATCGTCCAAGGTGAAAGTAGAGACAAATAAAGGAGTTTACGGCAGCAATGAGTCAATCCAAGAACCCACGCCATTGATGATTACTCCTGAGGAGGTTAAAACGTATGACGATAGACCTTGGAGGCCTTTTAGGTGGCCATATCATCAGACTATGTCTATTTTCAAATTAGACTTAAATCACTGGCTTGATATGGATAAGTACTATCACCACTATATTGAAGAGAGGAAAAGGATCAGATTAAAGTATGGAAAGGAAAATTATGATTGGTTGCCCGAAGGTTATGATGCATGTAAGGAGTTGATGGAAATGGTAAGCGACCATATGGTCAAAAGGTATCCCTTGTTATTCACCCTTTTAAAAGATGGCGACTGGGCTACGCAGGGAAAGATATTTAGGAATGAATTGACACAAGAGGTTTTGGACATGACTTTACCGTTAAAACAGCATCCATTAATATTTGTATCGAAGATGGCTAAGGAAGATATTTTTGTTGTATTGAAGAGCCCAAAAGATAACTTGCATTACCTTGTTGCTGCAGCGGTGTCATACCCTGGAGGTTCTTTTAGAGTTGATCAAAAAATAGGCAAACATCTTGATGCCATTCATAGTGTTGTTCCGTATTATGAAACGAAATTGAAGAAGTCGATGGAAAGATGGTTTGACAAAATGAGACCTGAAGATCCAGTTGAAAGAGCAAGTTTCTATATTACTTGGGACACAAAACTTAGAGTGAACAATGTTTTTCAAGTTCCTGAAGTTAACCCAAATGTGGATTCTGAGTTGAAGGAAACAGATTTCCGCAAGTTTTGTGTGCGTGTGGAAAGACAAACTTTGAGACGTTTACCAAGATCAGATGCCATCATTTTCACTAATCACCCTGTTTTTTACTCTATAGACGAGATGAAGGATGAGCCAATGATTCCTTCAATTCTTAGGAAAATCCTTTATGAAGGTCCTAAAGATATCATAAAGTACAAAAACTTTGAAAGATTTAGAGATTACTTAGCACCATATTTGGACTCATTAGTTGAGAGACAAAAAAAGTTGGGAATCATTACTGATGAAACCCCCTTGAAAACACAACCAAATTACCCTTTTGCTCATTGGGTCAAGGATAATGCGTGTAGATCAGAAACAGAGGGGTGGACTAACCCTAGTCCAAGTTATGATAAGAAACATATGAAAACACAAGACTTTCATAAGTCTAAATTGGCTTCTAATGAGTAGTTATTGAAATCTTCTTTTTTGTTTAGGGAAAAAGTAAATTTGATTATATACATGAGACATTTGCTGTGATTTCCTTGATACTCTTTAGAAAGTTTGAAATCTTCTTCCCGCTTTTTGTAACTCTTGCAACCTTTTTTGCAGCCTTTTGCCATTTTTTTTGCAACTTTTTTTGCAGCTATTTCTATAAAAAAAATTTTGCAAAAAGAAAAACAAACCCAAAGAGCCAAAACAAGTATGTGAATATGGAAAAGCCAAAGTAAATGTTAGCTAGAGTATCACTACATGTTGCTAACTACATATCACGACTCTAATCACATATCACAACTCTAATCACATAATGGTGCTAGTTGGTTTCAAACGACTTTGATCAACAGTAACAAAGAAATGTCGGCCATCAATTGAAAAATTTCGCAACCAAGTGAAAAAAAAAAAAAAAAAAAGTCGGCTAAAGAACCGACCCGGTAACTTTTTTTTCTCCGGAATCTATACCGAAAGGAAAATAAGAAAAAGCCGGTACTAGTTGATAATATTAGAGAAATCCTTTGACACAGCCTTCCTTGTCTTATCAGCTGGCAAATTACAAGTGGAATTTAGAACATCTAGAACTTTTGCTCGGAATATTATTATTGTTGTCTTTATCTCTTTATCATTGACAATAATAACCAACAAAAAACATCATCCATCCATATATCTCACCAGGGTGACGGGATTCTATTAGCCGTTATTTTTAGGGAAAGGTAAATGGGATGGCTCTTCCGAATGAATGAGATCACATCACCAGTATCTATCAAAGTAGTTCTAACCTGTCTTTTGTGGTACACGGTGTCATCCATCACTTCGCAACTAACGAAGCTTATATTAGTTAAATTCACTTACCCATTGTTCCTATCTCAATGTCAATTTGTTTTAGGTGCAACTTTGGCGTTTTCTGTCCTTGTTATATCAAAATATTTCCCTTCTTTTGCAAACCAGTTCCCTCCCGGTAGTCTTCCCGAATCTGGCCAACAGTCAATTCCTATTATATCGTTACGGGTACTTTTGAAGATTTTCCCGCTTGGTTTATTCCAGTTTACGGGTAAATTCTTTTCGCTTAGTGCCACCTCCTTGATTCCATTGCCTACAATCTCAAGCATCAAAGCATTGAGTCCCTTGCTAATTGTTATTGGATACCGAACTATATATCGAGTGGAGTTTCCAGTAGTCACCTACTTCTCTTTGGCGCCTTTATTATTTGGAGTTATATTGATCATTATATCTGATTCAGTGAGAAACAACAATCCTGCTAGTTTAACACAGTTATTAGACAGTAACGAGCAAAAGCATAATGACGAATTAGACGCTAAGCAAGTAAAGGGGATTGCCTTGTGCCTCTTGAGCACAGTTGTGTTTGCAGCGCAGAACATTTACGGGAAACAATTAATTACATGGGGCAATGATGGTCAGCCACGTAACCCTGTGTCTTTGGTCTTGAATACAAATCCCGTGCCACCATCAACCCCAGTATCTGCTTTCAACGTTGAAAAACTGCCACAGCTATTGTTTTCAAACACCAAGAGTAATTTGAACAATGCAAATACAATGAGTAAATTTCTTTATGCGAGACAAAGAAATAACTCAATAAAACTACCGTATTCAACGTCGGATTTGACCTTAGATGAGATGAAGGAGAGTTTTCATTTGGCGCTGGCGCCATCGCCATCAACACAACAACAACAACAAAATCTATCACCAAGTTACGCCGCTACTGTTTCCCAAAACAACACCAATATTTACAACCCCTTTGCATATTTTATCTACAAATTTGAGCTCGACAAAATTGCCAAACCTGACAAAATGACAATTGTCTTTTACTGTTCCTTAATTGGATCCTTTTTTTCGATTGGAGGTTTCGTTATGAACGAATTACCCAAGATGTACTTACAATTCAATACAGACCTTAGTTTAAACCAACCAGTCAGCAGCACATCTTCTTCATATGGATTGGTAACAATATTGATGCTTATACTACTAAACAGCTTGTCACATTTTTTACAAACGCTTTTAGCATTTCATCTTTTGGGATCTATGCCAGCATTATCTTATTCCATCGCATCAGTATTGAAAAGAATTGTTTTGATAACCGTGAGTATAGTGTTTACTTTGGGTTATGCTGATGGTTCTAATGGCCGACATTGGCAAAGGATTACAACAGAGCAGATGATCGGACTAGTATCAATTGCTACCGGCTTATACTGCTATGATCGATGGGGCTCATGTAGTGTAAATGTTAATAGACAAAAGGGATAAACGACACTATCGAGCGACACTATCGAGCGGAGCGAGATAGTGGAGCAGCCCTTAATAGTAACACTATCGACGCTATCGAGCAGCTCTTTATAGCAACACTATCGACGCTATCGAGCAGCTCTTTATAGCAACACTATCGACGCTATCGAGCAGCTCTTTATAGCAACACTATCGACGCTATCGAGCGGAGTCAATGCTGCTCGATAGTGTCATTAGTCAGTGCTGCTCAACTATCTCGTTCTGCTCGATAGTGTCGCTCGATAGTGTCATTAGTCAGTGCTGCTCAACTATCTCGCTCTGCTCGATAGTGGCGCTCGATAGTGTCAATAGTCAGTGCTGCTCCACTATCTCGCTCTGCTCGAATCACAGCGAGCTATCACAGCGAGCTATCACAGCGAGCTATCACAGCGACGATAGTGGCGCTCGATAGTGACTTAATGTTCGGAGACTAGAATGCCCAGTTGGGAACTCTTGTGAATACTTCACAACCCAACCACGCCCGTAATTTCCTTGACTAACTATTTTTAAAATGGAAAAAGAAAAACTTTTTCTCTTTTAAAAAACAACTAGTATTACTATAGTATGCGTTGTAGAGAGCGACAACCGTAGAGATTGTGGGAATAACAAATAAAGTCATTCCGCTAATTGTCACCCTACAATAATACACATACATGTACAATAGAGAAGAAGAAGAAGAAGAAGAAGAAGAAGAAGAAGAAGTGTTGGATTTTGATTTGAATTTTTTTTCTTCCTTTTGTCTCTCAATCGATGACGCGCAAAACAGGGGGAAATTTTATTGTGCTAATTTTTATTGTATATGATGAATGGTGATAAGTTCTTAAAGGCATTTACACAGAGCAATAAGGAAAACTTGACAAGGGAGCTCTTCACTATGAAAAGTGTTGTTGTATTTATATTATATTATTGTATTGCGGTTGTCTCTGCAATTGGATTCAAAGGTGTCATTGAGGGTATTCCTGAACAAGTGACTATTGATTTACCAAAAGACTCGATACGTATAGTGCCGAATATCGATAATTATCCACAACGGTTCAAAGTAGATCTATACAGTCTCAATGATGACAAGAAACAAGCTGATTTTAAACAGGTTACAGCTGTGGTGAGCAAAGATTATCAATTCAAGTTTGAAGATTTGGCCATTGGGGAGTACGAGTTGGTGATATCTTCATACGATTTTACCTTTGTACACAATAGATATAGAGTCAGAGTTGATCGAGATACTATAACTGCTTATCAAGACCCATTAGGCGAAGAAACGTATAACATAACATCGGCAATCGAGGTGAGTAAGGTCAAACCACTCAAAATTAAGTTTAAACAAGTCAAGCAGTTTTACCCAAAAACAGGTCAATCACTTGCCGATATGGTGATAAACAGCCCCTTTGGGTTTATATTCAAGAATACAACATACACAGTCATTTTTGTCGTGTGTATGGCAATAATGGCAGCACCATACATCTTGCAGTATGTAAATCCTGAATTAGCAGCTGAGTTGAACGGGAAAGGATTGCAAGCAAGTGAGGAAAAAGTAGTGAGAAGCAGTGCACTAGAACCACCAACTATAGTTAATACAGGGGAGCTGACAGCAACAAAGAAAAGTGGGTCATCTGTGAAAAGGAGACGCTGAAATAATGATTTCTCATGGACCATGAATGGATCTTGGAAATCGTCTTTTTCAATGCCTAAATAAGTCTACAATATTTATTTAGTATTCTATTGTTGCATTGTTGCATCTGAAGTTTTTACATTAAAATTGAAATTTTCACTATGAAGCAGTACCTTTAAGGAATAGAGCAAGTAGACCTCTTATACAACAATAATGCATACATTTATGTGAGATTTCGGGATTTTCAATTGAATCAAAAAAGATAACAACTGCGGCTAAAGCACTATAGAATGCCGCAAAAGTATCATATTTTTGAGCCTGCTGAGGTCACTGAGATTACTGTATTTGTTGGAATGTCAATCACGCTTGTTTGTTTTATGAGTTGCTCCAAAAAACAACCAAAACTTGCTTTGATACATGAATCCAAGCACATAAAACAGTAAGATAAGTTTCGTACTGTATACTACATATATATTGATTGACAAATCTTATACACGTAAGGCGCTTTCTCTTCTCCCATATTGCACTACGTATCCACCAGGAGTAGATTTTATATGGGTTTGATTGCATCCTTACTTCCTTGTCTTTTTAGTCTTTGTTTTTTTTTTTTTTTACAAAGTATATACCTGTCCCGATGAGGTACCTACTACGAGTTTTAAGACACCTCTAATCAAACGATCATCACTGTCTACCTCGGAGCATTTGAATAGCTTCAATGCTGTAATCTCGCCACTTATGCTCTCAAGCTTTATTCTTTGTAAAAGTTTCAATTTCCAACTCGAGGAACTCACTACTTCAAATACCTCAATGCTCTTTTGATGAGCAATTGCGATAAGCTCATTGGACCAATAGGCATTGTTACCAGTATTTGTGTGGTTTGGGTTACCTGGGTGGAAAGGAAAGTCCGTAGTTCCAAAGGCTATTATTGTACGTCCTTTAATATTAGCTAATTTGTGGCTCAACATTTCCTCTCCATTCATGCTGAAAACCCGCAAGACAGTACTATAACAAGACTTGTGTTTGATAATGCTTGCAATATTGCCTGTATCATTAGAAATGGCAATGAAGCTTGATTCTATAGTATCAGTAGCAGCAGCAATCAACCTACGAATAAAAGTGAATCTTGCAAAGTCCCAAACAATTGCTAATCCATCCTCATCAATACTAACACCGATTTTAAAGCTTTTGCTAAACACAACTTCAGTAATAGATGAAAAGTGGCCTCTTAATGTTGAGCGATGAACTAAAGAAATTGAAGGTGTCGTAATATACTCCCACACGCTTATCAAACCACTCTCGGTCCCAGTAAGAAAAGTACCGTTGCCGACTTGAAGCACAGTGGATATGTCACAAGGATGAATATCAATAAATAGTTTATCATTGACTCTCAACGAGCCTCCTCCTTTATTTGACCTTTCTGATTTTCTAATCAACAATTTGTCTTCACAAGAAACGCAACTTTGTCGTCCTACCCATCTGAATCTATCTGTTGAACTTAGCTCCAATTTAACAACCGGTGCATTTAATTTTGACTCAAAAACCAATAAAGGCATTTTTCCTTGCGGCAATACAGTTAAGTAATAATTTGGCAAATTCAAAACTTCCCTCATTATATGCGGTTTGAAAAAGACCTTCTTTGGAGTTTGACCAAAATTATTAATCATTCCAATGGCTGCTCGTTTTTCTACTTCATTTTCAACGTGATCCAAGTCGATACCACCATTATATGAGTAATGGTGAAAAACGTTTAAAGCATCCACAGCCTCTGCACCATCTTGTTTGTACCCAAATATTAAATCTATCCACGAGTGCAAGTTTGCCGAAACATAAGGACTCTCTAATGCTTCGCGATTCTTTGCAATGAAAATCTGAGGATCGTTGTGAGCCCAAGGCGGAAGCTCAACGTCATTAACACATTGTCCATTCTGTAACGTTCCGAAATCAAAATGATTTGAATTCTTCAAAAACTCAGGCAAATAAAAAAACTCGGGAGTCAATTCCCTAACATCCGTAGTATTATCCCTTGACGCTGAAATCCAAGCCTTCTCTATAGAGTTGAATAATCGATCAGCATGGTCAAATTTGCCGCCTTGCAAAAGCAAAAATGAGTGAACAAATGGTTTTAATCGAATCAAAAATGAGGTGACAATCATTGCGGAGGAGTAGTGTGTACCGTAATGGAAAGCAGGAGCATTCTCATCATTCAAACTGCTCAAAGCTTCATAACGTTCTTTAAATTGTACCGCTCTTTGACTTGTCTGAGCGCCCATGGGCTAACTATTTAGAGCTTTCCAAAAACCTAAACTGTTTAGGTTTCTAAGCGAAAACATGTCGGCAATTACCCAAGGAAATACCGGATACTGCGTCAAGTCATTAAACGTTCGGCCTGCCAAAGTGTTAATAATCATTAGATAATAAAGATTGGATATTTCGCCCATTTTCCACTTTTTTGTAGCAGACAAATACGACATATTGTTTGAAGTTGCGTTGGAGAATGCAGATACTAGTTTGGAAGAAATGCTTCCCTCGGAAACCAAAGTGGAGTTGGATGACAACGCTTGTGCAAGCTCATAACTGATTCCCTGTCCAGTTACAAGTGCTTTGAGCTTGGAAAATATGAGGTTTCGTTCTTTAGCAGACATACATGTTACCAACACACTAGCGCCATCGCTAAAGAACATCTCAAATGCATTATCTCGTAAGAGAAACTGCCTCTTTGAAACAGCACTCAACTTTTTCAAACTCCAGCTCTTTGATCTATGCAAAGTAAGTTTATGTTCATTATTGCTTCTTGATTGGGAATTAACAAGCTGCAATATGGGATCTCTCATATTTGTTGGAGCATCACTCACATCAATTACATTGCCATCTTCTCCATGAAAATAGTTTTCAATTAAATACAAGTGACTATCACCCAAAATCATCAAGCTCTCAATCGGTATTAGGCCGTTAATTTGGCTTACATTCCATAAAGACACGATTCGATCCCCCACGTACAAGCTCCGAGTCACCCTTCTATTCCTGTCCTCAAAAGTGTTTTCTTGCACTTCTTCGGGATCAGACGAATGGTCTGGCACGTCTGATCGAAATCCACAGTCCTCTTGGCTACTACTTCCGTTATTGGCAGTCGTCGTCGTCGACAAACTAAGTGTATTTAGATTCAGGGATAGAATAGCATAATCATATTCATTGTGCGACTCAACAGCATGTGTAATTTCTTTTAGTGGCACATCGCTGCCGTAAGCTAGTTTTTCAGCGTCAGCTAATAAATCTTCCACAACTAAACGTTTTCGTATTCGATGGTCGTTTTCTATATAGTCCAACACAAAGTCAACTTCTGGGTAGTCATCGTCGAAAAAAAGCCTGCTTGTGTTGGATTTCCAAGTGTGAAACAATTCTGCATTATGCGTAGCATTATCCTTGCGATCTTGCTCGATTCTGTTGTAGTTAACTAGCTCAGCATTCACAATCTGACTTTGTATTGTTTGACAATCCTTATCAAAGCTTTTGGTATAAATACTATTCATCTGACCCAACTTTCCGCCGTTATGAAGAGTAACCCGAATCATGTTTGTCACATACATAAATTCCCTCTCCGCGTCCTCCTGTTTGAGAACTTGAAAGCCTTTGAGTATGCTTTTAACAAACGGTGGATACTTTTTTAACTTTAACATTGTTTCGTGATCATTTTTCAGTGTTAAATTTATAAAAAAATCACTCAACAAAGACACATCACACTTCAAGAGGCCTATGATATTGGGAAAGTCGTCTTGTCGAATCAAGTAAATAGTCCTAAGGAAGCTAAAAGTAGCTTCCAAATCAGTTTTATCAGTTTCATTTCCCCCCTGTGCTAACAATACACCAAGTAACAATTTTATCAATACTGCAATTTGACCATTACTAAGCACATCCTTTCGCATAACCACTAGTTGCCTGTATAAAAGTTCCCTTAGAAAGGAAGTCAAATTGTTTTCCTTTGCATTACTAACTTCAGCATCCCGTGCTAAGCGCAATGAAAGGGTTACCACAGATTCTCCTAATATTTGTTTTAATTTGGCACCCACTGCTCCTGTTTCCACAATCGACAATAAACACAAAGTGTATATCCGTAAACTATTGAGCGATACAAAATAACCCTCATGCAAAAACTCTATATTATACATTGCTAACAACTCCGATATGTTGTTAACAAAAAGTTTGTCATCAATAACAGAAACAGAGTTTGGATCTGTAATCTTTTCGTTGACCTGCTTGAAAACTTCCGGAATAACTAGATCAAACAAGACTTTCCTTGTAAAATCACTCATGTCCCTAACTGAAGCTAGAAATTGGGTTGAAAATAAACTGAAAAGGTAATAATCATCACATATCAATGAAATCAACCTTTCATACAAGTTCTTGATACTCGCCTCTACATCACCATCTCCATACCACAGTATGCTCAACTTGAGATATCCCAACAATTCAACAAGACCCTGCATAAAGTCCTTTACATTAAACATTTTTTTAACAACTCCATAATCTTTGAGCCAAGTGATGTATTGCCCAATCAGACGAACAACGTCATAGACTAAGGACAGCTGTTCTTGATTAAAGTGTTCATTCCAAGGTGAAGGCGGATTGCTCATCAATTTACCTGATGATGAACTTAGTTCATACATTGAGTTTAAAACTAGATTGTTCAGTAACAATAAAATTTCCCGCATTGTGATATTATTAGTCAATTGTTCATTGGTGGAGATTCGTTGATGATGAGGATGATGAAGAAGAAAATGGGGATGATGATGATGATGACATTGATCTTGGTTTCGAATAGCAACATCTAAACTTGAAGAAGAATAGGCACCCAAAAATACTGAAAGTAAAATCTTATCACTACGCCACCATGATTTGAGTGCCAGAGTTAAAACTTCAAGCCCATGGTTCTGTGAAAAAAACTGTTTTACAACATGAGGACCAAGCAATCTCAATAAACAGATTAAAAGCATGACACCACAGTTAACCACAGGCTCCATATCCAGCTCAAACAAAAGTAAGATCCAATGTATAGTTATTGAGCGTGTAAATTTTCTCAATGTTTTGGTTGGGGTTTGCGGATCCAAAATGTAGTCTGTTAGTGCTTGCAACGCTATGATCCCGCATTCTGTTGAGCTTTCTTCGTTGAACAAGGCAAGGATAACATAAGACGACACAAGAAGAATAGCTTCGCCTGATGGATCTAATGTTAGTATTGCAGCAAGAGTTTGAGACAACTGTTCTTTCCAGCTCTTTGGCAAATCACTATCTCGAATATTCAGCATTTTTAAAAAATGGAGCAATTTTTTCAAGAGTTTCATTTTGTAAAGTTCCAGTAAGTTGTGCTCTCTAAATTTGGAGCTGGTCAATAAACTTTGAATGTGGTATAGCAAAAATTCAAAGCATGAGCTTCCATAGAACAAATTAAAGTTCAAGATCAAAAAACGATAACAATCACGATTTAGTATTGCTGACTCGTAAGGGTTTGTCATATCGAATCCGGAAAAGCTTAACAAAACATCCAACACACTGATCTTTTCCTCCTCCCCTTCCAGATTTAAAGCGACATCCCCATCCCCATCTCCATTTACAGACTTTGTGCAATTTTCAAGCGGGTTAAACACCAATGAAGGATTAACTTTTTTGTATTTGAATAGTAACATGGAAAGCAAGCTATAGCCATTGAAAGTCTCAAAATCAATTCTTAACCTCCAGTCGTGCTCCAAAATATTAAACAATAATTTCAAACCCAAAAGCATTATTGAATCCCTAAGTTTCACGTCCGAGATATTTGCACATTGGTGTAAAACCTCCAAAATCACAAATACTCCACCAGCCGCGTCAATAGCTTGGTACATGGAGTATGTAAAATGAACAATTAAATTCTTGGTCAAAATGTCTTTTGCGAGGTGTTGTTGTTGCTGTTGTTGTTGTTGTTTCCCTCCTCTTCGATTCATCGCGTGCCGAAGAAAATCATTACTATCGTACAACACAGATTCTTCTTTTATTCTGCTCAATGAGTCAACCACAAAATTCTTATTTGTGAGTTTATTCTGCAAGTCAGCTTCTTTTTTCCCATTTGGAGAACTCGTTCTTCCTCCCTTTCGAATCCGATGATGATGATAAAGTTGGTTAGAAGCTTGGTTACTGCGTTTTTGATGAAAAGATGCCAAGACTTTTGTTGTTTCGAATAATTCCTTGTTTCCTAATCGATTGACTAGACTTTTCACAGACTCTTTCTCAATATCTTTAAAGTCCCAATTATAACTTGGACCGAAATTGAAAAGAACTAATATCCACTCCGCACTCAAGCATGAATTGAGTAAGGTAATATTTCTAATAATTAAATCAGGATTGTTTCCTGCTGGGCCATTGCTTCCTAGAGAAATCTTGTTCCAATTTATTGATTCATGGCATAGCTCGGTGCACGGCATGCTTTCGCTATATTGTCCATTCACAAATAAACTCAACGTTGTCTTATTATAAATTAGAGCAATTTGTGTAAGCAGATCGGGAGCAGCTGCATCAACAAGGTAATTAAATGAAAACTGTGAGCGAGACTTTGTCCTTATATTTCTTATTTCAACAACAACTTGCTCTGCGTTGATTATTTGCAATGTAAAAGTTGTACTCGTGTGTTTATTCAGGGGATCTGAACTTGCTAAAGTGAAGATCGTTATCGGCACATCGTAATCAACAATGTTCTCTAATCGAAACCAAAAATAAATGGTGAATGAATCTTTGATTCGATTGTCAAATGGGAAGTTCACCTGATGCGAGATGACCAAAAAGGGGTAGTAAGTGGAATTTGCACAAATGTGAAGCAATAATTTAAGAATAGCATACTTGACCAAAGCATTAGAACCTGCGTATAAAGCTTTAAATAGCATTTTAAAGCTCTTGTTATCGCACCCAACTGCAAATAGTGAAATAATCAACTCGCGGAACTGATACACCAATTTTGACTCCTCCTCCTCCTTTTCATTCACCTTCACTTGATAATTTTCACCAGAAACTAGCTTCAAAAATTCACAGACCAAAATATGTAAACACGAAAGGTTTTTTATTTTCAACACCAGACGCTGTGATAAAGCCATTTGCACCTGTTGCAAAGCAACAATATGTAAAGCTGAATTATCAGGATATGTTTGACGTAGCCATTCCAAAACCAGTTGCAAATCGCATTCTGTCTCATTGATTACCTTGTCAATTAAGTCTTTCTCTGAACTCGACACTGGCTCGTCATTGTTCATGGTCTGCAAAAACACATGTACTTAGAAACCTGTCCTTTCTCGCCAACTGTAATGTATACTCACTATCAATACTATTCCAATTATTATATAACTGAGGTTTACTGCATCAACTTTTTTCCAAATGTGATATTGGTAGCGCATGAGTGTCTTGGAACGAAATGGGCAAGAGGTGGTGCAAGGGGAGTGCAAAGGGAGTGCAAGGGGAGTGCAAGGGGAGTGGAAGGGGAGTGGAAGAGAAGGTGATAATGACTTACTGGGTAAGGCTCGTGCCGGTTTGTTGGTTCAATGTTAAACCAGTGTTTTTTGCTTTACAAAAAAATCATCAATTCATTTAATAATAATACATTTTAATCAGTTGAATCAGCAAAGTGTGTCAGTAGCGTGTTAGTGACAGCTAGTCAATGTGCTGCTTCACTATCTCGGTTGGCTCGATAGTCACGGTGACAGCTAGTCAATGTGCTGCTTCACTATCTCGCTTGGCTCGATAGTCACGGTGACAGCTAGTCAATGTGCTACTCCACTATCTCGCTTCGCTCGATAGTGTCGGTGTCGGTGTCAATGTCGGTGTCGCTTCGCTCGATAGTGTCAAATTTTATAGTACTATTTGTATCTCAAAATCCTCCTCTAGTTCTGTGTTTCCAACTGTATCATCCAAATTCATTTCCTCATCGTCAAAAATCAACTTAGCATGCGACATGTCTATACTTGCTGCGTCGATACCTTTAGTTTTCAAATAAAACAAAAGCAAGTTTTTCAATTTTGTCTCTGGTGTAACATTACACATTATTCGTTTATTGTCCTTCCCCTTTAGACCCACTGCAAACACATTATCATTATCGTCGATTGAGATTGTTTCGGGAAGTGGTATGGCCATTTCAGAAATATCTTCATCCTCACTACTTATATTTTCGGCATCAGCCTCAGCCTCTTCAACTTGTGTTTCAGTGAGCTCATTAGCTACAGGTTCCACACTGTGGGTCATGAACTCTGGGTAAACATTTAGAAAATTGCTGGCATTGTCTTTAGGTATTAGAAAAACGTGCAACAAGGTTGGTGTTATGTTTTCGACCTTATCCAATAAGGGGTTGAACATGCCTCCCGGTAGCGGTATTCGTAATGTTCTTGGCGTAAAGAACAGATGTATCACAGTTCTTCCTTCGACCCATACCAACGCGCTCTTCGTAGCATCATACCTATCGAGCAAAACCGGAGATAGTTGGTTTGCATACGTCTTTTTGAAAAAATCCAAAGCTGCATTTAGGATCTTACCAAAAGATTTTGTTCCTTTACAGCCTAGATCGACTTGAACAGGAGAATTATTAAGTACAGGAAGTTTCGACGATACCCGTATTATGTATTTTCTTTTCTTTTCATTGGCAATATCAAACGTGTAAGAATTTGTACTAAAAGGCTTGTTTTGTATTTGTATGTTTTGCTCCTTGGGCTTGTAATCGTCTTCGTCCGAGTCATCCAATGCTGGATGGCCGAGATGATTGTTTTCTTCAGCTGCTTTTATTTTGAGCGCTATTTCTTTGAGGATCTTTTGCTTATCGATAAGTAGCACTTGTGACAGCTCCTTCAATGCTGGACCTGTATCTGATGACTCCTCCAAAATTGGTCCTTGGCTGGTTGGTGGCTCGTCTAAAGTCAGTGTTTGCAAAGGTGCATCGTTAAAGCTCGACATGGCACTTTTGAAATCCTCTTGCGAGGTAGTAACCGGTGACACATCCTTGCCAATTGCCGTTGCCGCATCCTTGCCAATTGCCGTTGCCACATCCTTGCCAATTGCCGGTGACGCATCCTTGCCATTTGCGGTTGCCACATCCTTACCAATTGCCGTTGCCGCTATTGCTCCATCATGATGCTTATGCTTATGCTTCTTCTTCTTCCTTTTTTCAAAAGAGCCACTCAAGGAGAAAAAGTCATCTTCTAATAAAAGCTCTCGTTTACTCAGCTGCTTTGACTCAGGTGAAGTTACCCTACTCAAGCTCTTGCCCTCATGGCTCGTTTGCGTCATATCAGACTCATCACTTGTCATCTCTCATGCCCCCCAATAAACCCCATAAGTAAAAGAAGCCCCAGAATTTTCCTCTCTATAAACAAAATCTTTTTTCCCTTGTTAACTATGGCGCATGCTCATCTCGAAAAACTCAAATCTTACTAGCTCTTGTTCTTGTTTGGTTCTTGTTCTTGTTTAGCTCTTGTTCTTGTTCTTGTTTGGTTCTCATCTCTTGTTTGTTTTGTTCTGGTGGTCTGGTGGTTTGCGCTTTTCCTTCGATTGTCATGTTTAAGCCTACGAGAGAGGCCAATTTGAGGAGTAAGTTCCTTCTGAGTTATGGTCACAATACAAAATTCTATACCATACTCAAACAGTATAAGGAAGATTGGGGCAATACCTTGTTCATACTTGATGAAGAGCTAGCCAAACATTATTGGCTTTTTTCAAAACACCACTTGTTTATCGGTGAAAAAGAATTACTGGTACGGCTACACGAGTTAGAAGTTACCCTTGTGGATGAAAATTATATCAATTTCAGATTCAATACTTGTCTAAACTTGGAGACAGTTGTAGGTAAAGAAAAGACTTTACTACATCTACAACAAAACTCGCCCGTTGGTTTGCAAAAATCAACAAACCGAAATGCTTCGGTAATAGCGGTAGGCGGTCACATAACTTCAATGCAATGGCTTCCAAAAGATTACAGCAAAAATAACAATGATAATTCTTCTTATCTCGCTATTGCAGTTATCAATAAAGATGGCGGGCTAGCTGCGTTACAGCCAACTTCAAAGGAATTGAGCGTTTTCTCAAATCTTCATGCCCAGAAACTTGAATCGGCAATACAAATTTGGAAGTATAATGCATCCTTGGATGAAATCACCCTAGAGAAAATACTTGTTACCCTGAATTTTGGCGCCGTCACTGATATCCAATGGGCACCGCTTTACACTGATGGCAACGTGATTGGGGTCTTGGCTGGCGTGTTTAAGGATGGAACCGTTCGCATTCTCAAAATATCCCATACTCTCCCTAAATTTTCACGAATAAATACACCTTCGTTATCCTTTTATTCAAACGACCCACTACTACCAGCTAATAACAATTACGTCTCCAGAATTACTTGTTTTGCATTCCATGGTTCAAATAAGTTGTTAGCGGGCACAGCTGATGGATTTATTTTGGAGTTTGAGCTCCCTTTCTTGACTCAACATGATAATAATGGTAATAATAATAATAATAATGATGATGATGATGATATTAGTAATAGTTCTCCCAATTATAAAACGTTTGTTTCTCCTGGCCCCATATCTAGTATCGTTTCGATTAGAACGTCCGCCGCTGCAACATCAACAACACCTGCTGCCGCTAATACTACCACCGACAGAAACTCCATGATCTTGATAAACGGACAAGCATCACGAGGCGTTGCATTCCTTGATGCCAACCCAATACAAGATATATATGCACCATTACATGAAAAATCAAACATTAAACCAACCTACAACTATTTACTTCAGGACGTTTTGGTGACAACGCAAAACCTTGAAAGTGCCAAAACCTTGAGCCTTCGGTCTCTTCAAGATACTGCTTCTGAAACATTAAGACTCAGCGCATATATTACAGCTTGCAAACTATCAGAAGTTCTAGGACACCCATTCATGCTAACCGGTACCAATGCTGGTGACATTGTTATAATGAATTACTCTAGAAAGTTTCTTTCAAGTAGAGGGAAAGGAAAGGCGCTGCTGCCTTTGAAAATCTGGAAATTTCAAGCAGATAATACAAATGACGATACTCTTACTTTAATAGGTGACTACGAAAAATTAGAAGTTGAAAGTCCAGTGCCAGCATCATACATGCCCAAAGAAGTCATGATTAGCAGCGTAGCTTGGAACGAAAATGTTATTGGTGCTTCAGTCTATGCAGCAGGCACTGCATCTGGAGTACTATTGATTGAACGATTAGACCCAAGCAAACAATCGAGAAAAATATGAGATTGAGAAAAAAGTTTAATCAATTTCTATATCAATATTTAGGAATGCTCTGGTCGATATCGTCTGTCCACTTGTTTAAACCGCCAATTATATCTTTGGTTTGTTCGTATCCCATACGTAAAAGTTTTGCCGCGGCTAGTTGTGAATCGTTACCGAATCTGCAAATGACATATATTGGATCACATTTGTTCGTGTTGGGCGGCAAGTACTTTTCTATTGAATCTAGCTTTCTAAACTCTGGTTCCCATGCTATGTTAATCGAGCCAGGCAAGCTCGTGATCTCGAATTGCTCTTTGGGTCTTACATCGATCAAAATGTGTTTATTCCCTGCATTATGTATTGTGGCATATTGCTGAACCGAAACTCTATGACTTGCATCTAGCTGTTCAAAAATTTGTCTTCCACAAAAAGTAGCATAGTCTAGTCTTCCCTCCTTGATGCATTCCTTTGTTATTGTTGGGGAATTGCCACAAGAAATGCACGATGCTTGCTTGCTTCTCATTTTAAAGCTTCTCATATTTTGCAGTGGATATGCCGAATAAGATGCAAGAAATGGATGAAAATTATCTACTGTGTAAAAATCTGTAAGGACTTTGATTGCTTCCATAGCCATTGCAACTCCAACAATTCCAATTGCTGGACCAATGACACCACCATCCGAGCATGAGACCACAAATGCTGGGCTTGGTGGATCGGGGTAGAAGCATCTATAGCATGGCCCAAAGTTCTTAAAATTCAAAATTGTAAACTGGCCCTCGGCTTTTAAACCAGACCCGCTTACTACTGTTTTACCTAGTATAACGCAAACGTCACTAATCAAATATCTGATTGCAGGATGATCGGTACAATCCAAAATCAATTCGTACTGATCAATTATATCAAATGCATTATCATGTGTCAATCTCTCAGCAAAGCATTTTACATCTGTGTGCGGATTCAACCTGTTTATGTACGATTTGGCGGAATCGCATTTATAGCAGCCTAGTGTTTCTGTAGTATGAATTATCTGTCTATGTAAATTGCTCGTGTCAACCGTGTCATTGTCGATTATCCCAATTGTGCCCACTCCAGCAGCCGAGAGATACTGTAATAAAGGTGAACCCAAGCCTCCGGCGCCTACTACCAAGACTTTTGCTCTTTGTAGCTTTTTCTGTGCGCTCAATGAACCAAATTGCGGTACAATCATCTGTCTTCCATATCTTTTGTACTCATCTAGCGTGAAGTACTCATCAACTTTAAAACTTTCTTTTCCATATAAAGCATTTCCAACAAGCGCACTAAGCCTAGAGTTTTCTTCTTCCAATTTTTGAATCTTCTCAAGTAACTCCGCCTCGGTCAACTTAGTACTGATCATACCTCCTCCCTGCTTCAATTATATCTTCTTTAGTTCAAGCTCTTTATATTGAAAATTTTTCACCTTTACAAAGAGAGAGCGTTAAAGGAAGAAGGAGAGAGAGAGAGAGAGAGAGAAAGGAAAAAAAAACAAAACTAAAGCATGCAGATAATAGTAGGAGCTAGTCAGTGTGCTCCACTATCGAGCAAAGCGAGATAGCGGGTGAGAGAAAGCAGGATGTGTGTTTCAATTTTATACAATTTTTTGCTTAACAAAGAAGGACTTCAAGTGACGCAATTGGTAGACGCAAGTTCCAATCAAGACGATTAGCTGAACAATTGACCATTTCACAACTCTTGTATTAGTGGATTCACTTTGGTCTCTGAATGCGGCCTCTCTTTCTCTCATATGTTCTTGTTCCCAGTGAATTTTGTCCAATTGTTCATATAAGGCATTTACTCTCTTTGTCAAATCGTCAACCATTTTTGTTGATTTAGAGTCGACGTAATCGTGGCTCGAGCCTTGAGCAACATCAAAAAATATGCGGTGAACTTTGTTGCTAGTTCCATCGGTGTAGACTGGAGTTAAACAAAATTTGTGCTCGCCAGATTCCAACGAAGTGAAGGTGAACTCCCCATCTGGAGACGATTTCTGATCAATGACTCTTTCGTCATTGTCAAATGTTTCATCTATAGTAATTTGAACTTGTAAGTTCCTGCCTTTGAAGTATTCGTTTGAGCGCTCATCTTTCTCATAAGCGTCAATTCGACCAACTACCAATGTTTCGGCTTGTAACTCCTCATAAAAACACTTGGTTTCCCCAGTCTTTACATAAAAGTGGAATGCTTTTGTAATCTGGATACACGCTATAAGTAGAACTAAAAGCCTGCCAACCCCTTGTGCCATCATTTTCCTTTACTGATCTCTCTTCCTATCTTTTAAAAAGAACAGGTCTATTAAATACAATAGCTTTTTGGCCAAACTAATAAAACTTTTCGCTCCATTACACGTCAACGAATTAATTTTTTTTTCCATACTCGCTACCATGTAAGTGGTAGCGTATTATAGGCTGCAAAACTAACGCGCGACACTATCGAGCAACACTTTCGAGCGAAGTGAGGTAGTGGAGCAGTAGTTACTAGCATCGAGGCTTGCATGGCTTGCATGACTGATGATCCTTTATAGAAAATAAATGAGGTTTATGTAACCTTGACAGCTAGTGTGCTCCGCTATCGAGCACAGCGTGATAGCGTTGATAGTGTCGGTTACAGCTAGTGTGCTCCACTATTGAGCACAGCGAGATAGTGTCACGCTCGATAGCGTTGATAGTGTCGGTTACAGCTAGTGTGCTCCACTATCGAGCACAGTGAGATAGCGTTAATAGTGTCGGTTACAGCTAGTGTGCTCCACTATCTCGCTCTGCTCGATAGTGTCACGCTCAATAGTGTCACGCTCGATAGCGTTGATAGTGTCGGTGACAGCTAGTGTTGATAGTGTAGTGTCGGAGAGATGAGATTTATGCTACTCAATTATTGTCTATTTAACCTAGTTGGGAGTTTTCCTCTTGTTGATAATCTTTTTCTTTATATGCTTTTTCATCTTTGTTTTTCTCTTCTCTTGTTTGGCCAATTTCACAGCTTCCTTTCTAGCTTTCTTTTCCTCCTTGTCCTCAAATTTTTTCCCCTTGGGTTTGCTATCTTGTCTATAATGTTCGTCCTCGTCCCCGTCCCCGTCATCTTCCTCATCCTCTGTTTCCCCCTCTGTTTCCCCCTCTGTTTCCCCCTCTGTTTCCCCCTCTGTTTCTTCACTTTCATCTTCTACATCACTAGACAGATCAGACTGTTCGCCACCGTTTTCAGCAATATCCTCCTTGTCTGTATTGCCAATATCATCGGACGAGTGAACGTGTGTCCTTTTAACAGAGGACACAAGCTCATTCATCGTGTCCACTTTACCCTCGGAAAATTTTTGAAAATCTCTCTCATCAAGATGATTCAACGACCTCACCAAATGCAAAGACCTAAACACTTCATCCTCTATTTCCTGATCGCAAGTTGTCTTTAATGGCAAAGACTTTAAATACAACATCAAAGTGTCTTCATTTGCCGTATCTATCTCTAGCTGCTCATCACTTGCAGTGACAAATTTGAAAATAGCCTTTTCTGGGTACACGTCAATTCCCTTTCTGTGAAAAAAATCATTGACATTCTTGATGTCCATTCTCAAGAAATCAAGCGCCATAGGATGATCTGGTTCCACAGACTGTGACACATCTATAATATATAGTTTATTAACATGGACAATTGAGTTATATTCGCTCAAATCTGCATGAACAAGCTTACACTCCTGGAATAGTCGCCTCATGCAAATCAACATATCTTTATAGTATCTAATAACCTCGTCATGATCCTTAAAATCATAATCCTTCAACTTTGGCGACGGCTGATCATGACCTTCAGTTAGATACTCCATTACCAACACATGCGACTTGATCATATAAGGGCGAGGACATGGCACTCTACTCTGATATATCCTACTCAAATTACGAAACTCCTTTTCAGCCCAAATCTTCACCATCTTTCTGGGATTACCCTGGTCCTTACAACCGCGGAGCCGGAAATCTCCATCCACATACCGCTTACGGTCTTTAAAAACAAGAATAGACGTTTTGAATACCTTAACTGCAAACTCAGAGTCATTGTCAAGATCATCATGAGTTCCGTGATACACATTTGCTTCCTTACCGGTGCTAATACACCCATTGATTCGAGTCATTAAATTAGTATTAAAAATCTTACCCAAAAATCGAAGCGTCCTGGGATCCAAAACTTGCTCAACCGTGGCTCTATTCGCACGGTCTTTATGAATTTGCGGACCTTTCTTAAATGGCTCAGTCTTTATCTTATGTGCATATTTCAAAACAATGTCTTCCTTCTCAGATAAAGCTTCGGTACCAGAACCCAACCTTTTATACTCCTCATTTTCTATACTATCCATATTCACATAAACACTATCTTCTTCCATCACAGTAAACCTCTGAAAAACCAACTGCTGAACCAAAAGAACCCCCTCCCAAAATTCTACCTACTTACTATATAAAGACTTGTTCGCGATTTTTTGAGTTTTTGAGATGAGGTATAAAATAAAAGAACAAAAAAAAATAAATAAACAAAACGGTTCCATATTACAAGGTCAGGCTTCATTTTAGAAGAGCAATAGAGAGGTATGACTTTACCCACTGGTCTACAATCCTTGCTACCGCAAGTATGTTTAAGCTTCATCGGTTTTCAGAAAGACTTCTTATAAGATTGAGATCCTAACATTAATGGCCCATTTTCTTTTTTTGGCTTTTCTTATTTTTTAGAAATTTCTAGGTTTTATTCCCCTTTTCATAGGCGTGGAAGTAATTTTGGGAGTTACTATACTTAATAAAGCCAGTGGGTTGTATGGTATATTATCTCTATTTACAGGACACCCTATAAACTTTTTGCAATGGCTATATAATTCGTTAGCGTTGTTAATGTTGCCAGTTTACGTTATGGCTTCTATTACATTAGAGAACCAGACCAAGAGTCCTCGTAAGATTTCTTTTGCCACTGTTGTTTTTTGCTTGGATACGCTTATTGGGACTTTTTACACCATGTACTTTATTTACTTTTGGTTCACAGAAGATGGTAGTGGTGGTGGTGCAGCTAGACATGTTAGAGCTGAGTCCCTGATTTCAGCATCGTCGCCACAATCTGCTTCTCAGCAGAGGGAGTTATTTTTCATTTTTAGCACTACGATATTGACCACGGCTTTTAGGTACTATTTCACCTTGGTCATGTTGAGTTTTACCAAGATTCTTTTGAAACAAAATGCACAGGAACTTAGGTACAAGATTGAAAGGACCCAAGAAAGTGAAAGCAGCTCATCTGAGTTCATCATTGAGGATCCAGAAGAAGCCGAGATTGCTAACTCTACAGGTTTGATGGGGGAGTTCAAGAATGCTGTATTTGACTTGGAAATGCGATCAAAGGATTTACTTGACGAAATATTGAATTGAGAGAAAGAGAAAGAGAAAGAGAGAGAGAGAGAGAGAGAAAGAAAGAAAGAAAGAGGGAGATAGAAAGAGAGAGATAGAAAGAGAGAGAGAGATGCTTGTGTACAGAATAGAGAAAAAATTGTAATGTAGCGTATATTGGATGGTCTAAATGCATGCATTTCTATTCTCCATTCTGAATATGGTTCTATCCTACTGATAACTCTATGCTATTAATTTATTCATGGGCTCGAATCAGATACAGGTTTGTGCAAAGAATGTCAACCGATTTAGGAAAAGTGATATTGTACTCTCAGAATACGGGTGAGTTACTTTGCTTACTAAAGCAATATTCTGTATCATCAGCTAAAGGGGAGAGAAAGATGACGCTGAAACAGAAAATAGTGTGTATAGAAATAGTGTAGATGGTGATGTATCAGCAGAGTCAAAAAGTCGCCTCCGGCTTCACCAGAGCAAGTAATAGTGTAGACGAGGATAAACCAGCGTCGCCTCCTACTCCTTCTAGTTGATACCTTTCACTCAACGATACGTTTGAAAATTTCCACTTAACTCGCTCAAGCTTTTTACTCCACAATTAAACAAAAGCGTTAACTAAAAAATTTTGTGAGTTTACCCCCCACTTAATTGTTACAAAAGATTAAGATTTATCAGTGAAATGGGACAATCTGCAAGTGGAAATGAGTCCAATAGCCTTCAAGTAAGACTAAGTAAGAAGCAAATAGCCGACTTATTCTATACCAGAAGTGTGCTTCTCTTGAAACCAACGGAGATTGCTTTTATTAAATCCATATGCAATAAGACAGGAGAGGAGCAAAACAATGAATTGGTGACCATAGACGATGTTTGTGAGTTCTTTTTTCATGGAGCGAAATTTGAGCAAGGAGGCAGTAATGGTAGTGGTAGTAAAGAAACGTTTAGACAGGCAGTAGTTACATTGATGAGAGCAATGAAACTCATTGGGCAATTCCCATTTTTGAAAGCAAATGAGGACAATGAGTTTCTCGATGTGTTGAACTTGAGAGAGCTTGTTATTTCAATAATCTTCTTAAGCGGTCGTTACAAGAAGATTTGGAAAGGGGGTTACGATTTTGTAAAACTTTGGTATATTGCATTATCTTGGAAAGCCTCACCAATATCGTCTCAAACTCAAGATGATGAACAACAATTTGTCGTAGACTTAATACAACCATTTGAGGCAGATGACGACATAGAATTGAAATCAAGAAAAGTCAACTGGGAAGCATTTGAAGTAGTGAGAACCTACAATGGAGTTGTTGTACAAGACTTGAAATTAAATGTTAAAAACTTGCAAGGTATAGTGACATTACTCCTAATAGAGGAGTCCGTTTTGAAGCAAAAACACGAAATTGCACATGAGCAATTCTTACAATATTTGGCAATGTGGAAGGAATACAATACGTATTCCCTATGTCTTTTGAGATATTTTGATATCTCTTTACACGCAACAAAAAAGTCGCAAGAAGAAGGTGAAGATGGTAATGAAGAAGAAGGAGAAGAAGGAAAAGAACAGCATGTAATTACGTATGATGATTTTTCAACTTGGATTTCAAGACTAATGTCTGGATTTTTCGAGACCAATTTGCAAACAATAATAGATAGAATTTGCAGTAACAGCTCAACTGGAAATAAGAATGAAAAGGAGAGTGCACATCCCAAGTTTTCCAACTCGAATATGGTGACAATACCGTTCTTGGCGTATCTTTCTTGCATATTGCGCGGAAGCACAAGCAGTTTGAAGGTGACAAGTCAAAATATAGTTAAACTTTATGCCGGCCTGGAGTCTGGCTTTTCAATACGTTCTTTGGAGACTAAGATTTTCAAGTGGCAGGCACCTACTTTATTCGTAGTGAGTGGACGCAGAATTAAGCAAAAAACAGAGCGAACAAATCGTAGATATCAACAATTCAATGTTCTGTTTCCACGTTATTTTTTGAAACTGGAAAGCGCTTTAAAACCATGGCAGAGTGAGAACGATAGAATCACCTATTGTGTAGTAGTCAACCAGCCATGGCAACATTCAAATAAAAAGAATTTTGGCGACGAGAAATCTCTTATTGTTTCGGTACAGCCTAGAGCAGATTATTTCAAAAGTGTGCATAGCAACATACTAAAGGGCCAGCTGATATATTTTAACACACTTGGGATGGGAATAGGCTTTGGAAATTCCCAACCTGTTAACAAAACGAATAATCAGAGATATTATCCCGGCAACGTTTCTTTGACTATTGAGGCTAACTTGGAATTTGCAGTATTTCGACATTTGGGAAATCTGCATACCAATGCAACAAATTACTTTCAAAAATCGGTTCAAAGTAAATTAGAAATGGAAAATTACGAAGATCGCTTTGCAATTACTGATTTGGAAGTATGGGGTATTGGGTCGAAGAAAGAACTAGACGAGCAGCAGCGACAATGGAAGTGGGAACAAGAACAAGCAGAGGCTAGACAAAGTGTTAATCTACGGAGCATGGGAGAAGAAAGAGCATTTATGGAGATGGTAGGATTAGTAGGGAACCATGGTAGTGGTGGTTCTATATAAAAAAAAAAGAAAAAGAAAAAAGAAAGCAAAGAAAAAAAAGAAAAAAAAGGGCCCACCTCCTCGACTATGTCTTTCCCTCCATAACATACAGAGCCGCGTCGCGGGGCCGGCGGGCGGGCGGGCGCAAAAATTCTGTAGGCTTTGAGTTTTTTTTTTTTTTTTTTTTCCTTCTTTTCATTTTCCAGATTTATTTTGAGATGAGATAAAGTTACAAGTTAAGTTGAATCAACCAAAGTAGTGTTGTAAGATGGCCAAAGATAAGCAAAAGAAGAAGAAGGACGCACAGACTATAGGTAAACCAATAACACTGGATTCTAGGTTTAAATCTGTACACAATGACCCGAGATTTAAATTTCCCAGCTTTAAAAATTTGAAAGTCAAAGTAGATGATAGGTTTAATAAAGATGAGTTGAAAAAATTGAGTGCTGGTTCAGCTGGAAAAAAAGTCAAGATCGACAAATATGGAAGAAGGCTTGGAAAGAAGGCAAATGTGTTGAGCAAATTTTACGAGCACGAGAATGAGCACGAGAATGAGGAGGGTGAAGAGAGCGAGGAGAGTGAAAAGAGCGAGGAGAGCGAAAAGAGTGAGGAAAGCGAAGAAGACAAAGAAAGTGAAGAAAGTAAAGAGGTGGAAGCATTAGCAGCAAAGATTAGAGTCGAGGAAGCAGGGTTTGATAGAGCACGTGGAGAAGGTTCTATAGACACATCGGAAAGCGAGGAATCAGACTCTTTGTCGTCGTCGTCGTCTGATGAAGAGGAAGAAGAAGTTGATATTGATGAAGGAAGTGAGTCTGAAATAGAATTAGAAGAAAACAAACCAGACGAATCAGATCCAACAAGTTCTTTTGCTGTTGTAAACATGGATTGGGATAACATTCGAGCAGAGGATCTTATGGCCACATTTTTGTCATTTGTTCCTAAGGGAGGCAAGATAAAAACCGTTACAATTTACCCTTCTGAATTTGGTAAGGAACGGATGCAAAAAGAAGAGATAGAAGGTCCACCAAGAGAATTGTTCAAGAGCAAGAAAAAGAAGAGTAAAAAAGGTAAAATAACTTTAAGTTCGAATTCGGATTCGGATTCGGATTCGGATTCAGATTTGGACTCCGATTTTGACATAAATGATAGCACACAATTGGAGAAGGTGACACGAAAGCTTTACGAACAAGATGACGGGAAGGAAGACTATGATAGTAAGGCTCTACGCTGGTACCAGTTGCAGAGGTTGAGATACTATTATGCAGTGGTTGAGTGTGATTCTGTTCATACATCTCAAAGTATATACCAACAAGTGGATGGTACCGAATATGAATCTACGGCTAATATATTTGATCTCCGGTACATTCCGGAAGATATGACATTCAACGAAGAGGAAGCTAAGGATCGCTGTGATCATGTTCTGGCGAACTATCGTCCTGATTCCAGATTTGTGACTGATGCCTTACAACATTCAAAAGTCAAGTTGACGTGGGACGAAACACCAAAAGAGCGTAACGCTTTATCATCGAGGACCTTGTCCCAAAAAGAAATAGAGGATAATGATTTTAAGGCTTATTTAGCAAGTGATTCCGAAAGCGAAGAAATAGACAACGAGGGTGTTAGTGCAAAGAGCAAATATCAAAGCTTATTAGGAGATACATTTCCAAAATTTGGGAAAAGAAATGAAGAGGAAGATGATATTGATTTGGAAATCACTTTTGATCCCGGATTAAAGGAAAAGAATGACGACGATGAGGATGAGGAGGAGGAGAACAAGAAGGAAGAGTCTACCATCGATGCATATAAGCGAAAAGAAAAAGAGAGGCGTCAAAGACGACTTAACAAATTCAAAGAAAAACAACAAGGTGGACCAGATGGGGAGGACGCTACAGATGCGGGTAATATTGAAAAGTCTGGTAATAAGACGAAGAATAAGGGGAAGTTGCTGAAAGAGCTTTCCCTAAAGCAAAAAGCTGAGTTGGAGCTTGTAACAATGGACAACGACCAAGTGGGTGAGCATTTTAACATCAAGGATGTGTTGAAACACGAAAAATCGAAAAAGAACAAAAAATCGAAAAAGAGAAAGAATATTGACAATGAGATGATCCAGGATAATTTTGAGCCCAATTTAAATGATCCGAGATTTAGTGAGATTTTTGAAGATCATGAATATGCCATAGACCCTACTAGTAGTGAGTATAAACAAACAGAAACAATGAAGAAGATTTTAAGGGAAAGATCTAATAGAAAAAAGAATTTTGAAGCAAAAGATGGATTGACCCAATTGAGTAAGAAGGAAAGGAAAACAAAGACCGATTCAGATAGTGTAAAGGATATAGCTAGGAAATTATTAAAGAGACAAAAAAGGGAGTAGGTCGATGATGCACGTGGTCGGTATTGAGTCGAGTCGACGATGAAGAGTGACAATGACAATTTACGGGTTTAACTGCAACTATCTTGTTGCATTATCTGTAAAGCCAGTTTATAGGTGACTTTTCAGTAACAATTTTTTTTTTTTTTTTTTTTTTTAAAATTAATTATTTATTTTTCGACACGCGTCAAACCTATTTCCCAATCGAGTCAATTTTTACATTTTCGGTTCAACGTTGGTGATATTGACGGTGATAGCCGCCTTAGTGTAAAGGGAAATTTTCGTCATTGTAACAACGATAAATTTTTTCTTCAAAACGAAAACCAAACACATGATGTGAAAACACAGGCTGCAACACATGATGTGAAAACATAGGCTGTAAGAAAAGCATAGGCTAAAAGGTTCAAACACATGATGTGGAAACATAGGTTGTAAGGTTAAAAGAGTCATGGCTTATCAGAGATGTGTAACTAAAAATATAGCTCGACAAATTGTATCGACAAATTGTATCTAAGCTCGGCAAATTAATTTAATTTATCTCGCTAAATTTCATTTCTCGGTGTTGGACATCAATGCGAATCAGATATATATATATTTTTTTATTTACTATTGGCATTTTTTCTAAACCGAGTGATTCAAATATGCCAATATACACTTTAAGTCACTACAACCATACCGCTAAAACACCCCTCTTCTTTCCCTGTCCCCTTTTCCCTCCACCTTTTACCCTTTTCCCTCCACCTTTTACCCTTTTCCCTCCGCCTTTTACCCTTTTCCCTCCACACTTTACCCTTTTCCCTCCACCTTTTACCCTTTTCCCTCCACACTTTACCCTTTACCCTTGTCCCATTTTTCTTTCTTTACAACCATCTACTCTCATTTTGTCCCATAAACAGAGTTGACTACCAGTTTCACCCTTGTTTTATTCCATTGTAGTAAACTTTTCCTTTATCCAATTCTCTCTATAAAGTTTTATTGTTAAAGTTATAGGTAATTTTTATTAATATACGCATACATACACACACACTACTTTTTCTCCTTTATTAATTAAAATTTTATTATGAATCGAAAACACCCTTGAAAAAATTCATGTTTCAAATAGTGTACAAGACCCCCCCCCCCCACTTTAGGAAGGAGTCAGCCTTTTACACAGAAACAGCCACTACTTAGAGACAGCCACTACTTAGAGACAGCCACTACTTAGAGACAGCCACTACACAGAGATATTTTCTCACAGAGACAGCCACTACATAGGGTCCACTACATAGAGACAGCCGCTACTGAAAAAAAAAAAAAAACACCACTTACTTTCTTACTTTTTTATTACTTTTTTTCAATATCCTTTTACCTTGTCGTCTTCTCATTCACGTGTTTATCATTTTTGGAGCAGCTCAAGTGAAGTCAAGTTATGTCTAGTGTTTATACGTCAGATTTGAAAAATCACAGAAGAGCTCCTCCGCCGCCTATAGTCAAAAATGGCCTAAGCTCAAACTTGAACTCCTCAGTCATTGGAGCTGCTGCAATAGGTACAAATTCACTGCTCAGGCCTATCGATTTGAATTTGAACTTGAGCAAACGTCATTCAGGATGGGTGCATGTCAAAGACGACGGGTTATTCACTTCTTTCAGATGGAACAAACGGTTTATGAGTATCAACGATAGAACTCTCAATTTCTACAAGTCAGAGCCTAGTCCTCAAGAGAGCTCAATACCGGATTTATCGTTTCCCTTGAATTTAATAAGCACTATTCACTTGAAACCACAAACGGGTCATAATAGAACAGCGCAATCTTTTGAAATTGTACCAAAGAATAACGGAAGATCGATTTTGATATCGGTAAAGACAAGCAACGATTATTTGGACTGGCTAAATGTTTTCGCTGCAAGGTGTCCTTCGGTACAGATTGGCCAATCGTCATCGTCGGTGTTGGCTTCATCAACTGTCGTGTCTTCACAATCATCTTCAGGTTTCAATTTCACGTCCCTGCTATCGCCTTTGAGTGTCTCGACAAATTTGAATACAGGAGGCTCATCACTACTCAATGGAGGCAACTCGAGTGTTTCAAGCCCAATTAACTTTACCCATAAAGTCCATGTAGGATTTGACCCAGCTAGCGGTAATTTCACCGGCTTACCTGAAACTTGGAAAAGTTTGTTACAACATTCAAAAATTACAAACGAAGATTGGAAAAAGGATCCAGTTGCCGTTATCGAGGTTTTGGAATTTTATTCAGACATAAATGGAGGATCTAATGCAGGAACACCAATTGGATCGCCTGTGATTAGTAACATTAACTACAAGAACAACAACAACAACAATAACAACAACAATAACAATAACAATAACAATAACAACAACAACAACAACACCAATAACATTAAGATCTCCAGTATGGAGGACAAGAATACAAACTCGAATCTACAAGAATGGACGAAACCTCCTCCAAAGAGCAATACTACTCAATTCAAGCCAAGTAGAGCGGCTCCAAAGCCACCAATTCCTCACAACTCGAACCAAGCAGGCAACAATGTGCCTGAAAACAGAAACTATTCACCTTTGACTAGCTTGCTAGACAAATCCGAGACTTTAAATAATAGCCACAAAGATGAAAACCTCATTGCAGTGAGAAGAGCTCCACCACCACCACCGTTGGCCTCAAGCAATTTAAAACATGAAATTCATACGCTAAACCAACAGCCAAGCTCTACAATGCCTAGACAGTCTCCACCAAAACCACCATCACTTGGATCAAACTTCAACAATAAATATTTAGCCAACAATATACATTCTGAAATTAGAATCGAGAAAGGTACAGCTCCTTTTGTAAGTAATAAGGAAAATACAAATGAAGTGCAAAATAAACAGCTGATAAATCCATCATTACATTTTGACAAAGACAAAGACAAAGATAGAAATATTCCCACCACTGCTAACACTTCTGTTACAGCTATCCCCCCAATCCGCACTCAACAGCAGCAACAGCAAAAGCCACCACCACCGCACCATCAACAACAACAAGCTCCTTTTAGTGGTCCTACCGGTGTCTCTCATCTGGTAACGAAACCATTAAACCCAATAATTGAGCCTATTAAGTCACTACAGTTGAAAGCAAAAGCCCAACCGTTTGAAAAATCCAAGAATGGTGTTCAACCAGCTCCAACCGGTCCAGCTGTGACTAAAGGAGCCAAACAATTGAAAAAGGAAAGAGAGAGGTTGAATGACTTGCAAGTGCTTGCGAAATTGAAGACAGTAGTCAACAGCAATGACCCCATCCCGCTATTTAGAATTATCGAAAAAGCAGGGCAGGGTGCAAGTGGAAACGTTTATTTGGCAGAGATGATATCTGAGCGCAAGAAGATTGCAATCAAACAAATGGATTTGAATGTGCAACCACGCAAAGAGCTTATTATCAATGAGATATTAGTAATGAAGGACAGCCAACATAAGAATATTGTGAATTTCTTGGACTCCTATTTGCGCAAGGATACGGAATTGTGGGTCATCATGGAGTATATGGAAGGAGGCTCATTAACGGAAATCATTGAAAATAATGATTTCAAACTAAGTGAGAAACAAATTGCCACGATATGTTTTGAGACATTGAAGGGATTACAACATTTACACAAGAAGCACATAATTCACAGGGATATCAAATCGGACAATGTTCTCTTGGATGCACACGGAAACGTAAAGATTACTGATTTTGGATTTTGTGCTAAATTAACCGATCAAAGGAACAAAAGAGCAACCATGGTTGGAACTCCATATTGGATGGCGCCTGAAGTTGTTAAACAGAAGGAGTATGATGAGAAGGTTGATGTCTGGTCGCTTGGTATAATGACTATTGAGATGATAGAAGGAGAGCCACCATATTTGAATGAAGAGCCCTTAAAGGCATTATATCTTATTGCCACCAATGGTACGCCCAAGTTAAAAAAACCAGAGTTATTGAGTAATTCTATCAAGAAGTTTCTATCCATTTGTTTATGTGTTGATGTTAGATATAGAGCTACTACTGACGAATTATTGGAGCATTCCTTTATACAGCACAAGTCGGGCAAAATCGAAGAATTGGCACCACTTTTAGAATGGAAAAAGAATCAACAACAACAGCAGCAGCAAAAAGAGCAACAGATAAAAGAACAACAGCAAGCACAACAGCAACAACCGTGTAACGGGTAAACGGTCGATCTTTAACTTTGACTAAAAGAGCATGGGTAAAATATAGAGGTAAGCCCGTAAAAACACTAAAACAAAAAAAAAAAAAAAAAAAGAAACTGCATATTTATTTGATACAAAATAGTCAAAACCTCTTTGGGTGCAGGCAAAAAAGCCTGTCTTTGGGAAAAAACAAAAAGAAAAAGGAAATAATTTGGGAGAGTTTTCAAAGATAACTCTAAGGATAGGGGCTTTTTGGGAGGGCTATTAGGAGGGCTTTTTTCAATATTATGCCGTTAATTAACCTTATCTGAGTTTTCAGTTTACTAGATTGCAAACAAACTAAAATGGAAATAAAAAGGAATTCATGGAGCAAAAAACATTTCCTTTTTTTTTCTTTCTTTTTTTTTTTTTTTATTCTTTTTTCCTTTAAGAAATTAGAGAAGCATCAAGTCATCTCAGATTATATTTACTTGTCAATTACAGGAAGAACAACCAAACTATAGCATAAAAAAAAAAGTTTAACTAGAAAAGCTTAGACAAGGAAGCTTCAAGAATAGTCAGTAGCAAACAACTATATAAATCACGAAAAAAACCAGGGTTTTTTTTCTATAAATTCATTGAAAAATCTGTTTTTTTTTTTTTATTTTTTTCCCCCAATAACGAAGTCACACGATGTCATCATCAAGTTGACATATTTATAGACAGAAAACGTGTATTTTAGAGACCTTGTGTATTATCATTGAGCTATACATTTGCTGACCTGCGATTTTTGTTGACAAACTGAACCTATTGAAGCTTTGCAGAAGTGGAGATGAACACTGTTTCTGCCGAATATTACGGTGACAATTTTATTCCCGGTACTACAAATATCCTAACAGGAAAACGTCCTCATGATGCAGACTCCGTTATCTCAAACAAGCGTGACAGACACGGTCTTGTTCTTATCCCACAACCAACGGAGTCTCCCAATGACCCATTAAACTGGTCAAAACCAAGGAAATTATGGCACTTGTCATTACTATCATTCATCACTGCTCTCACAGCAGCAACTTCAAACGATGCTGGAGCAACTCAAGATTCCTTAAACGAACATTATGGCATATCCTATGACGCAATGAACACGGGGGCAGGGGTGCTTTTTATATTTATTGGTTGGTCATGTATGTTTTTTGCACCAGCTTCGTCCTTGTATGGCAGACGCATCACATATCTTATTTGTCTAATATGTGGTACTTTGGGTTGTGTATGGTTTGCTCTTAGTAAACGAACATCAGATACCATTTGGTCGCAAATGTTTGTTGGTATTCTGGAGTCATGTGCCGAAGCTCAAGTGCAACAAAGCTTGAGTGATGTATTTTTTCAAAATGATTTGGGCAGTGTTTTAACCATATACATTTTGGCCACTTCAGTAGGTACGTTTTTGGGACCCTTAATTGCCGAAATCATTTCTATGAACATGAGTTTTAGATGGGTTGGATGGTGGGGTGCCATTATTTGCGGTGTCTCCGTTATTGTCATTTTCTTTGGATGCGAGGAAACTGTATTTGATAGACAATCGTATAACAAGGTAGACAGCTCCACTGTTGTTGTTGTTAAGAAGATTATGCAAGATTCAGAAAAGAATTTACATGGTGAGATGGGGAGTGGGAGTGAAACTGAAATCGAGGGTGAAGATTCTTTATCAACAAAGCAAAACAATATTCTTGGTACGCATAGTCACGAATCTGTTAAAGAGATAACCAAGGCTGCTGATGATGAGTCTCGTAAAGAAGTACCGAAATCATACCATAAACGCATTGCTTTGATCACACCTGCTCCGTACTTGAAGGGTCTCGGTATCAAGCAATACCTTGAGAGGTTTCTCATCTACTTTAAAGTATTTACATTGCCAGCCGTTTGGTTGTCGGGAATATTATGGGGGTTACAAGATGCTTATATGACTTTCTTTTTAACCACTCAGGACACTTTTTTTTACGACCCACCGTGGAATAAGAGTAATACTGGGGTTGCCGTGATGAATGTTGCCACATTGATTGGTGCTGTAATCGGGTGTATTATGTCAGGAGTATTTTCAGATAAACATGTTGTTTGGATAGCCAAGAGACACAATGGTGTGATGGAACCTGAATATAGACTCTACTTGCTTTTCATTACCTTGATTGTATCACCAGCTGGATTGATTATGTTTGGGGTTGGAGCAGAAAAGGAATGGCCCTGGCAATGCATTTATGTGGGTTTGGGTTTTATTGGGTTTGGTTGGGGTTCAATTGGTGATACTGCGATGTCCTATTTGATGGATGCTTACCCTGACATTGTTATACAGGGTATGGTTGGGGTTTCAATTATCAATAATACATTAGCTTGTATTTTCACCTTTGTATGTTCCTATTGGTTAGATAACTCAGGCACAGCAAACACGTACATTGCATTGGCAGTTATCGATTTTGTCACTATTGCATGTATCATCCCATTCTTGTATTTTGGAAAGACATTTAGAAAAAGAACAAGACGAATATATGTAAACATGGTTGAATTGACTCAAGATATGGGTTGACTTATCTTTATATACGTATATACATTAGATTTATTTCTTTTAATATATTTATTTATTTATTTATTTACTTATTTACTTACTTGATACAATTTTGCGGTGGGTGGCTCGTTTCAACACCATATTGGTGTAATGCACAATTGTTTGTTTTAGAGTATAGCTCAATCTATATTCATTTCTTCCTGAGCTTGCTCAATGGCCGCCATTGATTCTTGCTCATCACCATTTTGGCCCATATATTCATTCAACTCCTTATCCAAGTCCTCGGCACTTTTCTTTGGTCCAAAGCGATGGCTTCCTCGTCCTCTTCCTCTTCCATGCAACCCACCTCTGCCTCTTCCTCTTCGACTTCTTCCACTAGTACCCAGGCCTCTATCACCAATATCTCTTGTAAATATATCAGTATTTCTAGAAGGAGCAACAGTGATCCGTTCCGCCAAACTCATATTGACAGCATTTTCAACAATCAAAATCTTACCCATGGCTTTTTTCCCATCATACTTCTCTATAGCCGCCCTATTACTTCTTTCGCAGTCATTTTGGAAACAAATATATGCAACTGTATCATTCTCTTCGTCGAACTTGATAAAATCAACGTCGTTAATAGAACTGAATAATTTATTCAAATCCTCACCGTTCAATTCAGGATGAATGTTTTTCAAACGTAATGTGGGACGTCCATCTGCCATTTGTAGCACATCCCTAGGAACAGACGAGGAGGAGGAGGAGGAGGAAGTAGCTCGTGGAATATAAACGTCTGCGACTCCTCGATGGGGTAAGGGTGGATGTCTCCTATATGGGTGACCATTATTGTTTGAGCGGCGAGACAGCGACAACCCTCTTCTCCTTGTGGGTATAAACTTTCTTTGACTTCCTTTTTCGCCAATTATGTCGTCTAGCGATTTTTCCAATATATTGGACATGGTTTATGGGATCCGTGATTTATATGAAAATAGTTTTTACCAACGCCTAATTTTTTCTCATCTTTTTCATTGGGTTTTTTTTTTTTACTCGATTTTTCACATTGAAGCTCATTACATATTGAGGCTCTATCTGCAATGAAGCCCAATTCACTTTCAGGGCTCTATATTCTACTTTTGTTTTTAAAGTAATAGGCTTTACGTTGTAAATTGACAAGGAACGAGACTTTTGTTTACTATTTTGAACAATTTCTTCTCAATTTGGTACCAATTTCTTTTCAATAATATATAGTGACTATCGAGCAGAGCGAGATATTTTATGCTCGTCAGTTTATAAAGAATAGATAGAGAAAGTAAGTAGAGAGTAGATTATAGCTTACAAAAAGAGTCCAAGGGATAAATTAGTCAATGTGCTCTACTATCTCCTTCTGCTTGATAGTGACTACAAGTTTCAACACTAATACTACTCCACTACTAACCTCTTTAATCTACCTCTACTTACTTTAGATTTGGTTCCCCTAACAATAAGAGATTTTAGTCATAGTCAAGATTGTCTCATTAATAATCAAATTGAGCGAGGTAGTGGAGCAACACCCAGTAGAGATGCACCTTTGATTATTATACACACGTAGCTTCCCCCCTCTCTCTCTTTTAGCTTGTTACAACACTATCGAGCAGAGAGATATAGTGTCATTAGTCAATGTGCTCCACTATCGAGCAGAGAGATATAGTGTCATTAGTCAATGTGCTCCACTATCGAGCAGAGAGATATAGTGTCATTAGTCAATGTGCTCCACTATCGAGCAGAGAGATATAGTGTCATTAGTCAATGTGCTCCACTATCGAGCAGAGAGATATAGTGTCATTAGTCAATGTGCTCCACTATCGAGCAGAGAGATATAGTGTCATTAGTCAATGTGCTTTACTATCGAGCAGAGAGATATAGTGTCATTAGTCAATGTGCTTTACTATCGAGCAGAGAGATATAGTGTCATTAGTCAATGTGCTTTACTATCGAGCAGAGAGATATAGTGTCATTAGTCAATGTGCTTTACTATCGAGCAGAGAGATATAGTGTCATTAGTCAATGTGCTTTACTATCGAGCAGAGAGACATAGTTTCATTAGTCAATGTGCTCCACTATCTCGCTCTGCTCGATAGTGTCGCTTTGCTCAATAGTTTCTCTTTCCCATTTAACGTATTTTGGAACAATCGAAATTTTGAATTGTATTTCTTACACGCCGCTACTAAACCACCACGGGCACAGAACCATCCATTGACCCACCCACCCCTTCTTGTTCTTGTTGATTTGTATGTTTTTGCAATTATCCAAACAAACATTTTCAAAATCAATTCGTTCCTTGTCACCTAGAACAACAACATTAACAACAGCACGTAAGATGTCTACAGAATACTTGGTTACAATTTACGATCTTCCAAATGCTGATCGTTCAAAAGTCCGCGCTCAACATGTAAAAGATATTCCTGCCAATGTCCCCAATCCAGTTCGTTCAGCAGGCGCAATTTACACGGATGAGTCTAAAACCAAATTCGCAGGAAGTTCTTTCCATTTAGTTGCTGATAACAAACAAGAGATTATTGATTTTTTGAAAAAGGACATCTATTATAAAGAGGGAGTATGGGACATTAACCATGTCGATATCTTTCCAATCGGAATTGCTGTTAGATTGCCTAAAAAGATGGATGGCGTTGACGAGCTGAACTACAAGATTTAATCACCCAATCTAACAAAAAGGAAAAGGAAGATTTGGTGTATCGATATATTATAAGGGATGTATTTATTGGTATTTCTTTAATTTTAATACACAGAGTATATATATATATATATATATATATATTGTAAAAACAAAACAAAACAAAATAATAATAACCACCTCCTAGTACTTCTTTTAGTTTGATTTGTTTCATGTTCTTTGCCTCCTCTTTTTTTTTTTTTCCATTCCCATTTCTAACTGTACAAGTCATCTTCTTCTTCAACACTGCCAAAAGCAGCTCCAGAGTTTGAGTTTGCTCCTCCCTCAGAAAAACCACTGTTTTCTTTAAATCTAAAATTGGCAAACCATTTCTAACTGTACAAGTCATCTTCTTCTTCAACACTGCCAAAAGCAGCTCCAGAGTTTGAGTTTGCTCCTCCCTCAGAAAAACCACTGTTTTCTTTAAATCTAAAATTGGCAAACCATTTCTAACTGTACAAGTCATCTTCTTCTTCAACACTGCCAAAAGCAGCTCCAGAGTTTGAGTTTGCTCCTCCCTCAGAAAAACCACTGTTTTCTTTAAATCTAAAATTGGCAAACCATTTCTAACTGTACAAGTCATCTTCTTCTTCAACACTGCCAAAAGCAGCTCCAGAGTTTGAGTTTGCTCCTCCCTCAGAAAAACCACTGTTTTCTTTAAATCTAAAATTGGCAAACCATTTCTAACTGTACAAGTCATCTTCTTCTTCAACACTGCCAAAAGCAGCTCCAGAGTTTGAGTTTGCTCCTCCCTCAGAAAAACCACTGTTTTCATTAAATCTAAAATTGGCAAATTGACCTCTTGAAGCTTGCAATTGCTGAGCATAAGCTTCGTAACGACGTAAATCAGCATCTGAAACAGATCTCTTTGCTGTCTTCATAGCCTCTTCAACATGAGATCTTGTGATATATGGAACTGGGTCTTCTTCTTCTTCCTCTTCTTCTCCTCCCTCTTTCATATCAATATCCTCGGTTTTTGCTTCAGCTTTTGCTTCCTTGGCTTTATTGAGTCTTGCTTGAGCTTCAATGGAATCTTTAATTGCAAATTTGGCTGATCTTTGAACAATATACGACAAATCAGCACCCGAGAACCCGTGGGTGATCTTGGCAATCTCCTTCAAGTCCAAACCAGGTTCTAATGGCGTGTTTCTCAATTGCGCTTGTAATATGGACAATCTTGCAGCTTCATCTGGCAATGGAACATAGATTAATTGATCTAATCTTCCAGGACGTAATAATGCTGGATCGATTTGGTCTGGTCTGTTGGTTGCTCCAATAACAAAAACATTCTTTTTGGCATTCATTCCGTCCATCTCAGTCAACAACTGATTAACGACTCTGTCAGATGCACCGCCAGCATCTCCTTGTGAACCCCCTCTAGATTTAGCAATGGAATCCAACTCATCCAAAAAGACAACAGTTGGAGCAGCCGCCCTAGCCTTATCAAAAATATCACGAATGTTAGATTCAGATTCACCATACCACATACTCAACAACTCTGGACCTTTTACACTGATAAAGTTTGCAGAAACTTCTGTTGCAACAGCCTTGGCCAACAAGGTTTTACCAGTTCCCGGTGGTCCAAAAAACAAAACACCTTTTGTTGGGGCCAAACCGAATTTTTGGTATTGTTCTGGATGCAACACTGGGTACTCAACGGTTTCTTTCAACTCATTCTTGATATTATCCAAACCACCAATGTCGTCCCATGTAACATTAACATTTTCAACAACTGTTTCACGTAATGCAGAAGGATTGGAGTTCCCAAGTGCAAATCTAAAGTTATCTTGGGTAACCCCCAAGGAGTTCAAAACTTCAGTATCAATAGTATCCTCTTCCAAATCAATGAGATCCATTTTTTCACGGATTTGCTGCATAGCAGCTTCAGAACATAACGAGGCAACATCGGCTCCAACAAATCCATGAGTTTCCGCAGCGATAGCTTCCAAATCAACGTCGTCAGCTAATTTCATATTCTTGGTATGGATTCTCAAAATTTCTAAACGTCCTTCTGCATCGGGAACTCCAATATCAACTTCTCTATCAAATCTACCAAATCTTCTTAAAGCTGGATCAATCGAGTTTGGTCTATTTGTAGCGGCAATTACCACAACGTTTGCTCTAGCCTTCATACCATCCATAAGTGTCAACAATTGTGACACAACTCTCCTTTCCACTTCACCGTTTGTCTTGTCTCTTTTTGGAGCAATCGAATCGATTTCATCGATAAATATAATTGAAGGTGAATTCTTTTCGGCTTCTTCAAATGCCTTTCTCAAATTCGATTCGGATTCTCCAGCCATCTTGGACATGATTTCCGGTCCATTGATCAAAAAGAAGAATGCCCCAGTTTCATTGGCAACAGCTCGTGCCATTATGGTCTTACCTGTACCGGGAGGACCATACATCAAGATACCCTTTGGTGGCTTGATTCCAATTGACTTGAACAACTGAGGGTGCCTTAATGGCAACTCGACCAATTCCCTTATTTGGGCCATTTGTTTTTTGCATCCACCGATATCGTCATAACCAACCTCGTTCATATTATTCTCATCATCTTCACGATTGATGGGTTCGCCTTCGCAATGTATGATTGTATCTTGAGCAACAATAGCAATTTCCTCGGGATCAACCTCAACAACCTTGAACTCAACCTGCCTCATACCGCCCCTAACTGTGAAATAGTCCCCCTTTCTCACTGGTCTGTAAGCTTCAACGAAATACGGTTTCAAGTATAGATCAAACAAGGAGCCCGTGATACCTTCAACGGTATCAGCAATAGGCAAAACCGAGATTCTGTTTGCGTACTTGATATCGGGACAAGGATGCACTGTGACAATGTCACTCAATCTAACACGCAAGTTGTTACGCACGCAACGGTTGATTCTTGCCACACCATCCTCCATATCATCGTCGGCCAAAACGATTAAAACAGTATCTTTTCTCTTTTTACCCTTGACCAACACGGTATCGCCTCTGAACAACTGCAAAAGCTCCATTGTGTTAGAAGACATTGTGATGACGGAATTGTCATCGTTGGTGGCATCATCAACGACCAAAGCATTATCTTTCTTCTTCCTCCTCAAAATGGCAGTAGCAGTCTTATCCTCAGTAGCTGATGCTCCAGATGCATCGAAATGTTGTTTCTTATGATCTTCCTCTCCAGCCATTGTGAAAAACTGTTTAATTCTCTAACCTCTCAGCAAGTATATAAAAAAATAAAGTATATATAATTGATAAAATGTTTCAAGTATCAAATCTTTTTTTTTTTTGTTCTCCCTCTTTCTCTTTCTTGTTTGATGGCAAATTGCATAAAACAGCCTTAAAAACGTGGAAATGAGTGTGTGTTCATTACTATAAAGGCGAGAAAGCAAAGGGGAAAACTATAAAGGGGAAAAAGTAAAAATAAAAAAATGGCGAGAGGTACCAGGTGAGAAGTACTAGGTGAGACAAGAAGGGCGAGACAAGAAGGGTGAGAGAAAAAAAGAAAGACGTAGATAGAGGAGTGGGCAGTATTCAATATGGATGCGGATGGTTCTAGACGAAGAAAGTGAGCTAGAGTGTGGGAGGAGATTGTAGTTGAGGCTATATTAGTTGGCAATATTGAGTTTGCTTGCTGAATAAAGGTTTTTGAGATATTTATATAGGTAAATCTACTTAGCGAGCGAAGCGAGCTAGTGGAGCCAGTATGTAGTATCAACGGCCCCATCTCTACTCTATAAACAGCTTGACTAGAACCTGTCAGTGCTGCTGGTAAAATGAAAAGTGTGATGGTAAAAAAAAGAGTGTGATGAGTGCTTCTAATCAATGTACCCCACTATCGACTAAAGCGACACCATCTCGCTTTGCTCGATAATGTCTCTAGTCAATGTGCTCCACTATCTCGCTTTGCTCGATAGTGTCGCTTTGCTCGATAGTGTCGCTTTGCTCAATAGTGTCGCTTTAGTCGTCGCCTTGGCAGGTGGTAGCTACATTATCAAGTCTGTGCGCTTACTCAAAGAAAATTTCCTAAAATTGTACATTCTCCATTCTTATATACCTATTTGGTATTCTACCTTGGACGTTATTTTCCCCATATAACAATGTCATCAAACGCATCTTGTATCTTTTGTAAAATCATTAAAGGAGAAATTCCTTCTCTTAAATTAATCGAAACTAAACTCAGCTACTCCTTTTTGGACATTCAACCAACTGCCGAAGGGCACATCTTGGTCATCCCAAAGTATCACGGTGCCAAATTGCACAACATTCCAGATGAGCATTTGAGTGATATCTTGCCCGTGATGAAGAAATTGACCAGAGCATTGAAATTGGACCAAAACAATACCCCTGATGGTGAAGGCTACAACATCTTGCAGAATAATGGAAGAATAGCTCATCAAGTTGTTGACCATGTGCACTTTCATTTGATACCCAAGAGAAACGATGAAGAAGGATTGGGCGTTGGCTGGCCAGCACAACCTACAGATTTTGAGAAATTGGGCAAATTACATGAACAATTGAAAAAAGAGTTGGAAACTGCTGCTGAGAATGAAAAGTTGTAAAAGAAAACTTGAAGCTTGTATATGTGCTTTTTATAATAATCCGCCAATTAACCCACCAGCGTAGCCTGCTATATAGCTTGTGAAAAATGTAAGTGTCGATGCCCCAAATGGAAAATAGCTCACAGTATAGTATAAAACAGCCAATATCTCAATAATACTAGTAAAAATCGTCAATATGCTACTCTTCAATATTACACTGGAATAGATAGTCAACAATATGGAGGCGAAGAATACCGTAGTGAAAACTATTCTGTCCCGAGATATTAGGTGTAGCACATAGTTATATGGACCCTGCAAAATCCCAAAGGAAACAAGAAATAATAGTGAGCCTCCTGACCATAACAAGCCAAACTTCCTTGGTCGTAACGCCAAGACGGGAAACATAAAAAAACACAAGATGAAACACAACATGGAAGCCCCAAAACAACATGCAAACCCAATCAACCGTTCTAGTCTCGATAACTGGAACCACGCAGGCTCAGATACACTATTTTCGTTTACGCCACCTGTAAGATCTTGCACAGAAGTGGGTAATCTGCTATAAAGACCATTAGCCCCAGTTCTAAAATAATCAGACCATTCGGCTAGCACTGGTCGATTCCCTCTTGTCGCTTCATTAAAGCTCGCGTTCCAGTTTTGAAACAGCTGTCTAAATGCACTCTCTTCGTTAGACATAATTGCCTCTCCCCTTTGTATTATTGTCTATGATATAATGGCCCTCCCCCCAAAAAAAACAAAAAAAAAATAAAAAAAGAAAACTAGTGCGTATAGCTCGTACTGATTGAGCCTTGTTTCCACCTACCAAATAGCTTTACCCCCCTTTTAACTTTGTTTATACTTCCCTCCTTTGGTGAAACTGTTTTCCTATTTTTTTTTTACCCTTTTATCACCTCTCGTAGGTTGACGACCAGCTTAATTCAAGATAAGCTTAAGCTCTAGACTCAATCCTGGCGCCTAATCTAATCCCACACCTCACAATATCTTTGTTGCATTTTTTTTTTTGGCCGAACGAGGTCGTGTAATTAGCGACAAGTGTATTTTTAACCAAAAAGAAAATTACTACCGAAATTACCAAGACATCAAAACTCATAGTAAAGAAGAAGTGATAATATAGATTATCTGCCTTGAAACCAACAGAGCAAAAAGGTGTCAAAATCGAATATTGTTGCGTAAAGGAATTTGTGGGGGAGATACTTTTCAATTGGTGTGATAGGTATAGCATATAATTGAGAAACAGAGAGTAAAGTATTCGATAAGCCTTGAGTTCAAGGAGAATAAGAGAAAAGGAAAGAAAAGAATTTATTCTTCTTTTTACAGCGTGACTTAGCAACGGAGCCCCCTCAGTCAACTTGTTAAGCAACGGAACCCCCTCAGTGAACTTGTTAAGCAACGGAACCCCCTCAGTGAACTTGTTGAGCAACAGAGTCCCCTCAGTGAACTTGTTGAGCAACAGAGTCCCCTCAGTCAACTTGTTGAGCAACGGAGTCCCCTCAGTGAACTTGTTAAGCAACGGAGCCCCCTCAGTGAACTTGTTAAGCAACTGTTGACAAACCTGCAATTTATAAAGAGCCAAAACCGTTTTTGAAGGCTCTTGCGATAATCCTTTAAAAACGCGAAACCACTACACCCAAGGGAAGATAGATCACACGCACATATAACTTGGAGGGCTAAGGATTTTTATTTTGCGAAATTACACGATGGAACAGTATTTAAAAGACAGCCCTACTGAGTTCCCGTCTTTTGAAGACAAAACAAATCAAAGAGACTTGAGCTTTCTCGAGGAAAACATAGATAATTTGCCAGACTTGGTTTACAATCCATTAGAATTGAATAAAAATCAAACACAACTCGATAACAATGCCAACATTGAAGAAAATTTGCCAAATGAGAATTTTCTCAACCTAGATTTGAACAGAGTAGATAGTGCAGCTAACATTGAAAACCAAAACTACACAAGTAGGGTGGAGCAAAATACAGCAGATTACAATGATTTCAATTTTAACACAAATTCATCAGTTTTGGGTTACAATTCAAACACGCAAATGTCAAGTAATGACTATTTGAGTCCGATAGGATTTACATATAGCCAGCCCCAACCACAACCTCCACAGCAGCAGCAGCAGCAACAACAACTGCAACAACAACAACAACAAAAATCTCAATCTCAATCTCAACCTCAATCTCGAGCCAATCTGCAGCAATATGTACTAGAGACAGATGCGTTCTCTGGGACAAACCCTGGTTCTTTTACTAGCGAACCATTTATCGATGAAATGGCATTTTCGCAGGCAATATTGGGTCCTCAATTAAGTATACCACAATACGAACATAATTATAGTAACTCTCCGCATTGTGAAAGCTCATCGCCCCAGCCTTTATCACCACAACTTCAGCATTCACACCCCCTTGCGAACTCCATACCCAAATCTTCAAATCTTGATGAACTAATTTCTCCCGGCAAAAATTACGAAGAGAGCTCATTTTTGAGTCCGCAGTACTTTTCGCCACCCAATAAATCAGGCAACCACTTCAATTCGTTACGATCGATTGCAGAAGATGCTTATGATCAAAACCTGAATGCTGACGTTTTTAGCCCTGAGTTATCACGACACGGAAGTATAAGCGGTCCGTCGTATTCTGGCGGCAAGCAAATTCCCCTTCCTGGTTCATATTTATCACCTCAGCTAGATCCGCAGTCATATGTTTCTCCAGATTTTAACAGTGGGTCTTACTTGAATTCTCCGCCACAATATAATAGCCGAAGTAACAAGCCGAATTTGGATAACAGTACCCTACCGAATATGAGCACATCTATACCGAACCACGGAATAAAGCAGGAAAATTGGGGAGCACTATCTCCTCCACCATCTCAGTCATCTAATTTGAGTAGCTCTATGCCTGGGTCTTCAAAGCAAATAGTGATACCAAATGCGTCAAAAGAGTCTCAATTATCGGTACCCACGAAACAACTTTCAAGAGACGAGAAATTGAAAAGGCGCAGAGAATTTCATAATGCAGTAGAAAGACGAAGACGTGATTTAATAAAAGAGCGAATAAAAGAATTGGGGATGATTGTACCTCCTTCTTTATTGAATCCGCAGCTCTGTGCTGTGCAGACGTTGCAGAGGAAAAACACACTAGACTTTAATGATTTAAGTGATTTGATTGGGTCAATTAAAGTGAAAGAAACTAAGCCTAACAAATCGACTATTTTGAACAAGTCTGTCGTTTATATGAATCACTTAAATTATGTATTAAAGCAGCAAGAAATTACCAGGAATGAGTTAACGCGTCAAATTAAACTATTGGAGAAAGAATTGAGCTGACAGGGAGAGTGGAAGAATAGGAGACAGCGAGACAAGGAGATAGGAAGACAAGGAGACAGGGAGACAAGGAGATAGGGAGACAAGGAGACAAGGAGACAAGGAGATAGGAAGACAAGGAGACAGGGAGACAGGTAGCGAAGAGATGACTAATTTTGGATTTTTATTGACATTTCAATGTACATTAATTATTTTGCTTTTTTTTTTTGTTTAAATTGTTTCGAGAAAAAAAAAAGAAAAAAAAGAGCTATACTACTTCTCTTTATCGTTGTGAACCAAAATTTTGTAGGTCATAACCTGACAGCACCTGGAGACGAAAGTACGTTAAACTTGCATGGTTTCAAATCTGTACACACGGGTTTGCTTTCTTTTGGGTATGTTGTATTAGTTGCCTAGTCAATCTTTCCTCGTGGTTGCGAATCTTTTTTTTTTATCTTTTTATTTTTTCCGTATTGTTTAGAAAAACCTTTAAGCGCTCTTTGGGAGTTGAACAATAAAAATACGGGGAGATTGTATATTACAACGATAAGGATAAGCTTTGCAACCAATTTCTTTTTGGGACAACAAAACATGTTCATGTTTATGTGCATGTTTGTGTTCACTCTTGCATACGTTTAGAAATGCTAACCCATTATCGACCCTCTTCTTTCTTTTTTTTTTGTTTTAAGAGTTACATTTGTTGACTCATAAAAAAATAAAAAATAAAAAAAACCGGTACCTTAAAAGTGTCACCTAGATTCTATACCCCCTCCCAAATTGTAGCATCGAGAAGAGGGATAACGATTTATATTTTGTCAAAGTTGTTTGGAATTCATAATCGAATTGTTTTAGTTATTATCTGTGTTTGCTTACTCGAGTTAATGCATCTTGTATTACGACGAGAGGGCTATTTGCATAGAAACTCATTACAGAGATTGTTGGATAATCGATTTTTTAGACCTATTGATTATTCTTCCATTCATAAACATCAGATACAAGAAATGACAAATAATGAGTACGACGTTTTAAAGTACCGTTCCTGGGTTCTAACAAAGGAAACTACAGGTGATAGTAGTAATAGTAGTAGTAAAGATGACGATGATGACAGTAGTAGTAGTAGTAGTGGAGGTCGTGATGACGACGATGAGGGTGGTAGGAAATTTTCAGTTATGTCGTATAACTTGTTATCCAGACACTATATATGGAAACATGTGTATTCCAAATTACCCAAGGACCACCTTGACTGGGATAAACATCGGTTCCCATTGATCAATAAGACAATAAGACATTTGAAATGCGATATAATGTGTTTTCAAGAAATGGAGTATTCTATATACAAAAGCTTTTGGAGCAGGGATTTTCCAAGTTCTGATTACCAAAGTTTTTATGTACAAAAATCGTCATTAAATCAGGGGTTTCGTCATTTGGACGATGGATTGGATGGTGTTGGTATATTTGTTAATACACGTAGATTTGAAGTTCTTGGTGAAAGGAGGATAAATTTTGGTCAAATTGTAATGGAGAATAAGGAGAAGTACAACTTGACAACTGATTTGATGAAACGCTTGGTTCCTAGAAACACTGTTGCATTGGCACTTCGGCTTTACGACAAACAAGCCAAAAGAGTTGTTTTTGTTGCCAATACGCATTTGTACTGGTCGCCCAAATTCAACGACGTCAAGGTTCTACAAACAAAACTCCTTTTAAATGAGTTGGAAAGCTTTATCAATGGAGAAGAAGACACATGTGTTATTCTTCTTGGTGACCTAAACTCCAATCCGCAATCAGACGTTTACAAACTTTTGCGAGGAAACAAGATAGATACATTATCCTCACGAGAGTTTTTGGGACGCCAATATGGTAAAAACAATGCTTTGATTAGTCAAGAGGGTGAAATAACAAATCCGTTTAATTTCTTAAGCGTATATGAACCATTTATCAAGTCTAATCATTTACATTTTACAAGTTTTTCACCAACGTATTGTGGCGTCATTGATCATATACTAGTTAGCAATGAGATGAAAATACATAAAGTATTAGGAGAAGTAGATCAAAATTACTTTAAAAGTCTCAAAATGAAAGGGTTCCCAAATTCACAGTTCCCATCAGACCATATACCTATAGCAGCAGAGATAAGCTACTCTTCAAAAAGACTAAAACTATAAATGAAATCTATGAGTCAAGGCTAATCAACTTGATATTAACCTAAATCGAGTCGTGCAAATTTGCTCAACTGATTTTAATCTCTTCAGCAAAAAAAAACTGATTATAATTTTTTTTCTTTTTCTTTGAGTTGAGATTGTTATATGGAAGAAGGAAGGTATTTGATTTGCAACAGCTTGAATGGTGACGACAACAGATCTAGTTTTAAGCTTAATTGTAAATTGGTATAGCAGTAAAATACATGAACTTGGTAGATATCGAATCAAATTGGTCCAAATATAACTAGTTTTAAGAAACAGCAAGATAAAATAACAGCGAGAGAACGAGAGAAAGGGAGAACGAGAGAACGAGAGAAAGGGAAAGAGTAATTGGGCCGGGAAAGACAATAGAAGGTTATTAAAGAAAGGAGGGCTATCGGAAAGAGAAGGCTATACTCCGTGAAAGAGAGTGCGTGGAGGTCAGGTATGGATGCAAAGATGAATATAGGCGGCAAGTATCAGCACTCACAAACCCAGAGTCAACCACAGTCCAACTTGCAAGCACAACAAATACTATTACAGCAACTCCATCAAGGCCAGTCGCATTTACAGCTGCAGCAACTATCACAACAACAACAAAGCTCAGGAACCAATCTCGGGACAGGATATCAACCTAATGAAAATTTCACCGATCAAAGTATGTTTCAAAACAGTTTTCAACGAAACCAACCATCTTTACAACAGCAGCAGCAGCAGCAGCAGCAACAGCAACAGCAACAGCAACAACAACTGTACTTTCCATTTCAACAAGACCAATCGGGCCAATCAACTGGGAACAACAATCATTCCATTAGTGGAACAGCTCTGCAATTACAGCAATCCTATAAATCGAACCCACAATTGCCACGCCAACTTCCACATCTTCAGCAACCGTTCTACAACCAGCAACAGACAAACGCACTTCTGAGCCAGCAAAAGCAACAGCAACAGCAGCAGCAGCAGCAGCAACAACAACAGGTTTCCCAACAGCAGCAATTGCAAATACAAACTCCAGTACCGAAAAATAACAAGTTGAATGTTGACAATCCCAACACCAACCACTGGCAATATCAAGAGCAATTGTGCGAGATATCAAGATCATTTAAGATCCCACATTCCTACGCCAGGCAATATGCATCTAATTCAAGGAAGTTGAAGAACCCCTATAGCGATGCCAAGTCCATTGGATTGATTGAAGCGACAAAGGCAGTTGTAGCAAGCATAGAGGAAGAGGAGCAAAAGAGGAGTAGTCTGGCTAGTAGCGAGACTCCAACAACAAGCTCAGCTTTGTTGCACAACAAGAAAATTACCCAAGATCTTGATGACAATTCAATGGAAGAGCAACGAATGAGATTGAAAACGCAAGGCAGGCAATTGTGGTGTCAATTAGATTTGAGCGGACAAGGCTTAGTAAACTTGTCTCCAAAGTTGTTTCAGTATGATTTCCTTGAGTCTTTGTATTTGAACAACAACAAGCTAACAACTATACCTCCTGCAATAAGCAAATTGAGAAGTCTAAGGAATCTTGATTTATCAAACAATAGAATAAGTGAAATACCCTTTGAACTTGGGTTATGTTTTAATTTGAGGTTTTTGTATTTGTTTGACAACAATATTAGAACATTGCCTAGTTCCTTTGGGAACCTTATTGAGCTTTTATTTTTGGGGATTGAAGGAAACCCGATGGATTTGAACGTTGCCAATTTGCTAGCAGAAAGAGGTACAAAGGCGCTTATCGCAGCTATAAGAGATCAACAAGCCGTTCCAAAAGCACCAGAAGCAAGGCCTTGGTTGCAAGTTGAAGATGACGGTGAAGTTGTTGATGCAAAGGAAGTTTACACGCAAGAGAATAACAATCCACCTAATGTTTTCACCTTGTTGTCCTACAACACCTTGTGTCAGCATTATGCAACGCCTAAGATGTATAAGTTTACCCCTTCGTGGGCTTTAGAGTGGGAGTATAGGAGAGGTCTTTTGGAGAAGGAGATTGTTGGGTATGGTACTGATATCATTTGTATGCAAGAGGTTGAAACGAAAACATTCAATGAGTTTTGGCAACCACTCTTGACGCAGAAGGGTTATAAGGGATTGTTTTTCAACAAGACCAGATCAAAGACCATGGGTGAAACAGATGCGAAAAAGGTTGATGGTTGTGCAACTTTCTACAAAGTTGACAAGTTTACTTTAGTGCACAAACAAAACTTTGAGTACAACAGTGTTTGCATGGGATCAGATAAATACAAAAAGACCAAAGATTTGTTTAATAGGTTTATGAATAAGGATAACATTGCCTTGATTTTGTACCTACAACATAAAGAAACCGGCGAGAAAATTTGCTTTGTCAATACACATTTACACTGGGATCCCGCTTTTAATGATGTCAAGGCTTTACAAATTGGTATTTTATTAGAAGAGTTACAGGGAACATTAAAGAAATACCAACATGCCTCTTCTACTGAAGAAGTGAAGAACTCCGCCATTGTAGTATGTGGAGATTTCAACTCAGTTAAGGAATCAGCAGTTTACCAATTGTTCTCCACTGGAGTCTCAAAGAACCACGATGACATGGCAAACAGGGATTATGGCAAGTTCACTGAATCCGGGTTCCATCATCCATTCAAGTTGAAATCCGCATACGAGCCCTTGGGTGAATTACCGTTTACCAATCTCACTCCTGCGTTCACGGATAATATCGACTATATATGGTATTCAACATCAACTTTACAAGTAAAAGGATTATTAGGAAAAGTTGATGAGAATTATGCTGCAAACTGTATTGGTTTTCCAGATGCAAACTTTCCATCTGATCACGTTCCTATTTTGGCAAAGTTTCAAATCAAGAAACCAGTACAGAACCGTTGAGAAAAGAAGAGGAAAAAAAAAAAAAAGAAAAAAAAAAGACCAGTAACAGAAATGAAACAGGTCTGTGTTATGTAGAAAAAGGTCTGTGTTATGTAGAAAAAGGTCTGTGTTATGTAGAGAAAACCATTTGTAAAATGCAAAACTCGTTCAAATCGAACGAGGGATAAGAATGTCAAAATAGATGTATATTGAAAATATTGTACTTCTCTGAAGAATGAATAAAAAACGTTGCCAATTTTTTGTCGTGTTAGCTTTGTGTTACGCACGTTGATAATCCGGAGCTGCTTCCAGCAACCGTAGCTGCAAAAAAGAAAAAAAAAAAATACATACATATAAATATATACACAATAAAGAAAAAAAAAGGAGAACAAGCTCAGTAACAGAAGAAGAGACTAAAAAGACAAGCTCTCATTGATAGAGCTTGGCATGTAAGAGTCTCAACTAGTAAAAACTAGAAGAATCTTAAACCTCTCTTAATAATACAGTAATGCATTTTTTATTGTAGGTATATGGCTATTATATGGCTACAATAAGTAATGTGCCTACTCTTTTAACGATACAAGGATGTTTCTAATTAATTGCATATCTCAAAGCCCCAAGGGCGTGTGTGAGAGTGAGTGAGTGAGTGTACATGGGGGAAGACATTAAAATTTAAAGAAATGGCTTTCACAAACTAGTTGTTAGCCCTTTTTCGTTTGTGCAAGATCCTGGGCGCGATTTCTCCGAAGAAGCTGCCGTTTTGGGAAAAACACATCTATATGTATATACATATACATATAGATATTTAGATAGATCATATTAGATGGATAAAAGAGGCTGCAGATCTCGCCAATTACTAATTTTTTTCATTACAACCTCTTGACCGAGACCTGGAAGAAAGAAGCAAAGTCAACGAGAATAATTGTTTCAATATGTCACTCTTAATTCCCACCTATAATGATTATACGGATGCTCACGAAGGTTCTGCTCAACAGGAACAATACTATAAAGAGTGGGAAAAGCTTAAAACCAAGAGAAACGACCAAGGACGATTAGAATTTCCCTGGGATTTTGAGGTAGTTCAAGGTTTTTTCAAGCAGAGCGATCCCAATACCAACGATGAGGTTTTCAATTATGCAACTGATCACATGGGACGCCTCAAGCCCTGGTCTGAAATAATTTCAAGGCTTTCTGAAATGAATAGATCTGCACCAGAAAATGTTGAATACAAGTTACTCTTCCTTGCTCGACACGGTAATGGATACCACAACTTTGTTGTGGAAAAATACGGTATTGAGGCATGGAGTGCAAAGTACCATTCAATGGAGGAAGTTGATGGTATTAGATATGCGCCGGATCCGGAGTTAACTGAGTTGGGAATCGCGCAAGCAGAAGAAAACCATCAGTTTTGGGTTAGTGAACTAAACGAAGGAGCGCCGATTCCAAGCAAATTTTACGTATCGCCGTTGCAGAGGTCCTGTAAAACATTACAAATCACATGGAAGGACTTGAAACCACAAGATAAACATCCGCTAGTTGTTGAAAAAATCAGAGAGACAATTGGCTTGAATCTTTGCGATAAGAGATCTTCAAAGTCAAAAATCAATGAGAGGTTTGGCAAATTTGGATATAACACTGATGGAATTACAGAGGAGGAAGACGTATACTTTACCTACGATAAAAGAGAAACTATGATTGAACAGTCAGTGAGGGTAAATGAGTTCTTACAGCAATTGTTTGAGCTGGATTGTTATACCGATGGTAAAGTCAATAAAAGTTTAGCAGAGGAAAGTACATTTATTTCAACTCATTCGCATGCTGGTACAATTAGATGTTTCTTGAACGTTATTAAACATCGGAATTTCACAATTCTGACTGGTGGAATGATACCTGTGGTTATAAAGGGGACTAGAAGATACTAAATCTTGGGAATGAGAATTAGACTAGAAGATACTAAATCTTGGGAATGAGAATTAGACTAGAAGATACTAAATCTTGGGAATGAGAATTAGACTAGAAGATACTAAATCTTGGGAATGAGAATTAGACTAGAAGATACTAAATCTTGGGAATGAGAATTAGACTAGAAGATACTAAATCTTGGGAATGAGAGTTTTTCCTTTAAAAACATATATACACGATATAGAGATATACACGATATAGAGATATACACGATATAGAGATATACACGATATAGAGATATACACGATATAGAGATATACACGATATAGAGATATACACGATATAGAGATATACACGATTAGAGATATACACGATATAGAGATATACGATATAGAGATATACGATATAGAGTTATACATCAATTATAAACACTCTCTCTTAATATACATGTAACATCTGTTTACAATTTTACAGATTTCCTTCGATTCTACAGGAAAAACAAGAGAAAAAACTAATCAAGCCTCGTTAAATGAGGCTTGCCTATTAAGTAAACATTGAAGGAAAAAAAAAAGAAAAAAAAAAGAAAAGACAAGCGAAATCCAAAAGTAGAAACGGTTTTGTTCTGACTGAATATATTGTCAAGTGCATTATAGGTACGGAAAAGCTTTGTTTTTTTGCCCCGGATAATTACCAGAACAGGTAGTAAAGTGGATCCCAAAAAATTACCTACTCCTTGCATCCCCACCTGTCATTACCTCTTTTTCCTCTTTTTTTCTTTGGCTAGTCATACGTTGTTGGCTGATTTTTGCTTTAATATAATTTTCCGAGTTGAAACAAACTATTTTGACTTTTTTTTTTTTTAGCATTCGCTTAATAGAGGATTGTTTTCACTTTTGCCAAGAAGATTAGTTTAAATTCATTATTGCTATATATTTTATAGAGTAGCTGGGCTCAGGGTACTTACTCTCGCTGTAAGTAGCAAGTAGGTTTTTTTTGCAAATAACATTGCACCACGTTTTTTTGTTTTCTTTTGGCATTGGGAATATATGACACCATGAAAGCTGTTCTCGTATGTTACCTTGTGTTAATAGGATCTACCCCAGTGAACGGGTTGTGGCCATTTGATTCCGGAGAAGACAATAGCTCTTCGGGAACAGCAACAGCAGCAGCAACAACAAGTGATAGCGAGTCTTGGTATGAAAATATATTAAACGGCTTTGGTGGTGGTGGTGGTGGTGATGAAAAAAATTCTTCAGAAACGGGAGCGGCAGGCACTGGTAGCTCCAACCCGTATGCACCATATAATGCCAATTGTCCCTCAGGGCCGCTAGTAAGAGAAGCAAGCGGTATATCGGATAACGAGAGAAACTACATCAAAAGCCGACAGGAAATCACAAACAAAAACATAATTGATTTTTTACAAAATAGAGCCAATCTTACGGACTTTGACGCAGAGTCTTTTGTCAATGATAATGCTAATGAGCACAATATAACCATAGGATTAGCATTCAGTGGAGGTGGTTACCGAGCTATGCTTTGTGGAGCAGGCCAGATTTTGGCAACGGATTCCAGATTTGAGGAATCTAACCAGCATGGGGTAGGAGGGTTGCTTCAATCGGCTACCTATTTAACCGGATTATCAGGCGGGAACTGGTTGGTTGGAAGTTTGGTGATGAATAACTGGATATCAGTTGCAGACATATTGAAGGAAAACCCCGAAATCTGGCAATTGGAGGATTCTATAATTAATCCGAGTGGAATTCGTATCGATAAAACTATTGCTTACTATTATGGATTGCGTCAGGCCATTACAGCGAAAGCAGATGCTGGATTTAACACAACAATCACCGATATTTGGGGAAGAGCCTTGGCTCATCAGTTTTTCCCAGATTCATCTGGTGGAGAAAATATTACTTGGTCAAGTGCACAAAACTTGTCAAGTTTTCAAGATCACACAATGCCTTATTTTTTGGTTGTAGCCAATGGAAGAGATCCAAACACATTTATTATTAATGAAAATAGTACTGTTGTTGAGATTTCGGCGTATGAGTTGGGTTCTTGGGACAGGTCATTGAGGGCATTTACTAATGTTGAGTACTTGGGCTCAAAAGCGGATGCTGGTAATCCAAGTAGTGCCAACAATTGCGTGCGGGGGTTTGATAATGCAGGGTTTATCATGGGTACTTCTTCATCGTTATTTAATCAAATTGTACTTCAGTTGGGAAGTTATGATATCAATAATATAATCAAATCAATCTTGACTGACTTGCTTACAGGTTTGAGCTATGATCAATACGATATAGCTGCATATGCGCCCAACCCCTTTTTCGGATCAAAGTATGGTGAGTCACAGGACATTTCAGTCAATGAAACATTGTTTTTGGTTGATGGCGGCGAGGATTTACAAAATGTTCCTTTTTATCCGCTTATTCAAAATGCCAGAGATGTTGATGTTATATTTGCGTTTGATAACTCTGCAGACACGGAATATTCATGGCCCAATGGTACCTCAATTGTGCAAACTTTCAAAAGACAATTTGCTGCTCAAGGTAGAGGAACCCCGTTCCCTTTTGTTCCAGATGTGGACAGATTTGTTGAGGAAAATTTGGCATCAAAGCCGGTATTTTTTGGGTGCAATTCATCTGAGTTGGGTAGTTTGGTTGAATGGCATGGAAATGATGAGATCAATGTTACAGATGTACCATTAATCGTCTATGTTTCAAATTACAAGCAATCTTATAACTCGAATTTCTCAACATTTCAGTTGTCTTACGAAAGCGACGAAAAATGGGGAGCAATAAGGAACGGGTTCGAAGTGATGTCGAGAAATAACTTAACAGACGATCCAAATTGGTTGACATGTGTTGGATGTGCTATGATCAGACGACAACAAGAGAGATTTGGTCAAGAGCAAAGCGATGAGTGCAAGAAATGTTTTCAAGAATATTGTTGGAGTGGCGGTGCAGAGGATGCAGCAGCAGTATCAAGTGTTAGTGGACTAAGTGATATAACTGGATTGGCTACAGCCACGAATCTGCAACCATCTGCATCATCAACATCATCAGGAAGTGGTGGTGGCTCTAGTTCCGGCACTAAGCAAAATCAAGCTACAGGTATTACAAGTGAGAAGCCGTTATTATTAGTAACAATTGCCAGCATAGTTGTTGGGTGTTTGGTTACATTGTTGTAGACAAGATTTCGTATATTTATTGAGTAATATATATGGTAATTCCACCATAAAGTGCCTTCTTTTTATCAACAATTTTCAACCGCAACCCCCCTCATCTCGTTAAAAAAAAAAAAAAAAGAAAGGGCATCTCTAATTTTTTTTTTTTTTTTTTTTTCATTTTTTGGATTGTTCCTATAGTAAGCAAATACAGATTATATACAGAAGGATGGTCAAGTCTTACACCAGGTATGATCAAGAGAAATGCTTCGGAGTGATAACGTCACAGTCTAATATTGTATGGCTACCGCCTAGCGACTCTCAATCTTCCACGTCAGCGGGAAGAGCATTAACCTCAGGTTTAGAGGAAATATTGATTTGGGATATCAAGACGGGAGAGCTTTTACAGCGCTTCAATGATTCTTTGACTCCCGGGGCATCGAACTCGAGTACGACTGCAGCTCCAAGTTCTGTCACATATCTTTCTTTTCATCGAGATACAAATATAATTGCTGCTGGATATAGTGATGGAAGAGTAAAGATTTGGGATGTAAGTTCGCAGTCGGTACTTATGTCTTTTGAAGGGCATAAATCCAGTATCACTCAACTCAAATTTGATTACAGTGGAACAAGATTAATGAGTGGATCCAATGATTCAAGTATTATTTTATGGGATTTGGTTGGAGAAACAGGGGTATTTAAATTGAAGGGGCACAAAGGGCCAATTACAGGGCTTGAATTTTTGTCACAAAACAGCAGCAGCAGCGAAAATCAAGATGTAGATAATTTAGAAGACTATTTGCTAAGCTGTTCAAAAGATGGGTTGATTAGATTGTGGGAGTTGAAAAGTCAACAATGCATAGAGAGTCATTTGGCACATAGTAATGAATGTTGGTCAATGGGTCTCAATAAACAAAAGGACACTTTATTGACGACAGGAAATAAGGATCAGGTGAAGGTATGGACAGTAGACCTTTCTCAAAAGGATGGTGAGAAAGTGGCAGAGCGTGGTATGCTTGAGAAAGCAAGTAAAGCACGGGGAAACGAAATACATTTTAAATACGTGAGAAACGGAGGAGATTTAGTAGAAATGTTTTCAATTCAAAATTCGGATAAAACCATTGAAGTTTTCAGAATTAGGTCGGAAGATGAAATGAAGAAAGGAATAAACAAGAGAATGAAGAGATTGAGAGAAAAGGGTATGAATGACGACGAAATATTGCAGTCTATTGGAGAGTCCGAGATTAGCATGCTTATAGCCCCATATGCGATAGTGAGAGCACAAGGCAAAATCAATTCTTGCTGTTGGACCAACAGTTCTAAAAAGTTGGAAATCCTCATATCTTTAACCAACAATAGCATTGAATACGATAGTTTGACAATCCTTGAGAATATAAGAAAATCGCAACCAAACGATATACACACAAATCGACTTCATTTTATTGACCGTTTGGGACATAGGTTTGACATTAGAGCCATGGACATTTCTCCTGAAGATGACAAATTGTTGGCTACAGCATCCAATGGGGAGTTGAAAATATGGAATACTAGAACATACAATGTTATTCGTTCTTGTACGCTAGAAGGAGGGTACGCATTATGTTGTAAGTTCTTACCTGGTGGATCATTAGTAGCAGTTGGGTTTAAGAACGGGGACCTTGAGCTTTACGATTTGTCGACTTCATCAGTAGTTGATCGCGTTGAACGAGCTCATCACCAGTTGAGTGGTGGTGATAGCACTAATAACGACAACAGCGCTCCTATTTGGTCAATGGATTTGACGTCGGATGGAAAGACTTTAGTGACTGGAGGCAATGACAAATGTGTAAAATTTTGGAACTTCAAAGTTGAACAAGACATTATACCTGGAACTAATACAGTGGTTAGCCAATTAAAATTTGTGCACACCCAAACTTTAGACTTGAACGAGGACGTTTTAAGTGTGCGGATATCTCCCGATGACAAATATTTAGCCGTGTCACTACTTAACAATAATGTTCAAGTTGTTTTCTTGGATTCGCTAAAACTTTTTCTTACATTATATGGACACAAACTTCCTGTTCTTGCGATTGATATATCAGCAGATTCAAAACTTATCATCACATCCTCTGCTGACAAGAACATTAAAATATGGGGTTTGGATTTTGGAGATTGTCATAAATCGATTTTTGCCCATCAAGACTCAGTTATGAACGTTAAGTTTATAGGTGAGACGCATAACTTTTTCTCTAGTGGTAGAGATGGATTGATTAAATATTGGGACGGAGACAAATTTGAATGTATTCAGAAATTGGTTGCTCATCACAGTGAAGTGTGGAGTATGGCAATAAGCAAGAATGGATTGTTTATGTGTTCTGCATCTCATGATCATTCGATAAGATTGTGGTCAGCCACCAGTGATGAGGTATTTTTGGAAGAAGAACGAGAAAAGGAGTTGGATGAGATGTACGAGAACAAGTTATTGGGGCAGCTAGATTCTGAGGATACCTTGAGAAATGACAAGGAGGATGAGGAAGATGAAGTTTACGTTGAAAAAGTAACTAAGCAAACTATGGAGAGTTTAAAAGCAGGAGAGAAATTGATGGAGGCATTGGATATAGGTGTTGAAGACCTTGAAGCTACCGAGTTATATCAAATGCAGTTGCAAAAGAGGAGTTCAGAGGCAATTAAGCCAACACCGCATGCAATATTGTTGGCGTTTGATATGACGGGTCCTCAGTATGTTCTTGATATACTTTGCAAGATCAAACCATCTCAGTTAGATGATGCGTTATTAGTATTACCATTTTCATACAGCCTCAAACTTTTTCAAATGATAAGAGTGTGGACTGATAAGGACAATATTTCAAGAAATATTACCCAATTATCCTTAATCTGCAAGGTCTTGTTCTTTTTAAACTCTGCGAATTCAAAGGAAATCATTAGTCACAAAGATGATTATTTGAAAAAACAATTAATTGCAGTAAAGGAACAGTTGCGCACGAATTTATCCAAAACATGTCAAACCCTTGGTGTAAATACACAGGGGCTTCGGTTTTTGAAACAACAATGGAAATTAACCCATGGATCAGAGTTTATAGATGAAGAGGAACAGAAAAAGTATGAGGAAAAAAGAGCAATTAAGAGAACTTATACGACTATTTAATGCCAATCTTATAGAGCTCTATATATATATTTATATATTGCAACCCATACTTTTTTTTTATAGAGGTCTCTCTCTCTATATATATATTGCAACACATACTTTTTCTCTTGATTATTTACAAGTAAAATTCAACCTAACAACGAGCAATTTACTAATCATTATCTTTATATAAAACACTTTATTGTCTCCCCTCAATTGAATCATTACATTACCTATCAGCGCCATATGGTAGCATCTCCATACCTGTATCATATGGTAGCATTTCCCTAGCTGTACCATATGGTAGCATAAACTTGCCATTGTTATTTTATTTTATTTTATTTTATTTTAATTTTTCTTTTTTTTTTTTTTTTTTTTTTTTTTTTTTTTTTTTTTTTTTTTTTTTTTTTTTTTTTTTTTTTTTTTTTTTTTTTTTTTTTTTTTTTTTTTTTTTTTTTTTTTTTTTTTTTTTTTTTTTTTTTTTTTTTTTTTTTTTTTTTTTTTTTTTTTTTTTTTTTTTTTTTTTTTTTTTTTTTTTTTTTTTTTTTTTTTTTTTTTTTTTTTTTTTTTTTTTTTTTTTTTTTTTTTTTTTTTTTTTTTTTTTTTTTTTTTTTTTTTTTTTTTTTTTTTTTTTTTTTTTTTTTTTTTTTTTTTTTTTTTTTTTTTTTTTTTTTTTTTTTTTTTTTTTTTTTTTTTTTTTTTTTTTTTTTTTTTTTTTTTTTTTTTTTTTTTTTTTTTTTTTTTTTTTTTTTTTTTTTTTTTTTTTTTTTTTTTTTTTTTTTTTTTTTTTTTTTTTTTTTTTTTTTTTTTTTTTTTTTTTTTTTTTTTTTTTTTTTTTTTTTTTTTTTTTTTTTTTTTTTTTTTTTTTTTTTTTTTTTTTTTTTTTTTTTTTTTTTTTTTTTTTTTTTTTTTTTTTTTTTTTTTTTTTTTTTTTTTTTTCCAGCTGTAGGTTGGTAGTGTTGATTTAGTTAGTAATATTTCCATACTATACTTTAATTTTTTTTTATATTATATACATACATATAAAGTCGGAACCCAGTTTATCTTTTGCTTTTTAGGTGACTTACCATTTTCAGCCGGCTGGAACATATCCCCCATTCACCCCTTCCCCCCGTCACTTACGGACTTGCTGTGAATAGTTTGTCACGTATTGTTATATTCATACCATACGGGTTTGGTTCTCTTGGTTCTTTTGGTTCTTTTGGTTCTTTTGGTTCTTTTAGCTGGTTTTATTTTGCTATTCAAATTGAGAGATATTGGTTTGTTCGCAATTATAGGAACTTGGGGATCATGAATATGAATAATGTAGCTCAGGGTGGGTCGAATTTAGGCAACGCACCAGCGATCTGGCAAGGAATGTACACTGGAGAAGAGAGACAAAGAGTTGTTTCGATAATTATGAACACTTTAACCGATCTTCATGGTGCGAATCCTAATTTTGATTTTCAGCGTTTAACCAAAATGGCACAGGATTTCGAGAAAATTGTTTATGAGAAATCACCATCGAGGGAAGACTACCTCAAGGCTATCAAGTTGAAAGTAAACCAGTTGAGGCTTCAAAAACAACAGTTGGGAAACGGAGGCGGAACAGGAGCAGGAAACGGAGCAGGAGCAGGAAATGGAGGCGGAGCAGGAAATGGAGCAGGAGTCTCTGGTAATGTTTCCAGCGGCAATGTTTCTCAAAATATTCCTCCACACCAGGCGCAACAAGTGGTTAGGAATGTGAATGGCACAGGGAATACTAATTATGCAGCAAATCCGCAGTTTTTGGACCAACAAACACATGCATCTAGCCAATCTCTGGCACAAGTGCAGGCACGTCAGCAGCAACTTCGGCAAATGGCCAATAATCAGAATCAGCAAAACCAACAAACTCAAAGACCACCGCAAGCACAAATGCAGCAACCACCTTCTAATAAACGACCAATTCAACAACCACAACCTGATCCCTCAATGCGAGGACCACCACCACCACCACAGCAACAACAACAACAACCACCACAACAACATCAACAACATCAGCAACAACAACATCAGCAGCATCAACAACAACAACATCAGCAGCATCAACAACAGCCACTTCCACAACAACAACAGCAGCAACTTCCACAGCAGCAGCAACAGCAACAGCAACAACAACCTCCTAATGGGCCACCTGGAACGGGCCCTATTCCAGCTGGGGGAAATCAGCAGGTACCTCCACAGCTACTTCAACTTATAAGAAGCTCTCCTATACCACCACCTCTACTCAGTAAGATACCATGTTTGCCGAAGGGAGTAACTACATGGAATCAAATATTCGATTGTATTAGACGAAAAGTCATTTCTCAGGATATTTTGCCGTTGATTAGAGATATACACTCTACTCATATGCAACTAGTTATGCGTCAACAGCAACAGAAAATGAATATGCGAAACACCGCTACGAACTTTCCTGGTGGTACTACCAATGACGAGTTACCTTCCGGGCTTGATGATAGAGGTAATTTGCAAGGAACCACTAAGCCTTCCAATAATTTTAACATCAATAATTTAACTCCAAAGCAAAGGGAACAATTTCTTCAAAGACAGAGAGTGGGTCAGCAGATGCAGCCCGATCAAATCGCAGCTCCTCAAAACTCAGTGATCAATCATGGTCTTCCCCAGAGTTTTGCTTCCCAACCTCAACAAGGAAGCTTGCAAGCGCATAATCAAAATGTGGGACAACTGCAGATGCCACAACAACAGCTACAGCAACAACAGCAACAACCACAGCAGCAGCAGCAGCAGCAGCAGCAGCCTCAATCACTAGCACCACTTCCCCAACAACAACAACAACAACAACAGCAGCAGCAGCAACAACAATTTGGATTGAAACCACCTCAATTTCAAATTACGCAACAAGATTATGCAAAATATTCCAATGATGCGTTAACAGTGCTTAGTAGATTGCAGCAACAAAAACAGATTGAGGGACAAATTGATGCAAACATGAAGGACACTTTTATCCGCAAGTATATTCTTCATCAGAAGAATCAAATTTGGAAACAACAACAACAACAACAACAAGCTGCTCAAAATAATGCCAATAAGAAAGCGGCTATTCCCATTCAGCAGCAACAACAACAAAGTCAACTTCACCAGCAGATGAACCACCAGCCTCTGCAGCAACATGTGCAAATGAATCGAAACGTTCCACCTTCTATGCAACAGAAAAGTATGCAACAACCAAATATGCAAGCCATGCAACAGGTACTGCCATTGTTGAACAACGTTAATCCAACAATAATGAAACCCGATGTCGTTCCTAATATTCAACTGTCACCATTAATGAATCAAGGTGCCACTTTCCCACAAAATATAATACCCATGACTAACCCAAATTCAAATCCAAATATAAATCCAAACATAAATCCAAATCCAAATCCAAATCAGAATCAGAATAGACCTTTTGTAGGAGGATCGGGCATGAGTATTTCCAACTTGTTGCCACCATTCACTGATGAGGCTAAAGTTCTCTTGAGGCAGTTGATAGAGGATGTTTCACGCAACAATGTTTTATTAAAAGATGTAACTACATTGCTTTCGCAGCAAGACAAAACGAACGTTCGCGAAGCAATGAGCAAGATTCAAGAACTGTATGGAAATGTGGATTCTATAATCAGTTATTTTTATCTTTTGACAAAGAATGCAGAAGGTACTAAAAGATTGATTCAAATGAAGTACATGACCAAAAATATTCTTGAAAACTTGCACAGAGGCATATATTTGGCTACTCCAGACTTGTTGGAGAAACTAAGAAATCAGTATACCAAATACTTTGACTATGTGAAGGAGCAAATTAGCATAAGAAGACAGCAAGTTAGTGCAGCAACCGGAGGTGGAGGAGTCAATCAGCAACAAAATCAACCGACAGTTCCGCCGCAATTGCAACAACAACAGCAACAACAACAACAACAACAACAACAAGTGAGACCTCTCCTTCCCCAACAACAGCAACAGCAGCAACAACCGGGGTTGCCTCAAAATGTAGTACGTACCAATCAAGCTTTTATGACTCAAAATCCACAGTCATCCCCGCAAATGTTTGTGCCGCCGACGCAACAAGCTGGGTTGCATCAGAATTTGAATCAAAACTGGTCTAATGCAAATGTCAATGCAAATGCGATTTCCAATGGTGTACCACCACTGATTCCGCAAACTCCAAACATGCAAGTACCAGTAGCACAGCAAAAGCCGCCATTGCTGCAGACCAAATCCAAAAAACCACCGACGAAAAAGAAACGTACAAGCAGCACTACGGCGGCAACACCCAGTGCATTAGCGTCATCAATCAAAACTCCTCATAACATTAATACTCCACAAATTCAATTCTCAGGGCAATCGCCACCAATGAAGTCTACTACTCCTCAAGCCACTGTTGCAACCCCCAAATCATTGAACAATGTCTCACTGGCATCATCGACTTCTGTATCTGCGAATTCAAATGTTTACACTGTTCCTGAAATGGATATTTTTTCGGTATCCAACGATCTGGTGAAGAGAAGAGAGCTTTCGGTGACAGATCCGTCGCAATTTTTTATCGAGTCGATTAAAAAGTTATTAGACATTGACCAAAGTGGTAATATCACTGCTACTAATGCTACTACTCCTACTACTACACCAGAGCAAGCGACAAACTTGGCTGCTACTTTACAAGCCATAAGTACAAGTTTTAGACAAGTTTGTGAAATTGATGACATGTGCATGGAAACTGCTTTTTGACGATTAAAAAGGTATTAGACATTGACCAAAGTGGTACTAATGCTACTACTCCTACTACTACATCAGAGGAAGCGACAAACTTGGCTGCTACTTTACAAGCCACAGGTACAAGCTTTAGACAAGTTTTGTGAAATTGATGACATGTGCATGGAAACTGCTTTTTGACGATTAAAAAGGTATTAGACATTGACCAAAGTGGTACTAATGCTACTACTCCTACTACTACATCAGAGGAAGCGACAAACTTGGCTGCTACTTTACAAGCCACAGGTACAAGCTTTAGACAAGTTTTGTGAAATTGATGACATGTGCATGGAAACTGCTTTTTGACGATTAAAAAGGTATTAGACATTGACCAAAGTGGTACTAATGCTACTACTCCTACTACTACATCAGAGGAAGCGACAAACTTGGCTGCTACTTTACAAGCCACAGGTACAAGCTTTAGACAAGTTTTGTGAAATTGATGACATGTGCATGGAAACTGCTTTTTGACTATGTTTTTTTTTTCCCCTTCCCCGCCCCCCCACTAGATGCAAAAGAAAAGTGCTACTAATAATATGATTTTTTGATTTTTGATTTTTGATTTTTTTTTTCTTTCATTCGTATAAGTATATTTTCTAGAGAGCTCTACAAGATAATCAGATAGTGTTTAGCAAAGCACCAAGTCTTTACATTCAGTAATGGCACCATCATTTCATCCAAGAGATAGGCAACTATCAGTTGCCTTTGTATGTTTGGGCAATATGTATGTTATTTCCTTTTATCTTGTTTGTCGTGTAAAAAAGCAGGCAAGTTCAATTATTAACGATAGATTATTATTTTTTTTTTTTCCAGATGTCGATCTCCCATGGCAGAGGCTGTTTTCAGGCATAAAGTGAAAGAATTAGGCTATAGTTACTATTTCAAAACCATTGATTCATTTGGAACTACACGCTGGCATACTGGCGAGTCGCCTGATGCGAGAACGGTGCAGACGTGTAGGAAAAATGGAGTTCCAATTGAGCACCAAGCACAAGAAATAAGTCTTAAAGACTTTGACAGGTTTGATTACATACTTGCAATGGACGAGACTAATTTGCGTGATTTGAGACAAATGCAACCCATTTATAGTGATAGTATTGTTGAATTATTTGGTAAATGGAGGAGTAACAGTCAATTTAACAAGGTTGTAGGAGATCCATACTACGGTGGTATTAGTGGATTTGAATACAATTTTCAGCAACTAGGTCATTTTTCAGAGGAGTTCTTATTGCGAGAGGTTGGAACGTTGGATTAGATTAGAGTAATAGACTATCGAGCAAAGAGCGAGATAGTCTGTGAAGAGAAGAGAGTAGTGTTGTCTTCTCGCTCTGCTGGATAGTCTATAGAGAGATTAGAGAGTAGGTGTATATCGAGCAGAGGGAGATAGTGGAACAACACCGACTAGTTAGGCGTAGTAATAAAGGTATGATGGTGGAATTGGTGGAGTGATGAAGGATGTGGCGAAGGTGGTAGTACCACCAAGTTCTTTATGGTCCTTCCCCATCTTCACCATCATCTTCACCATCATCTTCACCATCATCATCATCATCAAGGTTAGATTTCCACCAGTCGTGCGTAACAAACCAAGCGCTTTCGGTTCTGACCTTTTTTTTTTTTTTTTTTTTCCTTTTCTTTCTCTCTTTTCCATTTTACAACATTGTATATCCGAGCAAATTGATACTAGGAACATTTGCTTTAGAATTATCAGTAATTGTTTTAGACCCGGTTCAGATATAGAGACAAGAGGATGAGCGCGAGGAAATTACAGCACGAGTTTGATAGGCTAAACAAGAAGATTAGTGAAGGGTTAACTGCATTTGAGGAGATTAAAGAAAAGATACAAAATTGTGAAGTACCATCTCAAAGAGACAAATTGGAGAATGATTTGAAGAAGGAATTGAAAAAGTTGCAAAGATCGAGAGATCAGTTGAAGTTATGGTTAGCAGATAGCAATATCAAGCTAGATAAGAGTCTTCTTCAAGAAAATCGGACGAAAATCGAGCAAGCAATGGATGATTTTAAAGGGTTAGAAAGACACTCGAAAATAAAACAGTTTTCGAATGAAGGTTTGGAGTTACAAAAGGAGATGCAAAAGCAGTCGAGGTTTGGTGATTTGGTGAAATTACAGGAAGCCTGTGAGTATATATCTGGCGTTATTCAACAGCTAACAAATCAAAATGATGAATTAGATCGAGAATTGGAGCAGCTATCTCAACAGCTGAAGAAGAAAAATAGCCACTCAGCACAAAATTCTATTGAGGATGTCAAGTACAAGATCGATCGAAATAATAACCATATCGATCGGTTAGAGGGAGTATTGGACAACTTGGAGAATGATAGGTTGGACCCTGCTAAAATCGATGACGTAAAGGATGATCTAGATTTCTACGTAGAAATGAACCAGGATGATGATTATGTGGAGTATGACGAATTTTATGATCAGTTAGAAGTAGGGGACGATGATGATGAGGAAGTTGAAGTTGAGGGAAGTTTAGCACAGATGGCGGCAGAATCGTTTGAGGAAGAAGAAAGGAAACGATTAGAGTTGCAGCAATTAGGCAATCAGCAACTGGAAGCTACCAGGGCTGCTCAAACGGCGTCTTCTTCGTCGGCATCAGTATCGGCATCATCATCTGCGCATCCGCACCACCCACACAATTCTAACGGAAAGTCAATACAAACCGACGCTCATGGACATGTGTCTGCTGCTGCAAGTAATGCAAACTCTACTGCCGCTACATCTGTAAAGAAGGTGAATAAGCAACAGAATGTGGTACCGGCTCCGCCGCCAACTATTAGTGGAAATACATATTCCAATGCAATAAAAGCAGCGCAAGCAGCACAAATATCGAACTCCTCGGTAGCTGCGAGTACAAATGCTAGTGCCAATGCTAGTGCCAATGCCAATGCCAATGTGTCGATAACACAAAACAATGCCCAGCAAGTTAACAGCAGCAATAGTACACCATTAGTTAGTAATAATGTGCCACTTGCTACAGCATTGGCCACTACAGGACCCTCTACAGGTAGTACTATTGCCACTACTGCTACTACTACACCAGTAAGAGTGGCACCTCCGGGCTTAGCGCATGTATCTGGCACGTCAATGAGATCACAATCGGAATCTCCGCTAGCAGCACAATCCAAAATGAGTGAGGGAGATCATTTACGGAAAAAGATTTCAAATGCGTCGCAGCTGTCTACAATTACAAACAACAATGTGCCATATTTCGGAGAAGCGATGAACAAACTAGTCAGCATCACAAATAGTAGGTTGAATGATCCGTTACCAATACAATCGATAAGCAACTTACTAGAGTCATCCTTATTGAACTGTCCCGATTCCTTTGATGCCGAAAAACCAAGACAATATACACCACGCAATGTTCACCCTTCCTTAATTGACTATCCGCAAGAGCCAATGTATGAATTGAATAGCTTACATTATATGCAAAAATTTGATGATGATTTATTATTTTTTTGCTTCTATTACGGCGAAGATGAAGGAATGGATAATTTCGCAAAATGGAATGCTGCTAGAGAATTAAAAAAACGAGGCTGGGATTTCAATATAGAGTTGAGTCAGTGGTTTTTGAAGAACGATAAAGTTAGCAATGGCACATTTAAGAGTAGAACTTCGTCATCAGCAATATTACCAAGCACTAGCGAGACTTTTGAAAATTGCGGACCTAATTCTGGTTCTGGTTCCAATTTCAATTCCAATTCCAATTCCAATTCCAATTCTGGTGGTAGTCATGAAGAAACAGAAAATGGTAAAGCTTTCAGCAAATACTTTGATGAAAAAACTTGGTTAACACGAAATTTTTACCTGAGAGTGGTTTAAACAAGTTAGTTATATAACTTGGTATTTCAAAAAAACTAGTTATGTTTAATAATTATTTTTTTTTTTCGTGTTGCTTACGTTGTAGAACATTATTCATATAATAAGAGAATAAAAATAAATTCATAACCTGTTTCAGATTAGAATTGTGAAACAGTGCAGAGCACCCAAGTGCGCGTCCCAATCTCCATCAATCAAATCCGTTGTCATTTTTATTGTCCTCTCTCTCTCTTTCTCTCCTTTTTTTTTTTTTTTACACTTCCCGCCCTGTAGAGAACCTGATTGCCCTTGACGATGAGAGGTCTTGAAAAGCCAAAAAGTATTGAGAATCCACTCTCAACTTTCTTTTTTCCCTTTTTATTTTTTTTTTTTTATTTTCTTTTACAAGTTGAATTATAAGCTTTACTAGTTACTTTCTTGTCTACATAGAGACAAGAAAGTCAACGATCCCTCCTTACTCCTTCCTTAAATGTGATAGTGTTGCTCAAGCAGAGCGAGATAGATACAGCTGTGGCAGCTAGTCTGTGATGCTCGATAGATACAGCTGTCGCAGCTAGTCTGTGCTGCTCGATAGTGTCGCCCCTTGATTAAAACTCGAAAAAAAAAAATAAAAAAAAATAAATAAGTAAGTAAACTAAAAATAACTTTTATGGGATGTGTTACATTAAACTTTCTTTCACGCCGTCATAACTAGCTGGCCTCTTATTTCCCCATCACGTCTAGGTCTAAACGTGGTCTAGAATTTCTCTTCAAAAATAAAAAAAATAAAATATACCACGGATAAGAAACGTTTCTTGACAAGAACACTTCTTTGAGGAGGATAGGCTTCAAAGAAGGGAGAAGAGCGTTTGTTTTATTTTTCACTTTATTATCTTAATTAAGTTTAAATTTTTTTTTTTTTACTTTCCCTTTCAATTTTGAACTGTTTTTTTATATAGAAGCTATCAATTCTCATGATCCTTCTTATTGTAGGAACATCCTGCTTCTTTTTTCTAGGTACGTTTATGGATTAGACGATTTTAATACATTCCTTACAATCTCACTTGTTTTTATCCATTTTCCTACTATTTCACTTATTCTCCTACTATTTCACTTGTTTTATCCACCATTCTTTCTTTATATTTGACAAAAGAGTCTATTTACCCTTTCTTTTTTTCCCATTCTTTTGTTTTGGCATAGATGAAAATAGACCCGATAAATGTATTTGAACTACGAAGGAGAGACGACACTGATGATGAGGGAGATCAAGATGATTGTGTCACCGATTGTCCTCCACTTCCTGACTGTGTATGTGAGAATGAGAACGAGCAGTGTATGCAAATAGCGCAAACTTGTCAGAAATGTGCTTATAATCAATGCACCAAGATCCCATCAACCAACAAACTAAATACCGGTGGTGTTGTAGGAGGTGCAATTGCAGGTGTTACATTTTTTGCTCTAGTTGGATGCGTTTTATACTATTTCTTGGTTTATAAGAAGAAACATCCAGTCATGTTGGACGACGAATATGACTATTATCATGATGAAGGAGATGATTCTGATGAATACAGAGAGAACTCGGGAGTTGGAAATGAACAAATAAGTGAATACGCGTTAAAAAGACTAGACTCAAATGGCATGGATGCCCACGGTGGCATATCAGGAGCAGACCTGGGAAGTGCCAGCGGAGCTAGTTCTAATGAACCCGGAAGCAGAAAAGGCGTAGCACACATCAACGATTCTTCTTCACCAAATAGCCCAAACAATATCGGCAACGGTGATGCTGTTTTCACTGGCGGAAATCTACATCAAAATCACAACGGCGGCGGAGGCGGCAGCGGCAGCGGCCACAACATTGCGGGAGGAGCTCCAGGGCTAGCTTATTTTGAAAAACCGCCACTGAAAAAGGGATTTGCAAATAATTCCAAAAGGACAATGAGACGGGTATCGTCATATGAATCATTTATGAGGCCGAATGTAGGTAAGCTGAGATTGAAGCAACAACATCAACAACAATTGATCAAGCAGCAGAGGCAAGCAAGACAACGGAAGATTATTGAACAGGCTAATTTTCAGCATCAACAACAGCAACAACAGCAACAACAACAACAACTTCAGGGACAGCAAAATCTAGCAAATTTACAAATAGATCCATTAAGCATGAGCGAAATCTATATGCTATCTTCAAGCAGAAATTCAGTTGCCACTTCTTTTTCCAATGCATCAAATATATTACCAATTGCATATATCCCCGGAGTTACAGTGCGGCCCACCAAGAATAACACGAGATCTATATATTCCTTTGATACAGATTCAACGTTTTCTGATATGAATACCATTGAAAATGCAAGTATAATTGGAGATGTAGCGCTGTCCAATAATGGTGGAGTTATTACCCGAAATAGTTCGCATGGAGGAGCCAACACGCGACAACAAACAAGCCAGCAAAACAAAATACCAGGCACTATGACTGCGATCAAAGCGCAGCCTAGATTGGTTAATGTTGACCGGATCGATGAAGAGGAGGAAGATGATGATGATGATGATGATGATGATGATGATGATGATGATGACGAGGACGAGGACGAGGACAATGACGAGGAAAATGCCGGTGGAAATTATTATGGAGTAGAAAGCGGGCGTAATTTGAGGAGGAACACAACAAATGACAGCTATGATAGTGATGTTGATTCTGACATTGGACAAATTGTTCGTGCAACCTCGGTTAGAAAAGCAAATACAAAACAGAGTAAATTGATGCAAACTGAACTTGCGCCGTTTCTGGGAGTTAGCGAAGTTCTTATGGATACGCATTTGAATTTGAATGATAGTGTGTCTTTTGAAAATAGTCCATGTTTAAGTGGAAGCTTAGATTATCTGCCGATTGAATTGGTTCATTTCAACAGTAATACAAATACCAATATTAGTGGTTGTAACACCGATAAGGACAATGGGTCTAGTATTGGTTCATTTTTATTTGATGTTGAGTACAATGAGGATCCTATTAGGACCCCTCCCATATCAAGTAGATTTGACAATGAGGATCCTATTAGGACCCCTCCCATATCAAGTAGGTTTGACAATTCGAATCTGAAAGGAAGCCCATTTGCTGATCCGACAAATTAGAGAAGTGAAGGGAAAAAAATAAATATAAGATGATTAACTTATGACAAAAGATGTATTTATATACTGCTATGCTGTACTCTACTTTGTTCTGCTGTACTCTACTTTGTTCTGCTGTACTCTGCTACGCACCACTCTGCTATGGTCTAATCTACTCTGTACCACTCTGCTATCCTGTGCTGCTATGATCTTATATTCCATAGAAGTACTACAGTTGAAATTTGATGAAGCCTAAAAAATAATAAGCAGGGGAAAAAAAAAAGAAACGATGAATAAAAGCATTTCCGTTGCTTGTGCGTTATCGGGGTCATTATTATTGCGAAAGTCCCAAATTAATGTATGCTCGTTTATGAATAGTTTATTTTTTTAATACTAGAACGACACTATCGAGCAGAGCGAGATAGTGGAGCTGCTACCACTATAGTATAGGGGATGGTGGTAAAGCTGCTACCACTATAGTATAGAGGGTGGTGGTAGATGAATTTAGTAGAGGGATGTAGTAGCAACACTAGCGACACTATCTTGTCTTTGCTCGATAGTGTTGAGTCAAACTCCTTTTTTTTTTATGTCAATTGGGTTATTACATACAGATTAAACTTAATGACTAAAATCTTACATATATTGCATTAATCGATTCAACACAATAAGTTCAGCATACTTCAACATACTTCAACATAATTTAGTTCTTACATTGTTGGATTTTTCAATGTTTTATATTGAAAGAACAAGCTGGAAAAAAAAATTATTAAATTAAAAGAAAACGAAAAGAAAATTAAATTAGTAAGGGAGCAAATAAAAATTATTAGAATGAAAAATAAAAAGACTATCTCATCTTTTTCTTTTTTTTCATCTTTTCTTCTTTCCATCTTGTCTTTTGAATATTCTCTTTTTCTTCCCACGTTTTTATACTTAGAGGGTTGAATTGAATTGAATTGAATTAAATAGGCTCTTTTTTTTTTTTACCCCCCGTTTTAGATAGATTTAAACAGGTTTAGTTAGAAGAGTAAATTTACAATGGCGCCATCTATTGATGAATTATCAGTTAGCACTATTAGAGGTTTGTCTGTTGATGCTGTGAATGCGGCACAATCTGGTCATCCCGGGGCTCCCTTAGGATTGGCACCAGCAGCTCATGCCGTATGGAGAAAGATGAGATTCAACCCTTCAGATCCAAAGTGGTTTAACAGAGATAGATTTGTCTTATCCAATGGTCATGCATGTGCCTTGTTGTATTCATTATTGGTTTTATACAAGTACGAGTTAACAGTAGAAGATTTGAAGCAATTTAGACAATTGCACTCCAAGACTCCAGGTCACCCAGAAAGACTCGATACTCCAGGCGTCGAAGTTACAACTGGTCCCTTGGGTCAGGGTATTTCAAATGCTGTTGGTATGGCAATTGCTCAAAAACAATTTGCTGCTACGTATAACAAGCCGGATTTCCCAATTTCCGACTCTAAGGTGTTTTGTTTCCTTGGTGACGGTTGTTTGATGGAGGGTGTTTCTTCAGAAGCTTCGTCACTCGCTGGTCATTTGCAATTGGATAACTTGATTGCATTTTGGGATGATAATAGAATTTCAATTGATGGTGATACTGCTTGTGCATTCACCGAAAATGTTCCTGAGAGATACAAGGCTTATGGATGGCACATTTTAGAAGTTCAAGATGCTAATACCGATATTCAAGCTATTTCCGATGCTGTTGATGAAGCTCTTAAGATCAAGAACAAGCCAGTTTTGATTAGATTGGTAACTACAATTGGTTACGGTTCATTGGCTCAAGGTACTCATGGTGTTCATGGTGCTCCATTGAAGGCAGACGATTTAAAACAATTGAAAAGATCATGGGGTTTTGATGAAAATTCAAACTTTTACATCCCCAATGAGGTTAGCGATTACTTTGCTGAAAAAGTTGAGTCAAACAAAAAGGAACAGCAAGCTTGGGAAAAATTATTCTCAGAATATAAAGAAAAGTATCCAAAGGAAGGTGCTGAAGTTCAAAGAAGATTGGAAGGTAAATTCCCAGAGGGATGGAAAGACAATATTCCTAGTTTCACTGCCAAGGACAAAGCTATCGCTACCAGAAAATTATCGGAAGGTGTTTTGGACTATTTATATGGTGTTATTCCAGAATTGATTGGAGGTTCTGCCGACTTGACTGGTTCCAACTTGACTAGACCAGAAGCATCTACTGATTTCCAACCTCCTTCAACAGGTTTGGGTAACTACAGTGGTAGATACATTAGATATGGTGTTAGAGAACACGGAATGGGTGCTATCATGAACGGTATCGATACGTTTGGTGCCCACTACAGAACCTATGGTGGTACCTTTTTGAACTTTGTTTCATATGCAGCCGGTGCTTTGAGATTATCAGCATTGTCTCATCAGGGTGTCATTTGGGTTGCTACACATGATTCTATTGGTTTAGGTGAAGATGGTCCAACACATCAACCTATTGAAACTTTAGCTCACTTTAGAGCTATTCCAAATTTGTCAGTTTGGAGACCCGCTGATGGTAACGAAGTTTCTGCTGCTTATATTGCCGCAATCGAAGGTACTGACCATCCATCAGTTCTTGCGTTAACCAGACAAAACTTGCCACAATTGGAACACTCCAGTATTGAAAATGCTTTGAAAGGTGGATACTCTATATGGCCAGCTGAAAAACCTGATCTTATTATTGTTTCATCTGGTTCTGAAGTTTCAACCTCAATTGATGCAGCCAAATTGTTAGCTGAAAAGAAGGTTTCTGTTGCAGTTGTTTCAATTGTTGATTTCTTCACATTTGATAAACAACCTTTGGAGTACAGATTGAAGCTTTTACCAGATGGTGTACCAATTTTATCTGTTGAAGTCTTGTCAACATTTGGATGGTCCAAATACTCTCACGAACAATTTGGATTAAACAGATTTGGTGCTTCCGGTAAAGCTGCTGATTTATTCAAATTCTTTGAGTTTACACCCGAGGGAATTGCAAAGAGAGCTGAAAAAACTATTGAATTTTACAAAGGCAAAAAGGTTCTTTCACCTTTACACTCTGCCTTTGAAGAGTTGAAATAAGGAAAAAAGAGAAGAAACGAAATGGAAAAGAAAATATCAATTGTTTAGTTTTATTTGAATGGATGATAATTTATATATATATATATATATACAATTCTAATAGCTCTTTTCATTCTTCATTTATTCTATTTCATCTTGTTTTTCACTTTACTTTTTTTATTTTTTGTTCAAAATAATACCGCTTATCAACACTTGATCACTTTTTTCATTACTTACTTGTATCGAGTACGTATCTACCTATAGTCTTACCCTCTTCCATCAATTTGAAAACACTTTCCAATTCACTTAAACCAACAATCTTGATTGGACATTTAACCAAACCTCTTGCAAAAAAGTCAATAGCCTCATTGGTATCCCAATTGTTACCAACGTAGGAGCCCTTAACGGAGATTTGTCTGCAAACAGTTTCTAAAATTGGCAAGCATACCTTAGAATCAGCTGGTAATCCAATAAGGACAACAGTACCACGATTCCTAACAAAATCAACACTTTGTTGAATAGCAGCTTCTGAAGTGGAAACATTCAATGCTGCATGTGCACCACCATCGGTGATTCTGTGAATTTCCTTAGCAATGTCTTGACATTTTCTGAAATCAATAAATTCCTCGGCACCCAAATTCTTAACAAAGTCACCTCTTTCGTCTCCTCCGTCAATTGCTATTACTCTCAATCCAAGAGCTCGAGCATATTGGACAGCCAACGAGCCCAAACCACCAGCGGCACCAGATATAACTACCCACTGACCAGGTTTTGCTCCTGAAGTCTTAAGTCCCTTGTATACTGTGATACCAGCACACAAAATAGGACCTACCGAAGACAAATCAATGTCTGCCGGTAACTTTGTCGCTTGGAAAGCATCAACTGTTCCGTATTGTTGGAAAGTTCCATCAGTTTGGAATCCACTCAATATAAGTTTACCACATGCTGGCTCTTCTCCTTGTTGGCAGTTTTCACAACTCAAACATGCCTTGTTGATCAATTTTATACCGGCAAGATCGCCAACTTTCCATTGATCGGGCGAGACATTCGCACCTACTGCTGCTACAACACCTGCACCTTCGTGACCACAAACAAGTGGTAGTTTCAATGGCACTGCTGGCCAATCATTCTTCCAAGTATGTAAATCGGAATGACAAACTCCCGAATACTTAATATTGACTAGAATTTCGTTTGCTTGTGGTTTTGGAACGGCAATGTCCTTGTATAATAAGGGACCATTGCAAGTTTCAAACACAATGGCTTTTTGAGTTTCGGGGATTGTTGGAGCTGACATTTTACCAAGTTATATTTGCAATCAAAGGTATCACCATTTCTCAGGAAATTTGGCAAGCATAAATAATGAGTTATTTATATATCCGTAAGATACTCGTAATAATTGTGAGGGTGGGGGCGGGGGCGGGAACCTGCTTCGCTCCCAACACCACCATGGTACCAATAATAAAATAAATAAAAAACGAAAAGAAAAGAAAATAAGAAAAAAAAAGAACCACACACTATTCAAAGTAAAGCTATTAAGAACCCGCTTAATAGCTTTTACTTTCAATTCTTATTTGAAGCTTGACAATTGGATCTGACGATTTTTTTGACTCCCCTTATTTGATATAACTTGTTATAATATTTTAGCCGCTTAAAAACAAAAAAAAAAAGGGTAGCGGAACTTTGTAGCGGAATTATTTTTAAGCGGCTCTGTAAATAAACTCAAAGATTAATAGGTGTATTTTATCTGTCGAAAAACTCGGGGGTGACACTATCAATAACGCTATCGAGCGACACTATTGAGTGACACTATCAATAACACTATCGAGCATAGCGAGATAGTGGAGCAGCATTGACTAGTAACACTATTGAGTGACACTATAAATAACACTCGAGCATAGCGAGATAGTGGGGCAGCATTGACTAGTGTCACTATTGAGTGACACTATCTTGCTATGCTCGATAGTGGGGCAGCATTGACTAGTGACACTATTGAGTGACACTATCTCGCTATGCTCGATAGTGGGGCACCATTGACTTGCCCGTTGATTTGCTTAGATAGTGTGGCTAGTGGAGGTGTAGTTTAATTGTTGCATGTAAACTTGAAGTAAGTTCTAGTAACAAAATTTTTTTTGGTTATAAAACTAGTCTTTAAGCACGGTAATTTGTGTGAGATTTTTGCATGTCGAATGTATTTAAGGGGGCTCCACCAGGGAGCGAAGCGAGCTAGTGGAGCAGCACTAGCACCATTATCTCCACCAAGGAGCGAAGCGAGCTAGTGGAGCAACACTAGCACCACTATCTCCACTATCTCGCCCTGCTCGATAGTAGAGCAACACTTGGTAACTTATTACGACACTATCTCGCTTTACTCGATAGTGTTCCTAGTGTTGCTCGGTAGTGTCTCTAGCCACGCCTTAGAAAAACTTGTTGGGTGCGTATTTCATACGGAGAATACTCCTCCTACTTCCTACGAGCTATACGATTCAAAAAATACTTGCCTGATTTTGGTGCTTTTGTTTATTCTTATTTGTTTGTTTTTTTTCAGTGCGACTATCAAATGATTCTTATTATATAATGCGATGACATCAAACAATATGAATTACTTGACAAAGTATCAGGTACGTTTTAAGCAACGAAATTTTAGCCAGTAATACTTTTTGAATTAATAATTTGCGTTGCGATTTAATGTTCTAGTATAAACTATAATTTTTTTATTTGAAATTTTTCACACATTGCCGTAAGAACCCAGGGTGGAAACGTAATATGTCACTTTTGTCATTACCTAGAAACGGGAAAGTTGCTGTACTAGGAGCAGGAATCCTGGGGTTAACTTTTACTTATTTTTTGAGCAAATTGCGACCAGATTTGCAGTTTCTGGTATTTGATAAAGCCAACCGTGTGGGAGGATGGATGTCGCTGCCCCATTTGCATGTCAGAAATACCAATGAGTCTATATTATTGGAAAAAGGTCCACGAACTTTACGTGGAGTCAAAGATGGAAGCTTGCTAATGATTGATATATTACGGAAATTAAATTTGGAAAATCAAATTGAAGTTCTTGATAAGAATAGTAACGCTAATAAAAAATACATTACAGATGCTCAGGGGGAAATCGTTCAAGTGCCAAACTCCATATCTAGTACAATCAATTTTTTAAAACGCGTCGAGGTATTGGATTCAAAGTTGATTTCGGGATTGTTTAAAGAGCCTTTTGTAAAACCCGTTTTGAATGATGATGAAACTGTTGAGCAGTTCTTTAAGAGAAGATTAGGAAGTACAGTGCTAACAGATAATGTAATCAGTGCAATTATGCATGGTATATATGCTGGAGATGTTGGAAAACTAAGCGTCAAAAGTGTGCTACCCGACTTGAAAGATATGGAGTTGGAATCAGGGTCAATTGCAAAGCATCTTTTCAAAAAGTTGTTGCTGCTGCTGCTGCTGCTGCTGCTGAAAAGGGATAATCCTACCCAATTATCTGAGTGTTTACAAACTTACGAGCAGCTCTTGTCTCCAGAAGCAAATCTATTGTCCTTGCAAACTAAATTAAAGTCGTCATATCCTATGATTAAACTCCATGATGGAATGGAAACCTTACCTAAACATTTGGCAAAATATTTGCTTACGCAAACAAAAACAAAAATAAAGTTCAACACGTCCATTGAGCAATGTGATCCAATCACAGGTGAAATTAATGGCGACAAATTTGACCATATAAGGAGCACTATCAATGCCCATGCATTAGCCAAAGCATTACCATCAGGAAACCCGTTAGTTTCCAATTTGAATTCAATACAATATGTGAGTATCTTTTTAACTAATGTGTATACAAGAAAGCTGGTCTTAATACCAAAGAACAAACCCGGCTTTGGATTTTTGAGACCTCGACATAAAAGGGTTGCTGATAATCCACAAGCATTACTTGGAACAATCTACGACTCAGATATTGAAAACAGTGTAGAAGGGTTATTCAATGGATATAAGGCGATCCCCAATGAGAATAATAAGTTAACATTAATGATGGGAGGACATTACTATACCAACTGGAGCATTCCATCAAACAAGTTGAATATCAAAATTGTCAAGGACGTTTTGCAAGAAAAGTTGAAGGTTGACTTATCCCAATATAATATCAAGGTCATTCCTGATGACCAAAAATTGCAAGTAGATTCAATCAACGATGACGATATGGTTATGAGTTATTGTTTGCATAAAGATTGCATACCTCAATACAACATAGGCTACCAAGAAAACAAGACCAAAGCTTTAGATATTTTGGAAAAACAGCATTACAAGCTTTCGTTTGGTGGAACAGTTTTTGCTGATGGTGTTGGTGTACCTGATTGTGTCAGCAATTCCTTTAATGCTGCTTTGATGTTGAGGTGATATGTACCTATATATATATATATATGTATATATATATATATATATGGATAAAGTGAGGTGAATTTTTCACTCATACAGCGGTAGTACCTTGTCATCATCGTCTTGTCCTTTTTCATTTGCTTTTTCTTCTTTTTCTTGGGCTTTTGTTTTCGTGATCAATTTACATTCGTTGATTGCAAAATTTATAACTAACGGTTTTTCAAAAAATTCTTCTTGTTGTAAACTTCGCAATGCTAACTTTGCCGAGTCTAAATGAGCAAAGATTATAAACGCGTATCCCCTGTGTAATTTGATTGAAATAATGTCGCCAAATGCTGAGAATAGAAGATATAGGTTGTGAAATAGTAGCTTCTTATTTACTTTGTTGTTCAAATTCTTTACATATAAAGTATGCAAAGGCTTTAGATTTTGGTAATCTAATTTTACTTTCTTTGAGGGTAAAGCAGACGTTTTCTCTAATACATCTTTATCTCTCTGTCGTTTAGTTGAAGACATTGAGCAGTTTACTTTTGTTTACCTGAACCTTCTTCCTAACATCGTTTTATTTTTATCTATAAAAAAAAAAAAAAAAGATTTCTTTTATTTTTTTCCGTTTGATTATTGGCTAACCTTACCCGGCCAGAAAAAATTGAGTGTTACCCGGCAGAAAATGGAAAATGATTGTTACCCGGCAGAAGATGGAAAATGATTGTTACCCGGCAAAAAAGAAATGATTGTTAAATTTTACATGGTGAAATTGCTAGCAACTGAAGCAAGAAAAGAACTAGATGAAGAATTACTTCCTTTATGCCGATTGAATTTCACAGAGTTGTTCATTTGTACCAAATCCGATGACTCTCCGTAATAACTCGTTACTCCACTATCGAGCAAAACACTTTGTAACATAGACCACTATCGAACAAAACACTTTGTAACATGTAGACCACTATCTCGGTTTGCTCGATAGTGGAGCACAACACTTTGTAACATGTAGACCACTATCTCGCTTTGCTCGATAGTGGAGGCTTTGCTCGATAGTGGAGGCTTTGCTCGATAGTGGAGTACAACACTGACTAGCTCGATAGTGGATATTTTGATAGGAAATAATAAAAGTGCACTCACCTAGACTTTACATTATATAACTTGAGTAAGAAAAAAGAAAAGAGCATGTAGATGTACACTAATATATGTCATTCCTCTCAACTGTGTTCAAGAAAAAATATGTTTATGAGTCGATTGTTTCTCCTAATTAGTACATAATCCCATTTCTACCCCCTATTTCTCCTCCTCCCCCTCTCATATGGATAAAATGGTTATCGTGGCTTTTAAGGAGTCAGTTAAAATCTAGATTAGCTGACATCTAGATCAGCTTTAATCGTTGCTGACATCTAGATCAGCTTTAATCGTTGCTGACATCTAGATCAGCTTTAATCGTTGCTGACATCTAGATCAGCTTTAATCGTTGCTGACATCTAGATCAGCTTTAATCGTTGCTGACATCTAGATCAGCTTTAAAGTCGTTTCTGACATCTAATGAGAGTTTGAACAAACTCCATACCAATTGGCTTGCAATTGCGACATAATATGACAATACGACAATACTACACTCTTCTTTCAACAACACGTGACTTTCTTCTTTTATTCAGCAGAGAGACAAATTTCATATTGCAATAAACCTGTTTGCTCGTATTGTTGCTCAAGTTATGGTAAACTGTTATCTCTTGTCTTTTTTTCCCTTGCTTTGCTCTCTTCTTACTCTCTCTTGAAGCAATCGCATTGATTATATATATCTATATATAGATATATTTCGTGATCATAAAAAAGGTTTGTTGAATACGCCATTTTTCCAAAAAGTTGGCTTGTGGCTAAGCAAATTTAAAAGGACTCTCACAGAAACTGATACAACCCATCATTCTCTTGATTTATCACATCATAGAATATATAGAGGTATTACAATAGAACACTACAAGAGAGTGAGAAGTATTACAATAGAACACTACAAGAGAGTGAGAAGTATTACAATAGAACACTACAAGAGAGTGAGAAGTATTACAATAGAACACTACAAGAGAGTGAGAAGTATTACAATAGAACACTACAAGAGAGTGAGAAGTATTACAATAGAACACTACAAGAGAGTGAGATAGTATTACAAGACTGAGATAGTATTACAAGACTGAGATAGTATTACAAGACTGAGATAGTACAAGACTGAGATAGTACAAGACTGAGATAGTACAAGACTGAGATAGTACAAGACTGAGATAGTACAAGACTGAGATAGTACAAGACTGATTATTATGACAGAGGAGCCTCAGCTTAGTGCCTCGTTGCTTAGGTTAAAGTTATTGGATGCTTTGAGAAGTGGAGACACCCTGAAAATCGATGCTATTATAAACGAGTTGAATACTGCCAAGGCCACTATTCATAACAAGGACTTGATACAATTGAAAGAAACGATTTTACACTATGCTGTACAAGTTGCAACTTTGGGTACATTACAATACTTGATTCGAAATTCAGACAAGTTTGGGTTAGATATAAATGCCCAAGATCCTCAGGGAAACACTCCATTGCATTTGGCAGCGATGGCGTCGAGACAGGATATAGTCAAGTACCTCTTATCGTTGAGCAACATTAATGATACAATTGTCAATTTGGATAAGAAGCAACCAGTCGAAGTAGCCAAGGATTTGAATATTGCCCAATTAATGCAATTCGAAAGAGCTAAATTTGTTGAAAAAGCCGCTAGCGACTTGAGAACCTTTTTCAGTAATAGAGATTTTAACAATTTGGAGCAATTATTGGTATTGAATCCAAGAGCATCTGAACTATTGGATATAAACGGAGCTGATCCTGAAACCGGTAATACCGTATTGCACGAATTTATCAAAAAATCAGATTTGCAAATGTGTGATTGGATTTTACGGCATGGGGGTGACCCGTTCAAAAGAGACAAGCGCGGGAAATTGCCAATCGATTTGGTCAATCCGAAAGATGAGCAATTGAAAAAACTCATTAAAGCAGCCTCTAAAGATCAAACAATAATGGATCCAGTTGCCACTACAAATGCCGCAATAAAGACTGGGAACGCCCCAGTATACAAGGGTTATTTACGCAAGTGGACTAATATTGCGTCAGGATACAAACTCAGATATTTTGTATTGGACAAGAACGGAATCTTATCGTACTACACTAATCAAGATGACACTACTAATGCTTGCCGTGGATCTTTGAATCTTGGTTATTCAACATTGCATTTGGACTCTTCAGAAAAGATGAAATTTGAAATATATGGCAAGAATGGGCTCAGATGGCATTTAAAAGCTAACCATCCAATTGAAACTAATAGGTGGGTTTGGACGTTACAAAACGCAATTACAATTGCAAAGGATAACATCAAAAAGAAAAACCAGCTGAAAACTGGAGTAGGCAACAACAACAACAACAACAGCAACAATAATAATGAAAAACATTCCTATGAAGAAGGTAGAGATGCTAATTCTGCTGAAGACGACGAGTCTATTGGAAAAAGAAGGCACCGTCTCAAGATTCCAGGGAGAAGAAAGCACAAACGTAACGCTAGTAGTATTTCTGGAACGTCAGTTGAAGGTACCCCTAACAACTTATCTCGATCATCAACAATAAAAAGTACCACGAATGAGCTGACAGATAATGCAGTAGTGACTGGTGCTGGTGCTGGTGCTGGTGCTGGTGGTACTGCTACTCCTCGGTACTCTATGAGCAATGACCATGATTTACAGGACTCTGATAATGAAAACTTTGACTATGATGCTGACGAGTTAGAAGCAGAGGATGATGAGAGCGACACGGACTCGTCAATTAATACAAGTCAACTAAACGATGACATTGCAGCAACAAAGAGATCTTTGCAAGTTGAGTTATCTTCGTTGTTAGAATTGTTTAGTCAAATCATGAGTAGCGACATTTTTGAGCCAAACTCAAAACAAGCGGAAATTTGCATTGTTGGAAATAACACTATAAAGGCTGTTAATAATTTGTTGGCAAAATATACCACAAATATTGAGACTAGAGATAACAAATTGAGAAAAAATTTGGATAGACAATTAGAAGTTAATCAATTATGGGAAAGATCTATTAGACAACTAGAAAGAGAGATTCAAAATAGAGAGGATAAATTGGCTGTTTTTCAAGGGCAGAGAAAGCAATTGAGAAAGTACTTTTCAAATGCTCCTGCTGCTGTGAGGTCTAGTGGAACCACCACACCTGCTATAGACACCAAATTGTTGAACAACAATAGCAAGAATAGCAATCCTGCCGCTGCCTCAAAGGATGAGGTTTTGGGTGAGGAGCCAAGTAGAGATCAAATACAACAAGTGGATTGCAAATTGAACGATATTGATCAAAAGAATCCTGTAATTAATTTTCAAGATTCCGCTATTCCTAATAATTTGATTGGAGAACTTTTGGGTGATGATTCTGAAGACGAATTCTTTGATGCCGATGAATTCGAGGACGAAGAAGAAAAAGAGGAGAAGAGTGAGGAGAATGATGTACCTGTGGGAGAACATGATCCAATATCTACCAATACTGGAAATCAATACCAAGACGAAAAGGCACCTTCAACTTTTGTTGATGACGAAGGGGATTTGAGCCAAGAAGTATCTGGTCAGAGCGCACCAGTGGAAAAACTGTCTGTTGATGCAGGCGAGGCCTCACCATTCCCATTATTACAACAACAACAACAACAACAACAACAACAACAACAACAACAGCAACAACAACAACAACAGCAACAACAACAACAAAATGCCCAAAATAACGAATCTATTGCCTCTGAGAAAGAATCACAAGGTGCTGTAGATCAAAATGTAGCATCAAAAGCCCCAGGCGCAGACTCCACAACGAAAGAAATACACAATGGACTCAACTCTGTCCAGGGCAAAATTCAAGATCAACTAGTAGCTGAGGGTTCCTACTTGGGATATGAAAATCCACCTCGAACAAAGCTATCAATGGATGAGGACAATAGACCTAAGATTGGATTGTGGGGAATCTTAAAGTCCATGATTGGTAAAGATATGACAAGAATGACATTACCAGTTTCATTTAATGAACCAACTTCGTTGTTGCAAAGATTGGCAGAGGATATTGAATACAATGATTTATTAAACATTGCAGCTAGTTTTGATGATTCAACATTGAGATTGATTTATGTTGCTACTTTTGCAGCTACCGAGTATTCTTCAACAATCAACAGAATCGCCAAACCATTCAATCCGTTATTAGGTGAGACGTTTGAGTATTCTAGACCGGATCAAAACTATAGATTGTTTGTTGAGCAAGTAAGTCATCATCCACCAATTAGTGCTTGTCATGCCACCTCACCAAAATGGGACTACTATGGTGAGAACGCAGTGGACTCAAAATTTTCAGGAAGGTCTTTTGACTTTAAGCATTTGGGTAAAATGTTTTGTGTAATCCGTCCCGACAAACCGATTAGAGACAAGAAAGGGAATATGGTGGATGAAGAGTTGTATAGTTGGAAAAAGGTTAATACAGCAGTTGTGGGTATTATGATTGGTAATCCCACTGTGGACAACTATGGTAAGATGGTTGTGGAAAACCATACCACTGGCGATACAATAATTGTTGATATGAAACAAAGAGGATGGAGAGCTTCATCGGCGTATCAATTATCGGGACAGGCATTGGATGCAAATGGAACGCCGCAATGGGCTCTTGGAGGTCACTGGAACTCGAAAATTTTTGCCAAAAAGATAACTAAAGAGTACCTAGAAGGTAATGCTCATAGAAAGATGTCCATCTTGGAAGATCCAGCCAAGACTGCAGCTGCAAGCACTGATCCATATTCCGGATTGAAATTCTTGGTTTGGCAAGTCACGCCAAGACCCAAGGTGCCTTTCAATTTAACACAATTTGCAGTGACGTTGAATGGACTTGATGATAATTTGAAGCCATGGATAGCGCCAACTGATACGAGATTAAGACCCGATCAAAGAGATATGGAAGAAGGTAATTATGATCGGGCAGCTGATGAGAAGCATAGAGTTGAAGTTAAGCAAAGACAAGCTAGAAAAAGAAGAGATGAGACTGGGGAAGTATACACTCCAAACTGGTTTGTGAAAAAGAAGCACCATATTACAGGTGATGCTTATTGGAATTATAATGGGCAGTATTGGCCCAAGAGGAAGAATCATGAATTGGCTAACTGTGGAGACATATTTTAGACACCAAAAGTTCTTATCTTTTTTTCTTATTATTCTCGTTTATATTTTTTTCAATTTTTACTAAATATATTTGTTATAGTATAGATATCAAAGTATACATATAGATACCATTTACGAAGCAACTTTAATTGTATGTTCTCAAATACGTATTTGCATGGAGAGATTTCTTCTTCTTTTATTTCCCTTCTTTCTTCAGCTCAAAGTCTTTTTCCTCTTCTCCGCATTCCATCACTATCTCTTTGTCTGTATATATATATATATATATATATGTACATATATAGTAAAACGTTTAGTATTAGGCGTTCATCTTTCTAATATCTTGTGGTTTCATGTTCAAGCTAGTGGCATTGGTGATTGCATGGAAAATTGAAATATCATCAGATGAATCAGAAGAATTTAGGTAATTATTTATGTTACTGTTATTCTTGTTAATATTATTATTGTTATTGACATTAGTTATGACGCTACTCTGTGTTTGAATCGTGTCGGTACTTAGATGTTTTAATAATGGGAGTCTTTGGACAAAAGATACTTCTTGAACAACTTGGTTACCTAATTCGTCTTCGTCTTCGTCATCGTCATCGTCATCGTCATCGTCATCGTCATCGTTGCAATTTTTATTATTGCAACATGCTTTGTTTTCGGTTTTGTCACTTTCAGAGTTATCACCCACATCATTATCACTAATTAGGGCTGACTCGTTAGCTTCATCTCCAGATCTAACTTCCGTATTGTAACCATCGTTACTGGGTTGGCTTTCTTCCCCCGTACTATGAGGTTGGACTTCTTCTTTTCCTTCTCCAGAATGCAGCTCAATTTCTTCATCAGATATACTTTCGATTGCACAGCTTGAATTCGAAAAACTCGTGGAGTCAGGAATAGATGAGGTCGCAGGAGTTTCATTCACTTCAGGTAACGAAGCAGAGCTAAGCAGATGAATACTCCTCTCGTCTGAAGATGATGAAAAGCACAAAGATGGTTGACTTGGTGGCGGTTCTTTGGGCAATAATGAATGAGATAGGCTATCTTTGATTTTTGAATGATTTCTTTGTGGTGCTAAAAGAATAGAAGAAGCTTCATTAACATTGATAATTTCGTCAATGGTAGATCTCTGATGTGTAGGTGATCCCTCTTGCTCAGGGAATTCTTGTTGATAAGCTGGTGCTGGTTCGCCATGCATAATCATGGGAATGGAGGGAACTCGACTTAAAGAATCCTCCGAGATAGACAACGACCTGGTTAATGGAGATGACGGCGTTGAAGTTGCTTCTTCAAATGATGGTAATTGTTCTCCGTCAGTAGTATATTGGCTCCATTGTCTAATACTAACTCCATTATTGTTGTAGTTTGGTGTATTGAAAATCCCTTCATTATTTGTTGTAGTTTCGATCTCATTGTATTTAGGTAATTGTATAGAGCCATCATTGCATTTGGAACTCAACAAAATCAATGGCGTGTCAACAACAACTTCATAATGGTGCATTTTGTAATCATCCTTTGGATCAGGTTTTGAAATTCTAAAGCAAACTTGTAATCGATGATTAATTTGAATATGGCGATAATTGGAATCGGGATATAGAGCTCTTGATGTCAAAGTGTATCCATGCTTGATATTTTCGGGAGGATGATGTTTCATTGATAAATCATCTGAAAGAAAAGATGAGGAATTCGGCTTCATTGACTCATGAAGGCCAATCTCATCAACATTCGCCAAGTTTGTTTCAAGTGCTCCAATAACCGGAGAAATTGGGTTCATATGAAGAGCATTTGGAGCTGAATCACAAACAATTGAAGCTTTCCTAGAAACAGACCTATTAATAGAAGCAGTATCTTCATCTTCAGTGTTTGAAGAGGTCATCAACATCTTATCATTTTTCGTAGTCAAAAACGGTAACGCAATATTAATATCCAAAGGTGATGCAATCATGGTCTTTTTCTCTTCTTTGCCAAGTTTCTTACGAGGCACTTTACTAGGATTATCCACTTCTGCCTCAGCTTCGTAACATGAAAATAACAAATTATTCTCAGAACATTTGATAACTTCTTCTTTATAGGGATCCGCAAGTGTATTAGATGATTGTTTACTTTTTGTTTTTAATTCATATAGTGCAACCACTCTTTCTCTCACTTTGTTCTCTTTCCCTGTGTGTAAGTTATATGGATCCTCGCTATCATAGTCATATTCCTTTGCTAAATTCTTGGAAACATAAGTGATTCTTTCCAAAACATTGAATTTGATTCGTTTAACAATCACATCCTTAACGAGTGGCACAAGCTTCACGTTGATAACATGTTCCAACCCCAAAGAAACGTATTTTCTCGGGAAGGTAATCATATAGTGCACGGCGTCATTCCAAACACGATTCACATATATAGGTTTGTTTGCAATCGAATTTGCAAAATTAGGCGGCGTTCTTACCATGGGAAGATTGTAGGATGCATCGACTTTTAGTTTTCGACTTAGTTTGTCGCTAATCTTGTTAAAGTTCACCAGTAGAGTGTGACTCAAAGAACCATTTATGGAAACTATTGAAGCAGGAATATGTTCTGGTAAAAGTATTGGTAACAAAAAGACATAAAGTCCTGCTTTATAAGTCTCGGTGCTCGGAGAAGAAGAAAAGGAAGTTGTTGTTGTTGTTGTTGTGTTATTTGTCATTGGCAAACAAGCACCTTCAGTCTGTTCTTCTTCAGAAACATTTCCCTTTGTTGTTGGTTTAGAATCTTTTATGTCAACTAATTTATACTCTCTGGTACGTGTTGCTAAATCCTCTGGTTTCAAATTGTTCAGTCTCAACTCGTTTGAGTTGGAATTTTTGATGTAGTAATCAGCTTTAGCTAGAGTTGTGGCCCATTCCAAGTTTCCAATTTTGAATTTTTCTTTAATATGAGATCGATTATATGGGTCACCCGTAGGCCACTGTACCTGTGTCAACGACTGAAACTTGATTACCAAGTCTCTAACGGTTGTTTGGTCCTTAGTTAGTTCAATAATAACTGCAAATGTATGAGGTATCGGTAGTTCAGAGTCGATTTTGGTACAAAGATAGTTTGGCGTTTGAAAAGTCTTCATTCGTTGATACAAAGTGTTGTGATAGTTCAGCTGGTCATGATTCGCTTCTTCTGTAGTGATTGTTGATGGTGCTGTTTCGCGAACAAGAGAGTTGAATGAAGACCTTCGGCTATTGGATGTAGTATTCTGGTCAAATGAGCTTAAATCTATTTCTGCTTGTGGTATTGAACCGCCATTCTCAACATCTTCATAAGTAAAACTTGCCGATGACGCAGGGGGCAAGTAGATACAATCGTTAGAGTTTGAAACATAAACCTTGAACGTTTTCGAAACTGAGCCCTGAACTGCAGTTTTCAAAGGGATAGGATTCTGCAAACCCAAATTTTGTAGTTCACGGAGCAACTTCTTTGGTAAAATCAGGTGTGTTTCCCTTTTTTCTGAATCTTTTGTTTTAGATTTGAACAAACTTGTAGGCGATAATGTTCTTGTGTGATTCGTTGCAGATTGTGATCCTGATCTAGATCTAGATCGGCTCGGGCTCATGATATGATAGGATGGTGAGTCCTTTTGACCAGTCGTACTTATGTTGTTGTTGTTGTTACAATTATTAGTGCCATGTATAAACGATAGCGATGCAGACCTCAACCTTGATTCCTTAGCAGAAACATTACTGTTGCTAGTTTGGAGAAATTCGTGTTTCTGGTTCTGGTTTTGGTTGGGTCCAGAACTATGCCGTCTCCTAGTGAGCATTTTATTATCCAGCTCTAGTATGATATGGTCAAGACAAGAATGGTGATGCCTTAGAGGCGACACTTTGCTCCTGAGTTTGTCCAAGCTGAAACTATTGTGCATCGAGGAAAGTGTGTGGGGGAGGGAAGAAGGTGATGGAGGAAAATGGGTAGTGGTTGAAAAAGGGTAGCTGGGGGAGTATAGGCAATACTAGTCTAGTAGCTGGGGGAGTATAGGCAATACTAGTCTAGTAGCTGGGGGAGTATAGGCAATACTAGTCTAGTAGCTGGGGGAGTATAGGCAATACTAGTTTATTGCCTAACCTAATAAATCGGTGGGGTTATACGAGTTCTCGGTTATGCTGTTACAAGGAAAGTAAAAGTTGTATAAAAAGTGCTGAGGATTTAAGAAATAAAAAGGCTAATAACTTTTAATTTTTTTTGGCTTTGTAGGAATGGAAAGTGAAGGAAGGGGTTCTCTGTGAGAAGATGTGAGTAGTGAGAGGATAACTGCTGGTAGCGGATGAGTAGCGAATGATAAATGGCGGTTGATCAGTAGTAGCAGCTGAGTAGCGAGTAGTAGTGGTAGTGGTTGCTGCTGCTCAGATGTAAGTTACTCAATAGAGCGGGGGGGGGGGGGGGGGGGGTCAATAATCCTCAGTTACGATAGGACTTGAATTGCCGACCTTCCTGTTACTTAGTATCTTACGCCCTAATGAAACACTAGGAATCAGTAAAGAACAGAAAAAATATCAAAGTAGTTCCTCAATATTTGTCTACTTTATTCTCCATTACCCACTTTTCTTTACAAAAAGAGTATATTTAGAGACTATTTACATGCTTGTATGGCTCATTAAAGTCCTAAATCATAATGTCCTGGTACACAACACGACTGTAATTCAAACTTTCGGAGTTGATGGCTTTTTCATTATCACCGATAATTTTGTCAACAATAAATTTTTCTGTAAGAAAACTGAAAGAGGGAAAAAAAAAAAAGAATTTAAAAAAATAAATATTTTGACTATGGTGTGTTACCAAAGACAATCGTTGAATTGTGCCAACTCTATTGGCACCTCCGTCGTTGTTTGTGTAAATAGTAAAGGGATTCTTGGTAACTGTCATCATATGTCCATGTTACATGCATACACCCCTTAAACCGCATTCCTATAAACCTCATTCCCTCATATTATCATTCCCTCATATTATCTCTTACTTGACACACAGAAAAATGGGTTTTTTTTTAAAAAAAAAAAACACGTCATATGTTGTATATGTGAGGTGCTTCCATGCTTTTCTTTTTCTCACCTTCATTCCCTTCTTCTTTCTTCTTTTCTCCATTTGCTGACTCTTATTCCCGTGGGATGTCCAGCATTACTACCCAGAAAAGCCTCAAAGGTAAATTACATCATTAGCTGTAAAAATAAATAGGTATTCGCAAGTGATTACCGTCTATGCGCATGACACAGAAAAAAAAAAAGAATAAATAGATCACAAAATAAAAAAAACGATGAGCGGGGTTGGATGGACGGGCCGGACAGAACAAAGTGAGGGGGGGTAGTCCGGAACAGGTCAATGATGTTGTCCCGAAAACGGCGACCAAGCGGAAAATTGATGCCAATCTTTCCTACAAACAAATCATTTCTATATTCTTTTTGCATACACTATCGAACAGAGCGAGATAGTGGAGCACACTAACTATATCTATTTACTAATAATGCCAACTGTATCTAGAAACCATCATTTGCTAATACTAGTTTTGATTACCTAAATAAATTGAAAATAGGTACTCTAGACCCCAAAATTTCAACTGACCTGGCCGTTTCACTATTTTTTTTTTTTCTAATAACGACGATTTAATTATAGTTAGCGAGATGACTTTTTGACCGTTTTTGATTATACTGCAAATCTCATTTATTTAAAAATCAAAATTTCATATATGTCATATCAACGTTTCTAGACTCCTCCAGCTCTCATTCTGGTACAAGAAAAAACAATGCACCAAAGCATTCTGAAGGATATACAAAATCTCCGCTATTGTAAGGTGTGAACATCTATCGAGCGAAGCGAGATAGTAGAGCAGCACTGACTACGCCGACTACACCGACTCTATCGACTCTATCGAGCAAAGCGAGATAGTGGAGTAGCACTGACTACACCGACTACACCGACTACACCGACACTATCGACACTGTCTCGCTTCGCTCGATAGTGGAGCAGCCCTAATTACACCATGTGTAACTACATATTTTGAGCTGAGAGGCAAACCAACTAAATTTACTGAGCTTGAGTCTTTGCTTCTATAAAACAAGATTTAAAAGGACGTTATTTTCTATGTATATATTCTAATAAATCACAATTGCTGATTTACATATCATCGCCATCGATTCACTATGGATTATGGTTCAATCTGTTTTGAATGACTTTTGAATTATAGTTTAAATCATCAATAGTAGGCTGTGAAAGATTAATGGAACTCGTTGGAGAATAATCAAGTAATCTGATTATATCATCCATCATACCTATATTAATATCTCTTTGTTATTGCGGAAATGATAAAATGATACTTCAATCTATCGTAGGTATATAAATGTGTCATTAGTCACTGTGCTCCATTATCGAGCAGAGCGAAATAGTATTAGATAGTGGAGCAACACTCAGTAGCTTTTTACAACACTCAGTAACCTATTACAACACTATCTCGCTCTGCTCGATAGTGTATCCCAGATGTGATAAAAAGAAAAGTGGTTCATCACTCCACTTCATCATTGATATGTTCAATTTCCTCGTCGCCGATTTTCTTTAGCATGATCTGGCCGTATTCACTCAATTTGATATCCTTGCTAACATCCAAATCAAATATACTTTTCTTCTCCTTATCCAGACCACAATACGTCACGGGCAACTCCAGTTTGGGCAATACCTCACTTAAATCACCATGATTCAAAACTTGAAATTTCTTTAAAGTTTCAGCACTGATAACTCCAATAGTTTTGAAAAAAGTGAAAACCCACCCCATCAAGAGCGGAACATTGATGAAAAATTTGGTGCTCAACAATTCGGGATAGTTGCTCCCAAATATCTCAATAACTTCCTTTGTTGCATGTTTCATCCCAGGGTCAATTTTAAACAAGGAGACGTTGTTATAATCATGAATCTGTCCAATCTTATTATTATTTGAATCTTGAAAATCAATCAACTGTAAAGTTTTCTCCATTAATCCAACTCTCCACCGAATAAATTGACTTCCTGGAAGATCTTTATTTACACTACCACCAAATTTCTCAAATAGATTTTTGGGATTCTTGAGATTACCGTAAAGATTCCAGGTGATTATATGAAGATTAGCATTTGCCGAGGGAAAATTGGTAACAACCCCCAAATCGTCTAATTCTTTATTGAATTTTTCTTCAAAAGCTGCTCTCAAAGGCTGAAATCTGTGTCTCCAGTTCAAGGTTTTGATTATACGTTCGGTACTCAAGCTTAAATCGTAAGCATCTGCTGCTAAAAATTTCAACAAAATCTCGTTACGTTTAGGTATATCGACGTATTCCTTGTCGTCGGTATTGATTCTGTGCCCGAATATCTCGTCATACTCTGGTTTATCTGTTTTTCCCAAGATATTAGGAATAGAAGATAATAATTGAGCTAACTTCGTGGCCTGGTCATCTGTTAATTCAACTGACTTGATACTTCTCTTGACCTCGTCAATCGGTAACTTTGTTTCTTCACTCATGGCTTCAGTACCAATGGCTTAAAAAGAGCAGATCACCAAAAAAAGGGAAAAAAACAAAAAAGAATGGCCCAAATTTTACCTAAAAAATCAATGAACCGTTTCCCTTATTGCGTGTTTCAATACCGGGTAATTTCTTATTTTTGCGAAAAAATAAAAATAAAAAAATAATAATTTTCCTTTTATCTAAAAGATCAGTGAATTAAAAAATCAGAAAAAGTTAAGTGGTGGATCAAAATGAATTAGTCACGAAGTTCAGTTGATCGTTCATTAATGTAACCTTGAGTATAAGATAAACTTTGTTGTAGAAACAACCTATATTGCAAAGTATTTCTATAACACTCTAGTTCATGAGTAATTGAGTTATTCAAGGTCAACCTTTTGATGATGATGATGATGATGATGATGATGATGATGATGATGATGATGATGATGAATTATTACTACTACAATGCTTTTTCTTTTTTTTTTAGGATGTAATAGTTTTAGTAAAAACGGCTTTGCCACCCATCTACGTTATTGGTTACTTTTAGAATAATGCAATTAAAGTTTCAACACACTTGGTCACCTGAGTGGCGTAGAAAACTCAATTAAATAAAAAAAATAAAAATAAAAATAAAAAAAATTATATAGATAAAATACTAAAGGGTATATTTATTTTATTCTTTTTTTTTTTTTTCAATTGTATTGTGTATAACAAAACTAGACCAGCTTGAAATTTTCAGCAAGTTTGATCATTTCAGGAGCACCCACTTTTAAAACACTTTCTTTCAAATCACCTTTTAACCCACGCTCGGCAAAATCAATAGCAAGACGACCAACATCACTAGCATCAATAGGCTGCACAAGAGGTGAGAGCCAAGTTCCTTGAACCCATTTGCCCACCTTCATAGCTAAGGAGTTTCCGAGTCCATGATCTTCTTTCCTCTCCCCAATTAAAACCCCAGGTTTCAAAATTATAGTATAATCAAATTTCAAATCAATTATAGCGTCTTCTAGCTCTCCCTTAGTCTTCATATATAAAAAGAGTGAGGTTGCACTTGCACCATACGCCGAGACTAAAACACATACTTTGGCACCATTGGCTTTAGCTGCTTTAGCACTTTCGTAGTTAATACCATAATCTATCTCTTTGAACTTTTCAGCTGAACCTGCTTTAGCACGAGTAGTTCCAAATGCCGAAATAAAGGCTAAGGGGCTCGGCTTGATATTGTGGATGATGTCTGACCATTTCAGCGTATCAGATTCAACAATTGAGTCTACCTTACTATCTGTAGCAAAATCAGGTAAACTTCTGGTAACAGTAACTACCTTATCAAATTCTTTGGATTCTAAACCATATTTGACAGTTTGGGATCCTACTAGCCCAGTGGATCCCAATATGAACAAGCCACTCATATTCTTCAATGTTTTGAAAAACAAGATAAGAAAGTTTAATCAAGGGGGGGGGGACGGCAGAACCAAAAAAATAAAAATAAAATAAAATAAAAAGTTTATTAAATTGCACATTTTGGTGCCTACAAAAAAAAGTTTATAAAAAATATCCATACTCCTGAAAAATAGCAATTTAACCTTTTGTATGTAGCACTCTGTGTTTGAAAATTTTATTAAACAAACATTTGAATGAGCTTAGTATTTTAAAGGAACTTGGTATGATTCATGTATTTATTGAGTCCCTCCTTTTCCTTCTATTCCTTCTTCATCTATTCCTTCTCTGGCCCAACCAATACTTGTTAAAGCTCTTTTTCGCATATCAATAAAAGAAAAGAAACCCTTTTGACAAAGCTTTCTAAACATAAATTGATGTCGATACAAGTAATGTTGTAGACTTTTCGAAAAAGAATTGTAAAAACTTACATTTTATTTTGTTCAATCTTGCAGACCAGAGGCTCTTTTGCCTTTTTTTCCCCTTTTTTCCCGTTTCTTCAGAAAGCTTGTTAACAGCCATTTATTTGCAGCCGATAGTATCTGTGTAGTCAGTGCTCCACTATTGAGCGAAGCGATAGTATCTGTGTAGTCAGTGCTCCACTATTGAGCGAAGCGATAGTATCTGTCTAGTCAGTGCTGCTCCACTATCTCGCTTCGCTCGATAGTGTCGCCGTTTGAGTAAACAAAAGGGGAAGGTGAGGGACACGACACTGACCTCTTACATACATAGCTGCCACCGACACTATCTCGCTCTGCTCGATAGTGCAAAAAAGAAGATGTTAAGTAAAGAAGCTTACATACATCCATAAAACTCTCAGTTTCGGCCACCAGGCACCACCTTGAAAGACAATATATCGTTTTTGCCAATATCGACTGTATCTTCTTCACTCACCCTCATGCCACCAACACCTTCAATAGCAGCTATTGTTACGTCACCCATGATTTTTCTAGCAACCGAAACAACAGGAGTACCTCTTTTTACTAATATACAATCACGGAAGATTGCATCACCTCCTCCACTACCACCACCAAAGCTATTGATATTGCGCACTGGGAAAACAGGCACCAATTGTAAAAGTTCTGCTGCGGCTTGAAGTAATTGAACGACACCAGTAGAGCCGAATCTGTACAAGACCAAATCTCTTATACTTTCTATACGATTCAATAATTTCTCATCCATTGGCTTGAGATTTGGATCATCTGGAATGTCTTCTTTTGTGTCCACAAACTCCGTACCAGGTATATATTTAATAAAATTTTGTGCAGCCAACTTCCTCAAAAACACTTCAGTGATAGATGACGTCAACACGGCTTTACTCTTTGGATACTTCAAGATGATTTTGGAAACATTTTTATCTGCATCGGGGTGATCTATTTTGTTCAATGCCAAAACAGTGGGGAATTTCACATCCATGAATGCTCGTACAACTCTTTCAAGCATTTCATCGTCCCAATCTTCTAATGGTGGCAAGTTTGGTATTCGATCCAACGCCTGAGCAATCTTTTGAGTATTCGCTACGTATCCCCCCAACTGCTGTCGCAATGTCTCCAAAGTCGTTTGTTTTGTGCCGATATGTTTCCGTCTAACTGATCCCCATCGTTCTTTCAAGTTTCCCAAGATCCATTGGAAAATCTCATTTTGTAACCATTCGATATCATTTAGCGGATCATAACCTCTTGTAGTTTTTCCCTCGGCATCCGTTGTTCCACTGACATCAACAATATGTATCAAACAATCTGCTTCCGTCAAGTCACTCAAGAACTTATTACCTAAACCACGACCCAAATGAGCATTAGGTACCAACCCAGCAACGTCTAGTAACATAATAGGCACGCCTCTTTTCCCACCTCGGCAGAACCCGTAATTCGGCTTACATTTATCTTGCAAATTGAATCGTTTACAAGCGCAATCTATTTCCAAATAACCAGTAGCTTTATTTGGGTCAATGGTTGTGAATGGAAATGCACCAACTTTGGCGTTAGCATCTGTTAACGAGTTCAATGTGGTTGATTTCCCACTTGACGGCTTCCCTACAAGTCCAATCACAATTTCTCTTCCCATTTTGACTTACTGGACTAAACTCTGTTATAGCTTAATGTTCTAACTATTTTCTCTTCTTTTTTTTTTACATCTTTTTTTCCAAATCATCTCAACAGTAATAAGTTTGGTAGCATAAGAAAAAGAAGCTGTGTGGATAAATGGTGGTTACCAACGACAATTGATACGAGAGAGATGCAGAAAAGGAAAACCTAAAAGAGAAAATGGAGTTGTGTGTGGAAAGATCGGGGGGGGGGGGAGGGGGTATGTCGAAAATACGTACAGTGCATAGGAAAATAGTATATATTTTGAGATTGTACAATGCAACCAGTACAAAATAAAAAAAAAATGGCTGCAAATTGCACCAAAATGATCAAAGAAAACAAAAAAAAAATAAAGGCTTCAGTTGCAAAATTGTCGAATTTTTAATGCTTGATACTGTAACTATCACACAATTTCCACTAGCGAGCAAAGCAAGACAGCGGAGCAACACTCAGTAGCTTGTTGCAACAATATCTCACTCTGCTCGATAGTGTCGAGAGCAGCTAGAGTGTTTCACTAGCTCGCTTTGCTCGCTAGCGTTCTTCAGTGTGCTCCACTATCTCGCTCTGCTTGATAGTGTCAAGAGCAGCTAGAGTGTTTCACTAGCTCGCTTTGCTCGCTAGTGTTGTTCAATATGCTCCACTACCTCGCTCTGGTCAATAGGGTCGAAGAGATGAGAGGTATGATTTGAGGTCTATGTATTTATGGCTACTTGTATTGTTGTTTTAGTACTTAAAGTAAAAAAACTCATCCGATACTTTCCCATTAGGCATATTATGCATCAATTCAAACATCATTTTACCTTCTTTAGAAACTGCCGGACTTGATCTTTCCAGTATAATGATCTAATTCTTTAAGAAAATATTTCAAATCACAATCATTCCATTCTAGTTTATCAAGTCTTTTTTTTTCCCGAGATGCAACTGATATAGGGATCATTGTTTGAGCCACTACTCCATGTCCGAATTATTGTCAGTATTATAACTGACACAATTAAGATTGACCAAAGTCGGTTATCATAACAATCTGACCCCTACCCTCCGAATTATCTATAGAAACTTTGCACAAACTGTTGACAATGTTTCAACATTATTCTTTAGTGGCTCTACCAGAAAGATACACTTTTAATACAGGAGTCTTTTATAACGATCCTGTATATAAGTCGTTGGTACCACAAGGAGAAATTTGGTAACAGAAGAACAAAAATGTTTTGAACAACAAACAAGGAGAAGCAAAAGACAAAGAAGAAGACGTCACAGAAGACGACACAATTAGAGAGAGGACCAGATCTAACTTAGAAATTGATATATTTTCTAGTGGTGAGTATTTACGACCACCAACTTTACCAAAAAAAAAGAAGCAAGAAATTGAGTTATAAGTTGATTTAAAGGGAGACACGAAAATGGCGTTAGGTGACTCTATATTATCGAATATCTTTGGTGGACTTTCCAATGACTTTAAAAAGAAGAATTTCTCTCTTTATGGGCAATGGATAAGTATAATTACAATTTTCCTATGTCTTGCTTTAGGTATTGCGAATATATTTCACTTTAATTTGGTGATTATTTTTTCCATCATTTGCTTGGTGCAGGGATTGATTGTTATATTTGTTGAGATACCTTTCCTCTTGAGAATATGTCCTTTAACGGACACATTTACAAATTTTATCAGAAAGTTTGATGGCAATTTACCTCGCTGTGGATTTTACTTGTTGAATGCTGCGATTCAGTGGTTAAGTTTAGTTTTGCAAGCTACTAGTTTGATTGTTGTTGCTATATTTTTCACATTAGCAAGCGCCTGTTATGCTTTAGCATATGCCAAGAATCAGGAATACTTGAAATCGTCTATTGATGTCACAGGTACTGGACAAGGAGGCGCTTTAGAGGCACAAGTTGGTGAACATGTGGTGAGAAATGTTTTGTAGAGCAAATAGTTTTGTATGGAGAAATGTGTTAATCTTAAATAAAAAAGAAGAATTAAAACAAAATAAAAAAAAAAAGCGAGAGACTTGGGGAATTGATTGGTATTTGTTTGCTTGAATATGGCAACGGCAGGTGGATGTAATATAATGTTGATGGTTTATAGTGTAAACTGTAAGCTTTTCTTTTTCTACAGCGATGATGTGATGGAGGAAAGAAAGAAGCAAAACAAAAAAAAAACAAAAAAAAAATAAAAAACAAAAAAAAAAAATTCCTAATGCAAAACGATTGTTGAAGTTGAATATCACCCACGATGTCGGAAATGCTACCCTTTGTAGAGGATACCGACGGGCAGAAACTAAAGAGATATAAAGATAAATCCCATCCGGAGACGTCGACGACACAGGTAACTGTAAATAACAGAGAAGCAACATCACCACCACCAACGATAACATCATTTTCATACGACCAAGTAAACGATGATGCAGATGAATTGATTGAGTTACGAGGAGAAGGGAGGTATTTCGGTGTAACCGATCTTGATGATGCCAATAAGAGTAGTGTCAAAACAGGCCCCATATGTGATAACTGTCATAAAAGGGGCCATAAAAGAGCAAATTGTAAAGTTCTCATTTGCCACAAATGTGGTAAAGTAGGAGACCACTGTGAGACTCAGTGTCCCATGACTCTTATATGTTTGCGATGTGGCGAGAAGGGCCACTATGTAGCGGAATGTAAGAGTAAAACGCGGAAGAAGCAGTATTGTCGAACTTGCGATTCATTTCAACATGGTGACGAAAATTGTCCAACAATTTGGCGATCTTATTTAACTAAGCGAAGTGCAAATAATGACAATGAGAGTTGCGTTCTACCTGTTATATGCTGTTACAATTGCGGATCGAGTTTGCACTATGGAGACGAATGCCCCGAGCAGAGAAGTTCGCGAGTACCGAATTTGGGAAGTGCTTTTAGTGGGAATAACTTACCAAAGAAACTTCGACCATTATATTTTTCCAGATTGAGAAGAAGCAATGAGCGAAATTATTATAAGGGTGATGGTGTTGGTGTTGGTGGTGGTGGTGATAATGATGACACATATGATCCACTACGATCAGCCAAGAATAGTAAGCCAAAGTATAACCAGGAAAAGACAATGGACTACAGAAATGGTGCCGATACATATAGTACCACTAGTCTGTTTGGAGGGTCTTTTTCACGAAAAACTCCATCGCGATCTGGGTATGTGCCTATAAATGGATCAAACAACTTTCAAAAATTCAATTCAGGACAGCCTTCTCTAGCTAGACTTCCTGTTAGACCATCTAGTCGCAGTGGAAATTACTCTAGTAATGGTTCTAGAAACTTCAATGTTACAGGATATAGCCCGAGTGATGGTAGTGAATCAAACTACCAACCTACAAAGTCCGGTGTGATCAGGAGTAGAAAAAGTGATACACAATTACAAGGTAGAGTGACAAAACCCACAAGATCGGGATTAATTGAAAGTAGCAAAACAAAGATGAAAAAGAGTAAGCATATACGATACTAGAGCAAAGTATTTAAAGTAAATAAGAGTTGTAACAAGAGTAATTTTTTATATTGTAAGAGTAATTTGTTTTTTCTTTTTCTTTTTTTCTGTACTATATTGAAACAAAGTTCTTATTACTAGGTATATTAAGGTTTAGATTTGATAAAACCGTAAATAACATCACAAACTATGATAACACCAACTGGAGGAGAGAAACATCTCCAACAAAAGTATAAATCAGAAAAGATCATGGAGTTCTGTTTATATGTGCCTTTTGTTTTTCCCCTTCTTACTAACCATTCTTTCTTCTTCCTCTTCTTCTTCTCAAGACTTTGTCATGTGTGTGCTTTTTATGCGTTGTATATTACCAAGAGAAAATTTAACGCATTTTTCCTTATCTATTTCATCTACTTAGAAAAACTGCACAGAAACTGAGATGCCTTTCAACGACAAAAATAGCAATGGAAATTTAATGAATTTTAAGAAAACAAAGATTCTTATTGAAGGCAAGAAAAAAAAAAGGGTTACCTTGTTACTTGATGACCCATATCCTTTTTGGAGTGTATTATCAGCCTGAAACAATCTCAGATTCATTCTGATCTTTTAACTAAAAAAAAAAAAAAAAAAAGAAACACTTTACTTTTATAAAAATCGACTCCTATTTGAATTTAAAGAATATATCAACTCTTATTTTTTTTAATCTTTTTTTTTGGGGTCTCCCTTCTTTGAATGCATTTATAGGTATAGAAACAGACCTTGTAAAAGGAAAGGGTGCTTTAAGACCACGACAAAAGCCATCTCGAGGAAACAAGGATAGGATAGGATAGGGAGGTAACAAGAGAAGGTGGAAAACTTTGAGGAGTTTTAAGGAATTTTTTTTTTTTTTTTTTTTTTCATTTACACACGGGTTTAAATATGAATTCAACAGTACAGTTATGGAGAGATTACTTTCATTTTCCGAGCGGTGTTGATAAGACCAAAGAATATAGCGAGCTACGGAATTACATCACGGACAAGTATGGGGTTGTTACCACTTTGTCACTATTGTTATTTATCGTTTCCATTCCCGCATATCAATATTTTATTGTACATAATTATCGACTAAAGTTTCATTATCTTCGATCTTTTTATTCAAAATTGAATCATTATATCTTGCACAAGCATCATTTAGATCACACTCCTTTGACATGGAAAGATAGACTTTTTACCAATACATCTGTTATAATAAAAGCTTTAGCCTTCAAGATCTTTTTGCATTTTTCAACAATTGTTCAAATTGTGTTTTGGACTTGCTTTTTAGGCACCTTGTCACTAGTTGACATATATAATGGAGATTTGATTTTTTTAGCAAAGCGACTAGGTCGAGTTGCAGCCAACTGTTTACCGACTATCTTATTCTTGACAATTAGACCATCACCGTTGCCAAACCTATTGTATCTTTCATTGTTACCAATTCACAAATGGCTTAGCAGATTTGTCATTGTTCAAAGCATTATTCATACTTTGATTTACCTTGCATATTTCAACCGCAATAATACCTGGAAAAAAGCATGGAAACCGGTAAATATCTACGGGTGGGTAGCATTGGTTGGGTTTCTAACAATCATTGTTACATCGCTATCACCATTTCGTCGTCGTTGGTATAAGGTGTTTTACTTTATGCATTATACTTGGACATGGATCATTGTTGGATGCATGCAGATACACGTTAGACCAAAGCCATTTACTTTGTATACTATTACAAACTGCTGCATACTTTTGGGCCAAATATATTATAGAACACGTCTCACTCGAGGGTCGTTAAGCGGTGAGGTGAAAGTCATTGATGTGTCACCCAACTTGTCACTAGTTGAATTCCCCAATCGGTTAATTGCTGAACGTGCAACTGCACCGGGTGCACATATAAGATTAACAGATTACAGTTCCAATGTTATAAGGAGGGTGTGGAAGCAAGTTATCCCAAATTATCATCCATACTCCTTGGTTTCACTACCAAACGATAGTTACCAGCGGTTGATTATAAGGAAAAGTAATTTCAGGCTATACGACAAATATAGATATTTAATTACAGGAAGCTATGATCCGCATTTGCTTTTCATCAAATATAAAGCAGGGAGAAACACCACTACGAACAACCAAAAGCCGTGGTCACTATCAAAATTACACCTAGATGCAAAAAGAATCTTGATTGTTATAGGCGGCTCTGCTATATCATTTGCGCTACCAATTCTCAGAGTCATGAATTATCATGGAATTCCTACAAAGGTTGTTTGGGTTATTAAAGATTTCAGAGATGTACTTGTTCTCAAGTATTTCGATGGTTTTATTCATGGCGACGATTTTGAAATCTTTGTTACCGGGAGCGATGCTGTCAGTAACAAGTCGTCGACTTTGTTGAAGGGTAATGATCCTAATACTAATTACACATGTATGTCCAAATTGAGTAAGAAATCGATTGGCTCGCTTTCAGCGCATTATGACCTCGAGAATGAAGAAGAGACGCCATTGTTGGCCAGTAGTAACGCCCAGATGACAAGTTTAAATCAAGAAAATCAAGTTGAAAATATTGATATCGAGATTAATTCAGAAGACGAAGACGAAGAGTCAGAATGCGCTCATGAATGTGCACCACTCAATATTCTTGATGATGATGCTCCAACCGGCGAGCTAGATGCTTTAGATTTCAGCAGCAGCAACGACAATGACGACAATGACGACAACGAAGATCAACACATGTACGATGAATACGAAATAACAAACGACACAATCAATCTCTCGGATACACACGAGGGAAACATATCACGTAAACCATCAACCAATGAACCCTTTTTCCCCATGTATACGCAAGCATCATCAGAAAGAGACAAATCATGGATCCAACAATTTCAAAGACTCACACGAAATTTGAACATTGCTAAAAGAATATACAAGGGACGACCAAAGATGAATAACCGATACTACAATTGGTGTATTAACGAAGGGTTCACGCAATGTTCAGGCCCAGTAGTGGATGAACATCAGAATCTAGTGTGTTGTCAAGATTTGCCTCGACATAGAGTTGTTGAAGAGGATATAAATGCGGAGAAGATCTGGGTTATTGCCGCTGGACCAAAACCATTGGTTGAAAATGTTAAATTGTGGTCGAGTGAAAATGGATTGAAGTTTCATGAAGAAGCGTTTTACTCGTAACGACACTATCGACACTATCGAGCAGAGAGAGATAGTGGAGCACCATTGATTAGTGACACTATCGACACTAGCGAGCAGAGCGAGATAGTGGAGCACCATTGATTAGTGACACTATCGACACTAGCGAGCAGAGCGAGATAGTGGAGCACCATTGATTAGTGACACTATCGACACTAGCGAGCAGAGCGAGATAGTGGAGCACCATTGATTAGTGACACTATCGACACTAGCGAGCAGAGCGAGATAGTGGAGCACCATTGATTAGTGACACTATCGACACTAGCGAGCAGAGCGAGATAGTAGAGCACCATTGATTAGTGACACTCTCGCTCTGCTCGATAGCGGCAGAGCGAGAAAGTGGAGTAAACTGACTAGCTACATAGAACTTTGTTGGTCTTTTGGTGGATATTCATACACATATCAATAGTGCCCCATGCACATACAATCACACCCAATCGCACACTCTTATGTACACACAATCTCACACTCTCATGTACACACAATCACACTCTTGTGTACACACAATTTTACATTCTTAGGAATACACACTCGCACTGGGATTGCCTCTCGCACATTTGCACTGGGATTGGCTCTCGCACTAGCGTTGCCTGCGGCTCCGCTAGTGTCCTTAGTGTCCTTTCTTCTTCATCAAATCCATTTCATTTTCATAATACTTATTTCTCTTAATCTCATCCTCGATTGCTGCTTGCCGACTAATACTCATCTTAGCAGTATCAGTAGCAAATGTAACACCAACAATATTCCAACAAACAAACCACCACACCTTATAGGTATTCCTAAAATAGGCTGTATTCTGACCATAATTATACTTATATGACAAGGCATATCCACTAACCAAAGCAATCAAAGTGCCCCGAAACATCCCCTTGGCAGCTGCTTGCCATAATTGATTTTTATACCTGTCATATCTTTGCTCTTTTGTCTCTTGAAACAATTGTTCCGACTCTGACTCCGACATTATCCCCCTAAACTTAACACTAACTGAAGAGCAGTAGAAAAAAAGAAAAAACCCTAACAGAGATGAGAAGCAAGTGAATAGAAGAAGGTTTCAGTTAATTTTGCTTTATCAAGAAAATTGGATCATTCATTAGTGGCTCTTTTTTCGGCTAAAGTGAACGCTCAAAGGGAAGAATAAAAGTCATTGATATCTGGGGAAACAATATACACGGATTTTAATTGACTACAATAGAAAAAAAAATTGACTTTGCATAGTTCTAGACTTTAAGTAAGAGATAGAAACAGAGGCAAAGAGCGAGTGAGAGATAGAAATAGAGGCAAGGAGCAAGTGAGAGAGTAGATTAGCGAGAGAGAGTAGGTTAGCTATAGAGAAAGAATGTATGCGAGGAAACTAATCTTTAAATCTGGATTACGATTACAACGGCGTTCAGTAAAGACTTCACCTACAGATTGGAAACCAATGGTATCTATACCTGGCAACCTACGAACCATTGCTCATCAATCTAAAACGCCTGTATTTAGGAAAGTTGTCTTTGGTTTAATGGTTGCCATGCCCGTGGTTGCATTTGGCTTGGGGTGTTGGCAAGTTCAAAGATTAAAATGGAAAACTGATTTAATTGCCAAATGCGAAAACAATCTAGCTGCACCACCGTTTGAAGAGTTGCCCGAGACATTGAATGTCGCTGTTATAAATAATGAGTTTGACTACAGGAGATTCAAATGTAAGGGACACTTCAACTATGAGCAAGAGATGTTTCTTGGACCAAGAATGAAAGATGGCGCAGTCGGGTATTTGCTTGTAACACCTTTTGTTAGGTCCAATGGCGGGAAACCAATATTAGTCGAGCGTGGCTGGATAAGTAAGGATAAAGTTGTCCCATCGACCAGATCACTGGGATACTTGTCTTATTTAGCATTGCCCAAAGGCGAAATTGAAATTGAGGCATTGTTTAGAAACATGCCACAGAAATCCAACTTACAATTTGATCACGAACCTGGTGCTAAGTTGTTCAACGTTATTGATGTACCAGCAATGGCTAACCAGAGTGGCTCTTTACCTGTATATTGTCAAATGATTTATGACTTGAGTGACCACTTGGAATACCTAAGGGGCGACAGCAATAATAACACAAGCAACAAGTTTTCTAACCTTTGGAATTCATTATTTCCAAGCAAATTAACTCCCGAGGCAAAGGACATAGCATTTAAAGCACAACATTCAAATGATACAGACAAAACTCTACAGTACCAAGAATTTGAGTTTGTTAAAGAAGGAGTACCTATAGCAGCAAAACCAACAATTAAATTTTCCAATAACCATTTGCAATACTTAATAACTTGGTTCGGCGTTTCATTTGCAAGTACTGTATTATTAATTTATTCTACGTGGAAGAGGAAGCAGTACCTGAGTGCAGATAAGATACTTGCCAAGAAACAAAAGGATATGAAGGATCTTCTTTATTAGACCATGCCACTATGTAAATACATTTGTATATAAATACATAGATACATATATATATATATATACGTATTTATCTCGAAAAACTGAGCAATCCGAATAAAACAATTACCAACGATAAGTCGCCAACTAATATCCCTAACAATTCTCTGTATCCTAATAATCTAGCTACTAAAGGTTGATAGAGTTGCAATTTCGGCACGAACATAGATAAGGTGCTTATTCCCTTCATGATTAAACTCTTTTGATTCAATGTGTGGAATAGACCTAGTTTTGTAAATACCATGTAATAAGTAGCAATAAGGAGCACTTCAATTGTGAAAAACCAGGTAATAAATCCATTCAAAGGATATACAATACTCAAATCTCGAACATATTGATGATTAGATGCTGTGAATGAGGGAATTTTGACAAAGTGATAAAGAAAATTTGTCAATGTCAAAATCACTCTAACCACAAGAAACCTAAAACGCCACAACTTTTCCTGGTATGAGTTATACTTGCTAGTCTCATGCTGGTACTTCATTTGTTCTGGATTCATTTCGAATGGAGAGTCTGCTGAAGAAGGAATTGTTCCTGATTCATCGCCCATACCACTAAACATCTTAAGGATCTCCGCCATTGGGTTGTTTTCACCATCATGGCCGGCGTGCAGGTGCTGTCCTTGTTGTTGTAAAATCTTGTTGAACATCTCATCAAGATTAGGTTGTGAGTTACTTCCTCCAATAGTGGGAATGTCATTTGCTGTGATCTCTTCAATATCTTGTACCTCTGGATCGTTATCATGCTGATTAGGAGCCAATGCTCCCGACTCAGCAGCAGCAACAGCAGCAGCAACAGCAGTAGCATCAGCAGTAGCATCAGGTTTCGATTTCTGATCTAAAACTGATGTGACAGATGACTCATTGACCGAAGTACCTTGATTTAGAATATTGTTTAGTCTATCGGTAGCCTTACCCTGGGCCATTTTTGCCTGTCTTCGCTCCCTTAGTATTCTTCTCTTTTCCTGTTCAGTCAATGGTTTCTCCTGAGGTATCTCGGACATCGTGGGTGGTGTGACTTATGCCAAAAGTAATACAATCAAAGTATAGTCTTTATTTTGAACAAGTTTTCGTAAAATCGTGTTACAAAAGATGGAAAAAAAATGAGAAGGGGAAAAGAAAAGAGTAAAAGAGAAAAAGAGTACAAGGTGAACTTGAAAGCATAGCTTTTGAAAAGCGGGAGCTTAAAGGTTTAAGTGGGTTAGAGAGGCCGCGGGTGTTGTTTCTGCGATGGAAAGGGAGACTACAGATTCATTGCCAAAAGGTGAACATGAAAAGAGAAGACGACTTCGAATAATGAACTCGTTGGACAATCTTGATTATTTGATGACAATTGCAGCTCAGGAGAATAAGTCCGTAGCACAAGTGAAATATGAATTAAAGTTGAAACTAATACATGGTGATTGAAGAAAAAGAAGAAGAAGAGTAAGAAAAAAGAAGATATGATACCTTGAAAACTCATCTAAATGGCGGTCGTTGAGTTGTTTTCATTGGTTTCTTTTGTGTTGCTGTCATCCCTGTCTTGGTCACCCTGGAATTTGTTAGGTTATTTTCAAAAAGTCCTTGCATATACCTGGGAGGTTGGTTCAAGTTCGGACCGGTTTTACCCATTGAACGCGTGGATGTGGTGGGTATGACGGATACGGTGGCTGTACTAGCAGTCACTGGCCGATTGATTGGTTGAGGAATTCGTGATTTCCGATTGTTTGCGAAATTGGCACTTTTGCCTAGATAGTCTGGCTCAGGAGTATGATTTGCGCGTGCTACTGGCCGTTTCTTCTTTTCTCTTATTGCACCAATGCCCATTCCAGCTCCACCTGGTGTCGATCTACTCTCCTCTGCCAACCTAGTTTTCAACTCACCATTCAATCTCTCGGCATCTGCCAACTTCTGCCTCATAGAAACAAGCTCTTCTCTTTTTTTCTCTTTCATTTCTATCCTCTCCCATTCTGCCCTTGAGGGAATCGTAGGAAAATCTACACACCACATGGTAATCGATAGTCCATAAAGAAAACTAGCAAACGATTCATTAAACTGCAGAGAGATTGCCGAATGGATGTGACTCAAATCTCGCATGTTAACATCTAGATCTTCCATTTGGTCAGCTATATCTCTGAATTTTTCAACAATATCGGGAGAATCCATTGGTAAATTGTCGGCATCTATTGGATAGTGATGAGGCGATTGAGGAGGGAAGGACCCTGAAGAGCGACGCAGGTGTCTCCTGCTAATGCGGCGATTGTCCCCACTAGGTGTGGTTGGTCGCGATCCGGGCATAATTCTTAACCAGCTATCGAGCTACTAGGTGCCTATATATATATATATATATATATATGTGGGTGTGTGAATAAAGTCGGTAGATTTGTTTACTTCTTCTTTGGTGGAAAAAAAAGAAAGAAAAAAAAAAAAGATATAGAAAGTTTGGTTTATGCATAAATCCTTCTTCATCTTATTTCTCACTTATCAAATACCAGAAAGGTTAAGAACCCCCCTCTCTTCCCCCTCCCCCTCATTTTCTATTTAGAGAGAGCGAAAAGAAATACTTCCCTATATATGTTGCTTCAAAAAATATATGATTTAAATCCTTCTTCTCTTCTCTTGTTACTAATTCTTTTTCTTGCTAATTCCCTTGAATTGATCAATCTTTTCGTATTTAACACCAATGACTTTCCCGTTGCCATCATATACATCTTCCTTTTTCAAGTAGTCCAAGGGAACCAATTTAGGCCAATCAACAAATTGGTATCCGTTCTTGAAAATATACTGAAGGTTTCTCAAGTTAAACAGGACAACTAATGTAATCAAGGTTAAGTTTTTCAAACTCAAAAGGGAACCCTTGGGGTAGTAGAATAGAACCAAAAGGATAGCAAAAGAAGTAACCATCAAGTAAGGCAACAATTGCAAGTAAGGAGGCCTTTTATCAACGAACGGGGAAGTGATTGAATCTTGATACGGTTTATACTTACCAAGAAACAAATCATAGGAATCTTGCCTGCTACCATCCGATAAATTGTTCTTATAGTAACGAGTCAAGGAATTACACAAATCATCGAAATTTCCCTTGTATGTTCTCTTGCCCAACCTTGTAAAATCGGTCTTCAAAGCGCCGGTTCCCGAGTAGGCACAACTTACTGCGTCGGCATTGTCAGCCCAAAAATTTTGAAAGAATAAATTGAATTGCGGATCGATTTTGGCAAATGGCACTTCAAGATTGGTCAAGTATCCTTCATGCAATAACTGGTTTTGTAAAAACCAACGGCCAACAAAACCTTGAACAACATTAGTTCTATCCAAACAATCCATACAATTTGTTCTAATAATGTTTTTTTGCAAACTGACAACTTGCCTGGTGTTGAGGTCGATTTCAAAATAATCGTCTGAAGTATATCCCAATTTAATCAAGTGATCAACCAAAAGACTAATCCTGTTAAACTTCATACCTTTACATTCGTGATGAAAGTCAAAGTAAATATAATGAACGTGTTCTTTTAATTGCCGAGGTAAACTTTGAACAGCATTTTCATATGCATCCTTCACCGGTTCCTCGTAACCCTTCTGGTTAACCAAATTGACAAGATAAATATCCCCATAAAGTGCAACTTGTTGAGTAAAGTGTTTTACAGTAGCATCTCTTGAAGACTGGGAGCTAATTTGCAAATCTGGCTTGTACTTCAAATCATTAACCTCGGCCCAAAAAACAGGAACCGAGCCTCTAATTTGTAAAATAGATGAGACGCGATTACTGTCAGTACTGAAAATTTGTTCAGTTTCGTTGAAATTTGCAACGTTTCCATCAATATCGATACCACGGCGGAAGTATCTAGTACCTGCTCTTGATGTTGACCGACGGGTTAAAAGAGCAAACTCCAATGACCTTCCATTGAAAATCGTTGAGTGTGATTTAAAGTACCCATAAATTATGGGTGTAATAAATTCAAATTTGCTATCAAACTCAAGTAATGGCTCACACAAGTATTTGTTCCACCAAAACCTATCGTCGATTTTCAGATTTTGGACAGTGAATTGTTTTTGCAACGAGTTGGTTAAATCATATTGATTATTTATCGAGAAAAACAACGTTGCATTATGTAATTGTTTGTTCAAAAGATCCAAATACTTCTTCTCTTCACTGTTAATATTTGGACTTGACAGTTGAGTGCTTGCAAGTGAGTAGATCTTGTACTTATCAATAGATGCAATGTTATTGCCCAAAACAGAACCAGTAACAGTGTGTGATGTGCCGAGGATAACATATGAGCTGATTTTCAACCTAATGATACCAATAATACATGAAATGACCTCAGGCTTGCTTTCTTGGGTAAATCCCGATGGGAAATTATCGGAGATTTCCACAGTATTACCATTGTTGCTCAATAAGAGGTACTTGTTGGTCAAATTGTTGTGGAAGATGTGAGATCCATCCAGTATGGCTGAGTGAGTAAATACCATTTCCTGTTATTATAATAAATAAATTAAAAAAAAAAAAAAAAAAAGGATATCTCTTTTTCTATTAGTTGGTTAGCTTTTGTTGGATCTCTCTATATCTGTATATTAAAGAATAAGGTAATATTTCACCTCACAAGATGCCCAAATACTGAAACAAACAGCTCGTTTTGTTAATGGTTGGTGCTTTTATATATTACCTCCTTTCAAAAATTTATCTCTTTCTCTTTTGATTGTTTTTTTTTTTTTTCTTTTATTTTGGAATCTTGAAATCTAGAGATTTTCTTTTACTTGATTTGGAATTGAAATTGAAATTTCAGCACCTGCTGAATTTTTTTATATATAGTGTTACACTTGCGCCTCGGGAGAGAAAAAGACTATACCAGTCAGCATGAAATGATACTACCATATTAACTTGAACCGTTACAAAGTGAATAATATGATAAAATTGAACAAATACTTTGGTCACGTGAACAAATGAAAAAAGACATGGCAAAACTTTTGCACCCAAAAAGCATTTGATAACTTTCACAGGCTTAGGCTCTCAAGCTTGTGGTACTCAGTGTTATATACACATATACACAGTCTCATGATTGTTTAGTGTTATACACAGTGTTATATACACATATACACAGTATCATGATTGTTTAGTGTTATACACATTGTCATGTTTGTTTAGTGTTGTATTATTTGATTGTAAAGTTTATAACAGAGTTCCGAGACAAAGCGTTTACTTTTTCAAGCAGAAAATGCAATTTGGGCTGGTTCGCATTTGTCATTTGTAAAAAATTAAAATGTTAACCAGTTTATAACCTATTATCTCAACTAGTAGACTAACGAGCAGAGCGAGATAGTCTATTTCTACTCTCTATTCTCTCTATTCCCTCTAGACTATCTCGCTCTGCTCGATAGTCTATATCTCGCTCTGCTCGATAGTCTATATCTACTCTCTATTCTCTCTATTCCCTCTAGACTATCTCGCTCTGCTCGATAGTCTATATCTACTCTCTATTCCCTCTAGACTATCTCGCTCTGCTCGATAGTCTATCTAACTTTGTAAAACTTCAGCATCCTTTCTTGTGATGTACTGACGTAACTCAATTACATCAAACACAATTTATAAGCCACAGTTAAAACTATACTTTTAACAGTTTTTTTTTCTTGCGGTTTAAATGTAATTGCCGAAAAAAAAAAGAACAATTATAGACTTAATCTTAAAGCTTGTTAGAACTGAAAAAACAATCGGGTATAAACCTCAAAGGTTTTGAACAACAAAAATATACTAGTATGACCAAAAGATAAAAAGTTTTGCTCTATTGTGAAATAGTTACGACGAATCCAAACCAGTATTGATAAACATGTGCGACGAATCCAAACCAGTATTAAACATATTCTCCCCTTAAAAAGCTCAGCCCTCTCCGCAAAATGCTAGAGAGAGTAACCCCAGCTTCAATAAACACTTCTCTTATCCCCCCCCCGTTTCAACTAACAATCAGACACACGGGTTTGATTGCATTCGAAGGAAAGGAGCGTCGAAGCAAACATCGTTTAAATTGTTCATCATCTTAAGGGGCTTTTTTGTATCTATGTAATCTTTTCTTTTTTTCTACTCTCTCTTTTCCTTTTTGTGCCCCCTTGTCAAAACAAGATAGCAAGCACTTAGCATTGGAGAACTAAAGCCCTTTTTGCTATAAAACTAATATTTTGTAATGGTGGGTAGGGGAGGAGGCGGATCGACTTGACCTTTTTTTTAAATGAGAGGAGAGAGATTTTATATAAGAGTAAGATAATTTCCTTCCATCTGAAATCTGAAAATCAAGCAATCCTCCCCCTATTGTTCAGTTTTTGCATTTATCTTCCTAGCCATGGTGTTAAGCAAACATATAGAGTCATTAGAGTTGGAAAACGAGATCTTAAAATACTTGCCAAAAGTCAAATTACACGCCGAAGAGTATGTCGATCAATATGACTCTGAAAAATTGATCCCCGAATTTGAGATCCCCTTGAAATCGTCCAGTTCTCATTTGATTTACAAATACTTGAACCAAGAATTGTCGCTTGATGGTATTCCTACTTTAAATTTAGCTTCGTTTGTCAATACGTTTATTGACGATACTCTGAAACGTCTTGCCATTGAGAATTTAACTAAAAATTTGGCTGATAATGACGAATACCCTTCGTTGATTGAAATACAAACTAGATGTATTACAATGTTGAGCAATTTGTGGCACGCACCAAGTGTGAAGGATCCCAAAACTGGTAACAAGATTGTAAATTCAATTGGTACTGCAACTACAGGATCTTCAGAGGCCATTATGTTGGCTGGTTTAGCGTTGAAAAAGAGATGGCAAGAAAAAAGGCAAGCACAGGGCAAATCTATTGCTAACCCCAACATTTTAATGGCCACTTGTGCTCAAGTTGCGTTGGAGAAGTTTGCGGTATACTTTGATGTTGAAAATAGATTGATCCCAATTTGCGAAAAATCCGGCCATGTTATTGATGTAACAAAGATTAAGGAGAATATTGACGAGAACACGATTGGTATTTTTGTTATTGTTGGATCTACGTTTACTGGTGCTTTTGAGCCGGTTGAGGAGATATCACACATTTTGGATCAAGTGGAAAAGGAAACAGGATTGGATATCAGAATTCACGTTGATGGGGCAAGTGGCGGGTTTGTTGCGCCTTTCTCTTTTCCAAATTTGAAGTGGGATTTTGCCATTCCAAGAGTTGATTCAATTAATACCTCGGGTCATAAATTTGGCTTGACTTCAGTTGGTTTAGGTTGGGTTATTTGGAAACATTCAGATTTACTACCAAAAAAGCTCAGATTCAGTTTAGATTATTTGGGAGGTGTTGAAGAAACGTTTGGTTTGAATTTCTCAAGACCTGGGTACCCAGTTTTAATGCAGTACTACAACTTTTTAACTTTGGGTAAAGAAGGCTATGCTAGCATATTCGATGTTGCTCTATCCAATGCAAGGGTGCTTTCGGACTATTTGGAAAAATCTAGTTATTTTGAAGTTTTATCAAATATCCACAAACCAATTACTAAGGAAGAGAAGGAAAAGTATTATACAAGAGAAGTTCATCACAAACTATCTGATATCTGGACGGTTAATCAAAATTTCCAACCTGGCTTACCTGTGGTTGCCTTTAGATTCAGTGAAAAGTTTAGAAACGAGTACCCCGAAATTCCTCAAGAGTTGTTTTCGACATTGTTGCGCAAATCTGGGTTCATTATTCCCAACTACAAATTGCCACCATCCGAGACAAATGTTGAGATTTTGAGAGTTGTTGTGCGTAACTCGATGGGATTATCGCTTTTGGAAAGATTACTTGCCGAATGTTCGAGAACAATTGACTTGTTGATCAAATCGGCTAATTATGTTAGAAACGTACTCGATGTTAAGGATGTACATTCAGCTGCCGAGAATAGAGAGGCTATCCACAGTTTATTGTTGACAATTGCCTCTGGTGGAACTGCCGATATTAGAAAGAATTCGCACAAGAAGAATAGCCACGAAGCTGGAAAAAACAAAAAATCGTATCGTGGTGTTTGCTAAGCCCATCTAAATCTAAATTTGATTACAACAGATGCATGTTATGGTGGAATGATTTTTCTTTCTACTCTATACTCAATATATCTTTTTTTGTACAGTACACTTACAAACTCTTGCTTGGCTATGTATGTAAAGAAAACAACAACACCTTGATTACAACTTATATCAGAGAGAGAAATTAAGGGGGAAGAGACGAAAACTCCACCCCCTTCATATATATATATATATATATATATTCTTATAGAACCTTAGGTAGAGGAAAGAATTCTTAAAAAACAAAGTGTAAATTAATTCAAGGTAAACGTTTAATAGTTTGATACTCGTCCACCCCCCCCC